TTTTTAGAGATTGACTAAAATTTTGTATCGAAATAGCCATTCATAAAATAAAGAAAAAGTAAGATTTTAACATACACAAATATAATAAGTTCATAAATACGTATTGTACCAACAATAGCAAAGTCAAAACCATACATTAGTATGGTATAAAAATAACAAGATGCTGCTCTAGACCATACGTCAGTATGGTATCAAAATGAGGTTCTTAGACCATACGTCAGTATGGTGTCAAAAAGAGGTTTCTTAGACTATATCAGTATTGTATCAAAAAGAGGTAATTTAAACCATACATCAGTATGGTGTCAAAATGAGGTACTTAGACCATACGTTAGTATGGTGTCAAATGAGGTACTTAGACCATACGTCAGTATGGTGTCAAAATGAGGTACTTAGACCATACGTCAATATGGTAACAAAATAATTAACTTTGACTATACTTCAGCATGGTGTCAAATGATGTGTTGAGACCATACGTCAGTATGGTGTCAAAACGCTGACCAAAACAATAGAAGTTCATGTATTACTTGCAGACACTAACATCGTGTGAAGTAATGACGTAGCAAAATTAGATTAGAATGGAATGTGCATTGTGACATCATTGACCGTGTGCAAAGATAAATAACTACCCAATAGAGTGAGCTTATAAGTTCATAATAAACTCCAATTATAATTCATATGATTTTAATACTATTTTCAGGCCCCCGCCCCCTAGGCCATGGTTTAGTGACTTTGAATTAATTAGCAATTTTCAATGTTAAGTTTTCTGCTTAAGTTAGATTGATTGGAACTACTTGTGATAGATCAATGATATTTTGTATGAAGTTGCATTATTATCATTACGGATCAGTTTGACGGCTATTTTGAAACCCTGCCCCGTAGGTCATGGTCTAGTGACTTTGAATTAATTAGCAATTTTCAATGTTACTTTTTCAGCTTAAGTTAGTTTGATAGGAACTACTTGTGATAGATCAATGATATTTTCTATAAAGTTGCATTGCTATTAAAATTGAGAATGGAAATGGGGAATATGTCAAAGAGACAACAACCCGACCAAAGAGCAGACAACAGCCGAAGGCCACCAATGGGTCTTCAACACAGCGAGAAAATCCCACACCCAGAGGCGGGCTTCAACTGGCCCCTTAACAAAAATGTGTACTAGTTCATAGAAAATGGACCTCACACTACACTCCGAAACATATAAATGAACCAAAATTAAAAAAAAAACATACAAGACTAACAATTGCCAGAGGTTCCTGACTTGGGACAGGTGCAAAAATGCGGCGGGGTTAAACATGTTTTGTGAGATCTCAACCCTACCCCTATACCTCTAGCAAATGTAGAATAAACAAACATACAGCAACACGCACAATAAAACTCAGTTTAAAAGAAGTCAAGTCCGATGTTAGAATAGGTAACAGAAGAAACTAAGCAAAATGACAATGATATCATAAATTAACAAGGGGCTACTACCAGTTACTGAAATGCCAGCTCAAGACCTCAATTAAACTGATTGAAAGATAATGTCTTCATCATATGAAAATCAAGCACAATCCCTCCAGTTAGGGGTTTAGTATCATACCATCATAAAATATACGTGAAGAACATAGCCTGTATCATACCAACAACTGGTTTTAGAATAAATGTGTTTATTTCAGATGCAAAGACCCTATGAGTGAATCAATATTAATTCCAAAAAATGCCATCTTTAATGACCTGACAACAGTATCGTAACTATATCCCTTCTGAATAAGTCTGTTTAAAGGTTTGGTTAGCTTTTGAGGACATTTTTGTGCTTTGTATAGAATATTATCATAAAAGATTGGATGTGAAATACCTGAACATATAAGATGTCTTCACGTTGATTTATATTTACGAATAGTGTCCTTGTACTGATGACAAAATTTAGTAAATTTTTTGACAAGTTTGTGATATCAAAAACCCTGGTTTATTAATTTTTCAGTAATACAGCAATTTCTTGTGTTAAAATCAAATACGTTGTTACATACTAGAGCGAACCGAACAAGTTGAGATATATAAACACCATAAGATGGTGACAAGGGAACATCACCATCTAAAAATGGATATTTAACAATAGGAAATGAAAAATCATCTCTTTAATCGTAAATTTTGGTATTAAGCTTCCCGTGAAAGATATAGATATCAAGATCCAGGAAGGGGCAGTGTTCATTGTGAGTATTATCTTTATTTAAAGTCAGTTCAGCAGGATAAATCTCTTTAGTGTACATACTGAAATCGTCATTATTGAGAGCCAATATATCATCCAAATATCTAAAAGTGTTATTAAATTTTTGTATCAGGTGTTGTTTCCATAGGTCTTTGCTGATTTTAGTCATAAATTGTAACTCGTAACAATACAGAAACAGGTCCACTTATAGGTATACTCCATGTAAGTATATATCAATCCTTTTTTTAAATTTATTCTAAAAGATTATAAATTCAACATTGTAATTAGAGTTTTGAATATTGTTTTTATCAGTTCTTCCATTGATTTTGTTATAAATAAATTAAAACATATACAGTTTTAACACTTATTATCCTATATATCCAGCCAATACTTATATTTTGATATTGCACTAGGTCATGTTTTTCTCAGATTTTTTTGGACATTTTACAATAAATCCAATGGATGTGTAATTATTGATTTTAATTTGGAAAACATGATTTATGTATTAGTTGTAGTTAGCTTTTGAAGTAGCTTTCAGTAACTGTGAAAACTCATAGATCTGTTCTTTGTGTCTTTAGTGTTTCTGTTAGTTTTTTGGAAAGATTGGAACTATTGTTCCAAGTCTTTCCTAAGGCACTGGTCTCCCAAACAAGATGTAGTACAGGTTAGCTACTAAATCTACAAAATTTATACATACTGAAATAAAGTTCTCTATATTTCTCATGTCTGTGCACATATGAACTGTGAAATTTTGGGTTATATCTTTATAGCTTTACATTCAAGTATGTATGTCTTTCAGATTTGTCAATTTGAAGGTCAGTTTTGTCATTTTAATTAGGTAAGAGTAATGAAACAATACCTACTTGATTGACAACTGCCATGATCACCAAACAATCAGAGACAAGGTGGGGCCTTAATTACAATGTCCCACCTCCTTAAATGCCAATCATATTGACCAAATTACTAATTAACCTCTAACCCGAATAATTCAATCCCTCACCATAATCGATCTATCCTACTTGCAAGGGCCTGAATTCCTAACACGATAAAAACTCTTCACGAATCCTGGATTTTGATTGGTGCCCTGTAGATAGAAGAAGTGACCAATCAGCAATCAGCTCAACTTTATCGAGATAGGTAAATCCAGAGCTTATTCGGAATGATTGATTGAAGATTTTTCATTGTCCATGCATTCCGGCATTTATGAAGTAATCGAAGATCAACGGAATATAACGATTGTATTATTCAGGTTAATCAACTTCAGTCTTACATAATTAAACAGAGTCCTCATTATTGAATCCAAAAATGTATATATTAAATGTTTGATATATAGAAATGATAGATTTATTCATTGACTATTACTTTTGATTTACATTACATAATTTGATTCTATTAATTATGTCTGAAAGATAAATGATTAAAGATGAACAATATCTTTCTTTCAAAAGAAAAAACAAAATATGAAATCTACATACATGTATAAGAAAAGTTATTTAAGAGGTGAATACAGGAAGTGTATTTTTGCGTTTGTTGAATCTCTGTAATTTTCACTTTGCCCAAAATAGGGAATTTCATTTCAATAATTCTAAATTCAAATCAGTCATCACTGGCTAAAATGAATTTTCTAGACCCTTGCTTTACACATTGAAAGAAGTGAAAGCCAAATTGTTCAAACGGGGACATTGTTGACAGTTATAAATGTAAATTGTTCTATAGGTATTTGAATTTTTATATTTGCCTTATGGACAGAATTATAGGCAAAACAATAATAAGATTACCATTCATTCAGTAACTTCTCCTAAACTCCTAGGGATAGAAAGTTCAAACTTGAATTACAAGTATCATTATGTTTGGAACTTGAGTAATATCAACTAGAGAATAATGCAACCCTTTAAATCTTCAAGCCCCTCCTTCCCAAAAAATATAATGATAGTCCCAAAACTACTTTTGTACTATCTAAGATAGGTTCATGAAAATTGGTTTGTAATTAAAATGATAGTTGTCAGTGCCAAAGGTATTTAAAAAAAAAAGATAGTTGCCCTAAGAACTGAAAGATAGAAAAATAAATGTATTTTGGGGTTATCTAGTAATTAGTGTTTTTTTTTTAAACTACTATGTATTGAAAGTTATAACTTGATTCACATGTCACCTTATAAATACTGACTTTACCACTGCTGTAGGAATTTCCGAACAACTTTTTGTATGGCCTCTAGGGGCATGGTCATTTAAAATTAATACTATCTACATAAAACTGACACTGGGATATGTTGCTTGGCTGTCATCTCCATATAAAATGCAAAATACTGATGTACTTTTTTAAAAGAAATATATTCAGATTGAGCCATCATAAAAATATGGTATATCATTTTTTAACATGTGGAGTTAGAGAATATTGGGATGTTGACAGTCAGAGTAATTAGCTCAATCTCAGTTGAAGTTTCTTGTATTTTTAAAATGTTCAGCACTGTATTTGAAAAGGATGCCATCATCAATTTAGGATTTTATGTTCACAAATATCAGTATATCTGGTTCCACACTGTGTTGACAGTAAAACTGGATTTGTAATTGTCAAATTCTCATTAGATGGTGGCAATTCTTCAAATACAGTACTATTATTCTAAAACAACATGTACAGGAATCAAATACAGTAATCATCTGTTGTTGAAGATTCATTACAGATTCATTATATTAAATGCAAAATTGAATTGTGAAATCACAGTAGGTCTTTCTAGTTAGCTTGATAACTTAAGCTGTCTTTTCCAGAAGGTGGTTTGATGTTATTTTTGCTATATATTTATATTATATATCATTTCAGGTATTCACCATTGCTATGATGGAATTGTTAGGGAGGATCCAAGATTAGGAAAAGGCATTTTGGGTAGTTTGAAAGAATCAGTTAAAAATTTCTTTGGAAAGAATCAGTACGACAAGTTACTTCAAGAAGAAACAGAATTTTCAATATTGGCATTTCAACCAGCCTGGCAGTTAAAGTCTATGCAAACTGATGGTTTAAATGGAGAAGAAATGATATCAAAAATGAAAGAGATAAATGAAGGGCTAAGGAATGTCTGTGTCAAAGGAATTAAATTGATGTTTGGTGGAGCTTTTGATTCTATGTTTTCTAGTGTGAGCCAAACACATTTTTTTAGATTTGCTTTCTTTTTAATTTTTTGTTTAAATGCCAGTCTTTACAGCATCCTTTTTATACGACCGCAAAATTTTGTGTTCGTATTATGCTCATAATGGCGATGTCTGCGTTGTCATCCAAAGACATTTTGGTTCACAGACAATAACTTGAGTATACGTATTAGTATTTGGATCTCTATGAAATTTTAGCACAAGGTGCCATACCATTATAAGAAGGTTGGGATGGATTTTGGGGGTTATTGTCATAGCTGTTTAGTAATTAAGGGCCAAAAAGGGACCAACAACAAGCATTTTTCTTGTCGTCCAAAGACATTTGTCGTCGGAAGACATTTTGGTTCGCAGACAATAAGTTGAGTATAAGTGTATGGATCTCTATGAAATTTTAGCACAAGGTTTCATACCATAATAGAAAGGTTGGGATTGATTTTGGGGGTTATGTCATAGCTGTTTAGTAATTAAGGGCAAAAAAGGGATCAAAAACAAGCATTTTTCTTGTTGTCTGAAGACATTTTGGTTCACAGACAATAAGTTGAGTATAAGTGTATGGATCTCTATGAAATTTCAGCACAAGGTTTCATACCATAATAGGAAGGTTGGGATTGATTTTAGTGGTTATTGTCATAGCTGTTTAGTAATTAAGGGCCAAAAGGGGCCTAAAACATGCATTTTTCTTGTTTCAGGACAGTAACTTGTGTATAAGTATATGGATCTCTATGAAATTTTACCACAAGGTTCCATACCTCAAAATGAAGGTTGGGATTGATTTTGGAGGGTCATGGCCCAAATTGTTTAGGATTAATTAGGGGCCAAAATATTAGGATTTTCTGGTTTCTGGACAATAACTTGAGTATAAGTCTATGGATTGCTTTTTAATTGTGCCACAAGGTTTTATGCCTTAAAAGGAAGGTTGGGATTGATTTTGGGGGTTATGACCCTAACAGTTTAGGAGAAAAAGGGTCCAAAAACAATACTTTTGTATTACTTTGTATGAATTGCTTATTTCTTGGCAAATTTCAATGAGGTTTAATTCAATGTCTTGAATTGGTGGGGTTCTTTAACATGCTGAATCTAACCCTGTATTTAGAATTAGGATTTTGGGCCCTGTTTTTGAATTGGTCCATATTAAGGTCTAAAGGGTCCAAAATTATACTTTTTGAAGAACTTCGTGATAGGTTTGTTTGTTATTCTGTATAAATTACTTTTCAGAATGATATATATATTTTTTTTTGATGAAGCGAACCCCTTTAAAAACTTAGCTCATATTGTCCATTTATAGTTAAATTCTTGGTGAACTTGGATATATTTAATCTGTCCAAATCGAGGTTCCAAAATTGAACATATGGGGTTCTTTGATATACTGAATTTAACCTTGTATTTAGATTTTGGATTTTCAGGGCCCTGTTATCAAATTGGTCCACATTGAGGTCCAATGTGGTTAGGGTCCAAAATTGAACTTTTTTTGAATTCAACAAAAACTAAACTCTTGGGGTTCTATGATATGCTGAATCTACCTAACCATGTATTCAGATAATGGATATTGGACCATAAAAGGATTAAAAGTCCAATTTTAATTTTTCAGTTCTTTGACCACATTTATTCTGTGTGAGAAACCTATGATGTGTCAAATATTTAATCACAATCCAAATTCAGAGCTGTATCAAGCTTGAATGTAGTGTCCATGTAAAGCAAAATTCTATCCGGATGAAAATATGTTACAGAAGTTGTTGTTATTTTTTTATCCGGAGGAAAATATTTCACTGTGATATATTACCCATTGCCGTGAAATTCTATCTGGGAAGTTAAAATATTGAATAGTTAATAAAAAAACTTAATCTTTGCAAATACTATGTACTAATAATAGTGTATTTGAATATAAGCTGAATTAGTAAATAAAAAAACAAATAAATGTATTATAATGGGAAATAATTTCACAGATTATAATTGAAAATAATATCCTGAAATATTAAAGTAAATATCATTCTTTTAAAAGACAAATATCATGAAAGATATGAAACAAAACCAGTAGTAATTTCACAGATCTTAATTGTGAAATGATATCATGATCAATTTAATATATAAAATAAGGTAAGTGAAATACAGGTAAAAGTGAGTTGTTTTCAGATCTCAGTACAAATAAATCAAAGTACTGAAGTACTGAACATCGGATGACCGCAGGTTCTTGTGGATGGTCAAAAGCACATGTCACAGAAACAGATCACATCTCTATACCTGAAACTGAGGTTAATTTACAGAGATTTTTTTTTCTTATACAAGTTCGTGCTTGGATGATGAATAAATGACAGGAAATTCAACCTCACTGTAATAACTATTATATTGTAGTGATACAAATCAGTATACCTTAGACTATTATACTAATATAATAATAGTTCCAGAGAATACACTGGTTTGTTGTTATATATTATATTAATATTACGGTTGCATGTATATATAATTTTCATCTATTTGTATATCATACTATTCTACTATTATTATAGTGTAATGCAAGTGCATGGTGGACACTCTTCTGTAAAAAAAAATCAAAGTCTTAAAGGCTGTAAAAGCAATTGCTGCCATGTTAATGTTTTGTGGACTTTTATTTTTCATCCATATATATAAGAATTAAACCTGACAGGACAGGAGTGTTGACTAGTGAGAAGCAAGACGGTTTTAACTTTATATCAATATAAGACTTTAGCAGGAAATCATTTTAAATATGTTTTATATTTTACAAGGAGACAACAAGTTTACCAGGCTAAAGTTGGGGTTAATTATACATGTGCTGAAACATATAACTGAAAAAAAAATCATTATGGATTATCCCCTGGTAGTGTTTGTAACTGGGCAATAATTTCCTTTATTGATTTAATTTTAACCATTTTCATAATTAATTTAAATTAACCATTCAGTTAAAACATTTCAACTTTCCAGACGCTAATGTTGAAAAACGGGACAGAAATAAAATATCTTACAAGACATAAACATGTAAAAAATAAATATATATTTCAGCTTACTAAAAATATTTTCATAATGTTACTTTGACATCATTTCTTAAAACTAAGTCCCAAACATAATTGCTCAGTTGACATGTGTCATCCTCATGCGATACGAGATAACTATAATTCTGATGCAATCCCGAAAAGGGGGGTCATCACAAACAAACATGACATTAAATTGTCATTATACGAACTAGAACAAACAGCTCTATGTTGCTTTGATATTTATCAATTTTCAGGAAACATGTGAAATAAATTTCAGGTCCATTTCATTATAGTGCCCAACAAGATTGTGTGAGGTAGACGAAATTGACCTTAAAACGATCGTATTGTCTTTTGATGTCCAAAAATAGGCAGATCGGACATATACGGACTTTATCTAATGACTACATAAATTTGGGATTTATTATTATTATAATATTCTAATGAAACTGAAAATTGTATTTTTTTTAGGATTAACAACAATTTTACCTGGCGTAGCCGTTCATAAATGTTTTTCTGCATTTATCTTCGAAAAATGGCGTATTTAATGGAATAGAACGTTAATACAGTAAACTTTCTCTTTTTTCTCCGCAATAGGCTATCAAAAATAATTTATCTAATGTGTATGTGGAAAATTATGTGAAAAGATAAAAAGTGGCAATTGTTACCTTTCATACCTTAAGTTTCGTTCATCTGATTCTGACCAATGCTTATATACTAAATATCTATTTATATGCCGCTATTATTGTTGTTGTTACCAATTATGTAAATCAATTGTATCTGATTTTATGCCCTTTATGGGCACTGTAATTTGGGAAATAAAAAAAAATCTATTCATTGATAAAACGTAATATGGACTGGTCCAGTGTCCAGTTTGCAGGTCATTTAATTTTCTGTACACATTCATGCACGCTCTGATTTAATCAATATACTCGTACGAAAAAGCATGAACAGTTTGAAGGTAATCTAATAATAACTTAATCCAATCAAATTGCATAAGATTCAATAACAATGTCAAGTCCACATCATAATGAGTAATAGAGGTAAACTGGGTAGGGAGAAAATGACAGATATTTCAAGTTAATATTTATGCAATAACGAATTAAAATTTGTCAACCAAAAGTTTTGCTACAATTTCAAAAACATGTCGTTCTGTATGGGTATAGTTTTCGGATCTTTCATTAGCGTATTTAAGGCTATAAAAAGTTTGGGCTTCAAAAGTTCACACAATTATTGACTTTATACAGAAAATTCGTCCTTGTAAAACATTTAATAGTTCACAAATGATACGCGATTTTAAAGTAAAATTATTTCTTAAAACACTGCAAAAATTTTTATTCATATTGATAAAGTGGTATCGTCATAATGTGCGTTGAAATGAACAGTGGTATAGCAAACATCGAATTCCCTCACAAAATGTTATCACACACTACAGTAAGGGGAGTCAGTTAAGTTTGTCTATTTTTAGATACTATACAGGTAATCTTTTGACACCACGTATACAACCTGTGTGACCTGTGTAGTGATTTTGATTTTACGATAAATTCATGAATGAACGATAATTTTATGAATGAACATGAGCACCTGACCTCTTTCTTAAACACCTATTAAACATATAAAAACGTATTTAATAAGGAGATAATTCAGTCAAATTTTCAGTACTAAATCAACAACTGAAATGATTCCATTTTTTGATGAAACATCGTACGAACGGAGAACGGAATCGCAGGTATAAAAATGCAGTTTTTTCACTTGTAATGACCGCGGATCTATAATTTTTATAGATCGGTTGAAATCCCAAAACTAATTTGCATAATGGAAATTTAGGCGATAGCAATACATCGGAGTGACCTCAAGGTCATCCTCTGTAAAAAGTAAGTAGAAATATAGTTTTTTTTTTAAATCATGTTTTAAGTCATCTTTTTATATAAATTAATATAAAAAATTAAGAATAAAGGAAAAATTTCACTATGAAATAGATTCTGGTCTCTGGAATATAATATCTGTAAAATATAAATGGCTCATAATTACCTCCCTTTGATTGATAAATTATGCAAATATGTTCTACCTTGGTGAAACATTTATAATAATGGTCAGGTATATATTGATTGCGAGTACCTTACATAGTAGACAGTGGGACTCTATTTTACAAGATTCTGTGAAATATGGAACGGGAAACATATACTGGTCAATACTATCTGCATAAGACAGATAGAATTTCACTCCTCTGGATAAAATCTACCTGTGAAATACCATGTCTGGAAAAAAATTTCTGTGACAAATTATACCCAGGATAAAATATCACAGAGGAAGAAATAAACCGTTACATCCATACTTGCCCCAACTGTTCAGGGTTCAACCTCTGCGGAACATTTTATTCTACTTTGAAATTATCATTTTCTTAGCTTGTCTTGCCCTATATATAGGCCATGTGAGCTAGTGTAATAATTTTGTGTCCATCGTTATCTTCTGTTCTTGTCTTTCGTCTTCATTGTCATAAACTTTTTTAAGAAATCTTCTCCTCTGAAACCACTTAATGTAAATTCAAACATTATTGCAAGTTTTTATACGACCGCAAAAAAATTTTGTGGTCGCATATTGGTATGACGTTGGTGTCGTCGTCATCCGAAGACACATTGGTTTTCGCACTCTAACTTTAGTTTAAATGAATGGATCTCTATGAAATTTTACCATAAGGTTCAATACCACAAAAGGAAGGTTGGGATTGATTTTGGGGATTATGGTACCAAGAGTTAAGGAATTAGGGGCCAAAAAAAGGCCAAAAATAAGCATTTTTGTAACTTCCAGACATAACTTGTGTGTTAGTGTATGGATCTCTCTGAAATTGTACCACAATGTTCCATATCACAAAGGGAAGCATTTTTCTAGTTTCATGACAATAACTTGTGTGTTAGTGTATGGATCTCTCTGAAATTGTACTGCAAGGTACCATACCACAAATGGAAGGCTGGGGTTGATTTTGGGGGTTATTGCCTCAAAATTTTAGGAATTAGGGGCCAAAAAGGTGCAAAAAACAAGCATTTTTCTAGTTTCTGGACAATAAATTGTGTGTTAGTGTATGGATCTTTATGAAATTGTACTACAAGGTTCCATATCACAAAGGGAAAGCTGGAATTGAGTTTGGGGGTAATTGCCCAAAACGTTTAGGAATAGGGGGCCAAAAATAAGCATTTTTCTAGTTTCCAGAGAATAACTTGTGTTCAAGTGCATGGATCTCTCTGAAATTGTACTGCAAGGTACTATACCACAAATGGAAGGCTGGGGTTGATTTTGGGGGTAATTGCCTCAAAATTTTAGGAATTAGGGGCCAAAAAGGTGCAAAAAACAAGCATTTTTCTAGTTTCAGGACAATAACTTGTGTGTAAGTGTATGGATCTTTCTGAAATTGTACTACAAGGTTCCATATCACAAAGGGAAGCTGGGTTTGAGTTTGGGGGTAATTGCCCTTAACGTTTAGGAATTTGAGGCCAAAAAGGGGCCAAAAACAAGCATTTTTCTAGTTTCCAGACAATAACTTGTGTTCAAGTGTATGGATCTCTCTGAAATTGTACTGCAAGGTACCATACCACAAAGGGAAAGCTGGGATTGAGTTTGGGGGTGATGAATCATAAGGGGGTTCAAAAAATTTGGGGGGGGGATTTTTTTTCCCCTTTTTTTTCTTTAAAATTTTCCATTTTAAATTGGTTATTTCTGATTTATATATAAAAGCAAATAATAATGATATGGTTTGAATAGGTAAATTAAAAAATTTTTAGTTCTTAGACCACATTCATTCTGTGTCAGAAACCTATGCTGTGTCAAATATTTAATCACAATCCAAATTCAGTGCTGTATCAAGCTTGAATGTTGTGTCCATACTTGCCCCAACTGTTCAGTGTTCGACCTCTGCGGTCGTATCTAGCTGCGCCCAGCAGAGCATTTTATTTATTAATGCGAATACAATGACCGAGTGAATATTGCAATAATAAGAACTAGCATTCTGATATCACATACATATATCTGTATGCAGATTTCCCTGAAATCGCAATTATTAATTCGCATTTTTGTCCATTTTTCAAAAATCGCAATAATAAATGCTCGCAATAATTTCTGAATTTACAGTTATCAATTTCACCCAAACTTAACCTTAAGATTCTTAAAGTATTTATTGTTCCAATTCTTTCCTAAGGCACCAGACTCCCAATATCAGGAAGAATACAGATTAGCTACGTTACTAAATCTACACACATAAAAAATAGAAAATATAGTTCACAATAATTCTCATGTCTGTATACATGTGAGCATATGAACTGTGAAACATTTAAGTATCTTGAGAGCAGTTCATATAAGTATTATGTCTTTTGTTGTCAATTTGTTGGCTCATTTTGTCATTTTTGTCGAGCCTGCAACTTCTGTCACAGCGTCATGAACTCACTAATTAAAAGCTTAATATTTCAGAAGGTAGAAGACCTGGATGCTTCATACTTTGTATATAGATGCCTTATATTGTGAAGTTACCGTCTGTCATATGTCCATTGTCTTTGACCTCATTTTTATGGTTCAGTGACTACTTGGAAAAAAGTGAAGATTTTTTGTAATGTTAATATCTCTCTTATTATGAGTAATAGGATAGCAATATTTGGTTAAGGTCCTCATGCCTGTCAGACAGTTTTCACTTGACCTCAACCTCATTGCACGGATCAGTGAACAAGGTTAAGTTTTCATGGTCAAATCCATATCTCTGATACTATAAACAATGACCTCATTTTTATGGTTCAGTGGTAAAAGTTAAGTTTTTGTGTTTTGGTCTGTTATTTTAATACTGTATGCAATAGGTCAACTACATTTGGTGTATGGAAATATTTTATGATATATATGTCAGTCTGGCAGGTTTTATTTGAATTGACTTCGACCTTATTTTCACGCTTCATTGCTCAACGTTAAGTTTTTGTGTTTTGGTCTGTTTTTCTTAAACTATAAGCAATAGGTCAACTATATTTGGTGTATGGAATGATTGTAAGGTGTTTATGTCTGTCAAACAGGTATCATCTGACCTTTACCTCATTTTCATTGTTAATTGGTCAATGTTAAGTTTTCCTGGTTAAGTTTGTTTCTTAGATACTATAAGCAGTAGGTCAACTGTAGTTGATGCATGGAATGATTTTAAGGTATGCATGCCTGTCTGGCAGGGTTCATCTGACCTTGACTTCATTTTCACAGTTCATTGGTTAATATAAAGATTTCATGGTTTGGTCTGTTTATTGTATACTATAAGCAATAGGTCAACTATATTAGGTGTATGAAATAATTGTAAGGTGTACATGTATTTTCGCCTTGATTTATCTGACTTTGACCTCATTTTCTTGGATCATGTTGAGTGTATGTGATACTTGTAGTAAAACTTTATGTTTGGACTATCAACATAAAATCAATTGTCAGTAAAGCAGGCGAGACATTTCAGCGTGTGCACTATTGTTATTAGTAAAAAGTACTGACACAATACTAGTAGTATGATTGACAACTTTCATGACTAACAAACAATGTTCGTCCTTCCTGAATGTAAGACTGAAGTTAATTAGTAATTTGGTCAATATGATTGGCATTCAGGAAGGACGAACATTGTTTGTTAGTCATGAAAGTTGTCAATTGTCTGCAACAGTACTATATCTTTTTTTTTGTCAACACGATGATGATACCTAATTATGGCTTGAAATTGTGTGATTTGGATCACTTTGATTTTTGTTCCTGCCAATCAACCAACATTGAAGTTAGGCTAAATATAGAAAATAAGGGTGAAAACATTGGTTGTCGAATTTCTAGAAAACCATAATATTTGGGCATCATGATATCTGACATGGAAAAAATGTTTAGAATGTCAAGATCTACCTTTTTTTTTATCTCACCTGATCACTCACTTGACCTGAAGTGTCAAGTGAGCTTTTCTCATCACTTGGCGTCCTTCAATTGTTCGTCTTTGTCATTGTCCGTTAACTTTTCCAAAAATATTCTCCTCTGAAACTACTGGACTAATTGGAACCAAATTTGGCAACAATCATCATTTGGGTCTCAAGTATTAAGAAATGTGTCAAATGATCCTGCCTCTCAACCAACATGGCTAAAAAATAGAACATGGGATGAAATGCAAGTTTTGTCTGTTATCTTGAAATGGCTTTAGACAGAGAAAATCTAACAGGACAGAAATTTTACAAAATGATGAGATATATCTACTGTCTATGTATGTCAAAACTGTGATGACTTCTAATAGGAGTTATTACCCAAATTTCAGGAATTTTTTTTTCATTTTTGCTTATTATCTTGAAAATTATAATAGATAGAAAGAAACTTTGATTAGCAAAAATAAAAATAATCAAGGCAAGATCTAAAGTCAGTTTACTCCTCATTGGAGTTATTGCCCTTTATTGACAATTTTTACCATTTTTTGCTTTTTTGCCTTTTATCTTGAAAATTCTATTAGATCAATAGGAACTTTTCAAAGCGAACATTATCAGAAAAACAAGATCCACAAATAATTGAAATGGCTGAAATTTTCAGTTGTCTCTTTATAAGAGTTATTGCCCCTAGAAGACAATTTTACAGTAATGGATAGAGAGAAACTGTAAATTGTTAGCTTTGATAAACAAACATTTAGATCTTCAAATCATTTGTGGTCTTTGATTTTATGATGAGAACCATGTCAAATAAGTAGGGGTTAGGGTTGGAGGCTTGGAAGATTTTGCAATAAATTCATCACAATATTCTTCAAAAATAACTTTGTGTTCCTGGTACTGAAAAAAAATATTCCTCTTGGTTTTAATTTGTTTGTTTCTGGTTGAATAGAGAATAGAATATTTATATTATGCAAATATTGATAAGCAAACAATATTTTTTAAAGGTTTTATGTCAACACCTACAGGCAGTTATACATGAATTGGATGTAGTAAGCGGACAACAACTTACTGACGAAGCTAAGGGCATGTGTTTACTCACAGCTGTGACTCTAACACACATTATATGTGAATATGGAATCAAATTAGAAACCAAAGAAAGAAGAATGTTATGTGAAGCTTTGTTGCCAAGACCAGATTTTGAAAACAAAGTTTCTCAAGATGTTGAAGATTTGAAGAGTTTTCTTCCTAATCAGTTGAAGTAATGTATAATATAATGCAGTGTTATTTTCAAATATATTGCATGCTGGAAATAGACAAAATATCTATATGAAATAGTTAGAAGCAGGCAAAATATTTGAAGGGAATTATTGTTAGTTGGTGTTGAGGCCTTTTAGGGTTGATTCTATAGAGAGAAACTTTAAATTGCAAAAATGATCAGAAGGACAAGTTCTTCAATTAAGTCTTATGGTTGAAATCATCAGTTGACTCCTTATTAGAGTTATTTCCCTTTGAAGCCGATTTGTATAATTTTTTTTGCGTTTTTGTCTTATATCTTAAAACTTATAATAGATAGAAAGAAACTTAAATATACAAAAATGATCAGCAAGACAAAATCTACAATTAAGACAAATGGCAGAACTTGTCCAACGACTCCTTATTGGAGTGATTGCCCTTTAATTATGATTTTTACCATTTTTTTGCCTTTTTTCCTTGTATGATATTAATTATAATAGATAGATAGAAACTTAAATAATCAAAAATGATAAGCAAGACGAGACCTACTAATAAGTCAAATTTTGCTGATATAATAAGTAGACTGTTACTCTTTATAGGAGTTTTTTTACCTTCTTTTGTGTTTAGAGCAAAAGCTAAATAAGATCATGAAGATAGAGAGAAACTAAACAGACTTCAATGATCAGCAAAATAAGATACAAAAAAAAACAGAGATTTTTGTCATTAATTCTATTCTCGTCTACAATGTTGGAGAGTGTCCCCTGTTGAATATGCATATAGACCAAGGTGAGCGACACAGGCTCTTGAGAGCCTCTAGTTTCAGTTCATCTTGGATCAAAAATGTGTTATGAGATCCATGCTACCATAGGATCTTATTGCTTACACTTCAATATGAACTTTTCTGGTTAAGTTTGATGTGAAGGTGAAGGTCCATATTTAAGAAACTAAAGTCATGGAGAGATAATATTTTAGACACATTTTGATAGTATTGGTGGTCAACTTGACAATATTCAATGACTGATTTAGTTTTGTGTTTTGCAGTTAAATGCCTAAATTTCAGCATTTACAACTCATAGAGAAATGAGTAATGTCAGTGGACAAATTCTTGGATAGTAGCCAATGTTAGGCAAACACAGATGACCTTGACCTATATTTTATCTTTGAATATCAAACTGTTCAACTGGTTCTTTCTTTAATCAAACTATCATGTATGAGTCATAGCCAAGTCATAAGTGTAAATAGTGCAAGGTCAAAAAGAAACCATACTTTTGATAATGAAGCAACTGAAATTTTATGCCTCTCCAACATTTCTATGGTCATGATTTCCAGTCTGCTTTCGATTAGGTTAAACTTTTGGTTTATGATAGTTTACCATGAAATTTTTATCATATCAACATGAAACTTAGTACTGTACAAATGTTCATTATGATGTTAGATTTTTAAAATGTATTGAAACATTAAGAGTTTTGGCTAGATATTGTTGTTCACTGAACATGGAAATGTGATAGTGTGATCGGGGGCTTGATGTCCTTTGGACACATGTTCTTTGTTTATATAAAAATCCAAATTGTAAAGTTGATGAAAGGGAAGAATGTTATTTTTTTATTAATATTACACAAACTGTTAAATCAAATCTTAAAATCTATGCTTGCCCTAAAAGTGCATTCTCCTCTACTGATTTTAGTGACCTAAAATTACTTGCCATAAGGGCTATAAGAGGTTGGCACCCTGGCATGCCTTTATTTCTATAGCTACATTAGAATGTGTTGAAAGCCCCATTTATGAGATTGCTTCCATTTTTATAAATGTTGATTGCAAAGTACATTTTCTCTAGTTTAGGAATGTTTTTTTATTTGTTATTCTTTTTTTACAGAAATGTTGCTGATTCAGTATTGAAATTTGCAAGAGGCATAGCATTTAGTACATCAGATCCAAGCTGGATGTTCTGTGTTCCTGTCATTCATTCAATGTTCAAGTATAGTTTTCCATTTGAAAATGCACCACCAAAAGTAGACCATGCTGAGAAAACACCATTTTGGTGGGGTGTTAGTGACTTTGGTGGTGATCATGAATATTTTAAAGGAAAATCTAATTGGGACCGGTAAACATTTAAAAATTTAATGTCATCAGATTAAAGTTGATTAAGAATTGACACTCACTGCTCATGGATAATCACATGCGACTCTTTTCACAAAAAATATCACAATTAAAATTGATCGTAAGTTATACTGAAATGTGTATGACTTACGAGTATTTTTACTCTTAAGTTTTTTTGTGAAAAGAGCCGCTGATTCTCAACACAATAAAAACTTAAAGCTGAACTTGTTAGGGCAATACACCATTTTCATTTAAAAGTGTTTGGACTAAAACAAGAAATCACATACTGTTCCCATTAGGATTTCCAAGAAATGATTACTAAATATATGGACATTGATAAATGTTGACCATTAGGTAATCAAAAGTTATGTCATCCATGGAATTTCAATTCTTTTGAACAATATCATAGTTATCCTTATGTAATAGTAAAAGGAAAAACATATATTTGCTCTGAATGATTTTCTATCTAATTCTATATTCATTATAAAAATAAGAAGAGGTGGTATGATTTCCAATAAGACAACTATCTACCCAAGTTCAAATGAAGTGGATGTAAGCAATTAAAGGCAACCATACGGCCTTCAACAATGAGAAAAACCCATACCCTATAGTCGGCTATAAAAGGCCTGACAGGTTTTCGGGATAGATCAACAATATATAGTAGTGGGTTTGATGCAAGAAGTATATGTCTGTCTGACATATGTCATATCACCTTGAACTCAATATCTGACTCCATTAGTCAGTTTAAGTTTTTAGAATGAGATCTGTTCCTCATTGAAAATATATACGAATACGAATACGAAAGTTTTATTTTGATTCGGTTCACATATAACAATACAAACATAAGCTCTTAAGAGCTTTTTACCGAATATAAGGTAACACAAACACAACATTAAAACACACAACATGCAGACAGGATATATAACAGCACAGTCATATCGAAATACATGCAAAGCACTTTTAAAATACATATCTAAAGCCAAAGCTGAAGCACAACTAAAAATTAAGCACAACTAAAATTAAGCACAAATAAAATATAGCACACATGCAAAAATTTAAGGCATAATAACATGTTAGAGCAACTTCTAAAATATGATAAAGCTTATCTGATATATCAACACTATTTGGTATATTGGTTGTGAGGAGTTTATTTCTTTGTTATAATGACCTTTATCCCTCTTTTATGCTTGATGGTCAAGGTTAAGTTTTAAGGGTGTTGTCTATTCTTCATACTTATATTTGATTGGTCAACAATTATTGGTTTATGAATTTGTAATGAGGTGTATATGTTAGTCTTACTCAATTTCACACTTCATTGATCAGATTAAGTTTTCAAAACTAGGTCTATTTTTCAGTAACTATGTGATAGGTTATTAATATTTTGTTTGTCGATTGGTTGGGAGTTGTATATATCAGTCTGCTGTACATCATATGGTTTAGCTTGACCACATTTCCAGTGTTATTTTTAGTTTTATTAATAAGAACAAAGCAAACAACCATAGAAAGCAGTTAGTTACTTATAACTCATTGATTATGCCAGACAACTGTGTATGGCACTTCGTATCTAGAAATGTTTAAAGTATCCTGTCCTCAAAAAAATTAGATATAACAATGTACAGTGTTCAAGATTTTAAAATTTAGAAGTTATATATTTTTGCAGGCCAAAGGATGAGATATTAGAGAAACTGAAACCATACTTTGAAGTTGATTATCTACTTCCAAGGACATTTTTGGCATCATTGAAGCTAGAGCTGATACACACTGTTGTCATAAGTCACTACATTCCTCCTGAAATATCACTGGCATCATCTATTTATTACTTGAAAAAAAATGCAGATATTGTAAGTATATGAGAAAGTTTTAAATATTACATTGACTGGAAAATTTATTATTACTCCAATAAATATAATTTTCTTTTCCGTCATGGTATTATTAAAACAATATCTTTTCTATAAAGTATCCATCTTCTGCAACATTTTCTTATTTGTATATGGACACCAATATAGGAAATAGGGCATTGGGAGTAATACAGGCAAAATGCTTTTATTTATACGTTTCTTTATATTTATAAATAATTTTTAGTTCATATATTAAATTTTCTTGGAGATATTTGTTTTTATCAGGTAGATCAAACTTTTTATGCCCCCTGGGGCATTTAGTGTAACCCTTGAATTTCTGTCCGTCCCATTTTCGTTTCCGCACTCTCACATAAGCTTTTTCCATCCAAATTTTAAGAAACTCATACACAATGCTGAGAACCAAAACTTGCAGACAGAGTTCAAATTTGGGCAGTGAGTCACTTACTGTTCTAGATTGGAAACTCACATTAGGTAAATAACAATTTTTATTGGTATGACGTTGGCGTCGTCGTCGTCATCGTTGTCGTCTGAAGACACATTGGTTTTCGCACTCTAACTTTAGTTTAAGTGAATGGATCTCTATGAAATTTTACCATAAGGTTCAATACCACAAAAGGAAGGTGGGGATTGATTTTGGGGGTTATGATACCAACAGTTAAGGAATTGGGGGCCAAAAAGGGGCCAAAAATAAGCATTCTTGTAACTTCCAGACATAACTTGTGTGTTAGTGTATGGATCTCTATGACATTGTACCACAAGGTTCCATATCACAAAGGGAATACTGGGATTGATTTGGGGGGTAATTGCCTCCAAATTTTAGGAATTAGGGGCCAAAAAGGAGCAAAAAAAAAGCATTTTTCTAGTTTCATGACAATAACTTGTGTGTAAGTGTATGGATCTCTCTGACATTGTACCACAAGGTTCCATATCACAAACAGTTGAACGGCAAACGCCTGAATCTGACAGATAGAGGTCAATTTGTCGACAAAAAAAGTACCCGTATGTAAAATGTTTACGCCCACAAACAGCGCCACCTATAATTTTTTCTACGGCGTCTTTGAGAACGATGTTCCGTTCTGTAGTAAATTAAAACATTAAATTAACTAAAACATAGAAAAGTAAGTGTATAAAACTAATTAAAAGATATATTTGCACATGACTGGTTATGCATGATATGCTGGAAATGTGCACAATGTCCTTTAATCCAAGATTCAAAATTAGTTTGTTTCCTATGTCAAAATGGCGGATTCCAATGTTTATATTTTTCCATCGATTTGAGAGCTGACACAAATTCGTATCCAATCATTAATTTGCATATTATGTACTGTGTAGGGTAGCTTATCCAATGGGATTTACTGTTATAAAGTGGCTATACGTTACCATCCATCGTTACAAAAGTGCCATGTGTTTTGTGTGTATAGCTCAGGAATGATGTGTATTCAATATTTACGGTAAATAATCAATGTTATGTTCATTATATTTCCATGCATACACAAGTCATAACAGCAAATGCATTTTTTATAGAACTTATTAGGTAAACAGACATGTTTAACTGTCTGCTTTAGCAAAAATTCGTGTAAATAAACCCGATGGGTCGTTTTGAATATTCAAGCACAGCAGACAAACACGTGGTAGATAATTGATGTTTGTTTACCTAAATTGCACGCTGTTGTTACTAAATACTTAGAAATAACCATTATCGTGTTATTATTGTTTAACAGCAGATAAAATTAATTTTACAATTGCATTTAACTACTTTCAAGAGTTATATAATACACCTTGCCTAAGAAATAGGTCTAGCTAGGTCCAGGGACCTCCTTTACTAGGTCCTTAAAAAAAGAGGCTGTAATAATGTACATGATGTAAATTACCATATTTACATTCCAGCATATTTTTGCATTTGATATATTTCATATACATGTACATGTATGTACATAGAGAACAATAGAGTAAATGAACATACATGGGTTTAATTCCCACCCTATGTATTAATTTTAATACTCATTAGAGGTTGGAGCAAATAGGGCAGATTGCAATTGACCATAATGTAGTGTCTAAAAATGCTGATTGATGTGGCCAAGTCCTCAACATCCTTTTTTCTAAGTATACAGCAGCTCCTTTAAGGATTAGTAAGGGAACACTTTACATATAGTCCAGTGGCTAAGTCCTGTCTTTTTTGTCTCTATTGTTTCCTTATTTATATTATTATATTTCTTATATTCTCTTGTACATGTAGTAAGCTAAAAAGCTATCATTACTCTTTTTCCTCATCTGTCTGATAACAATGAAATGTATTCATTGTTGATGTCTGTAAAGTGACTTATAATTTAACTGCTAACAGACATTTGGACTCTGGTGGATAGTTTCTATACTGTTATCTCATTGGCAATCATACCACATCTCTTTATTTTAGTACAGGTTAAGTATCTAAAGTAAGTGACTAACAAACATTAAATCATTTGAAAGAAAAATTCTGCAATAATTTCAGTTTACATATATCAACAATAAAATTTGGTAGTATAAATTGTGTCATTATGTTTAAAATGACCACTGTAATTGTGAACTGCCATGACTGTCTTGTACAAAATATATTTGAATAAGTTCCCTAATGAATAGTATATAGATGTTTAAAAAAAACAAATGTATGTACTAGTTCCAGATCTATCAATTCAAAAATAATTGATGTTTTTTTTAATTAATTGAATAATAACAACTTATTGCAATAATCATGATATTAAAATACAAACTAGCATTCTTATATGTGATACATATATAACTTAATGCAGCTTATTCTGAAATTGTAAGGTATGTCATAAAAAAGAGATTTTTTGTAAAAGTTACCAAAATTGTCTGTATTTCAACCACATTTAGGCCTAGGAACCTTAAATTTTTAAGTGTAGAGGTTGACAAGCTAAGTCATGACTGTAAATTCAGATATTATCATGAGGTTTTTATTAAAGTAAATAATGCGATTAAATTGATTATCTCAATAAAAAGAACTCTCATTCTGATTTGATACTATGAGATTTTTTCTGATATCAGAAAAATAAATATCTCATTGTTGTCCATTCTTCAAAAAATTTCTGAACATACTGTACATGTATTTAAGTCAGCTTTGTTTTTGTCTGAGACTACTATAACATGGGAAGTGACCAATCTCTATGTTAATTGTTATAGTAGTCTCAGGTTTTTGTTTTGTAGTTCAATTGACTATGGATTTTAGAGCAGTTAAATATGAATTTGGATTAAATTTGAAGTTGATTCAGTATATTTTATGACAAAATAACACTCTTTTATTTAAACAAAGCATTTTCAGACTTTATTTACAGACCAGCTTAGCTAATCATTCATTATTTAATCAATAATTTAATTAAAGGACTCAACAGTTGTTTGTAGGACTTATGAATTCAAATATAAGGAAAAAAAATCAAAACTTGAAGTAATACATATAATAGGAATTATGAGAACTGCATGATATCAGATTGCAATACAGCTTTTTGTTCAGTTTTCTTTGTGTTGATTATAATGTTTTAAATCCCTTTCTGGCTTTTTGGATGTTCAGATTTTTTCTCTTGATTAAGAGCGAACAACGGAACTTGTACATCTTATATAGTTTCTTATCTCGGGGGTGGATCAAGCCAATTTTCAAAGAGGAGGGGGGCATGTATTGTCTACATTTTCTTTTTTTCCATATTGTATTTTAATGTAATGCAAAGTTAAATTCTATTGTAACACAAGTTCTGCTGACAAATGGCTGATAAACCCCTCTTGTATGTAATTATTTGGCATGAAATGAAATATGTTTTTTCTGTATACGGAAATTAGGAATAATCCACCCTCTCTTTATAAAAGACCTGGATCTGCTTAAAAGTTCTTGCTTTTCTCAGAATTTTCCATTGTTACATCAGGAATAAAGGCTACCAATAATCATGCTTGACGATCATTGAGGTCACACATAAAGAACCCATCTCTTTGCAGATCATAGTAGAAAAACAAAGATACAATGTAGTTGGTAACATAAATGTATTTAAAAATATCAAGAGAAACATTCCCATACAGAATCTCTGTCAATAAGTTATTTTTCCACTCTTAACAGTGAAATCTTAAATATGTAAATTGATCGGCAAGCCTCGCATCTTGAAAAATAAAATGTCTGTAGGAAAGAACTATTGTTTCACAATTGATGCTGTGTTAGAATTTATAATATCACTCTTTTTTCCCCATATGATCAGCATAAAAAGTGACAAGTTCTTCAGTCTAAATAACTTTGTTAAATCTCATTTCTGATGGAACATTTTCAGTGCACCAGATTAACAACTTTCTATGTTAGATACTTATTTAAATATAAAAATTCAAGTCTAATTTTAGAGTGAAATTTTAATATATTTAAACAAACTGTTCTAAACAACCAACATGTACAAACACTGAGTTTATTTTCATATCCTTTCTAAGAATATTGATACAAAGAAAGTAAAACAAAGACTTGTATCATTCCATCTACCAAAAGGGTGTTTGAGAATATACAAATAAGTCCAAGTTTCAGAGAAAAGTCAGTTATCTATAATTTTCTTCTTTGGAAGTTTTCAAAAACCTGTTTTATGGTACTTGAAAAAATGCCATATTCAAACATTCCATGACTATTTTAATGTTACAAGAGTAGAGGAACATTAAATATTGAATGGTTATTCAAGAAAGTGTCGAAATATAACTACAATCATTAATTTTACTCGAATTTACTGTTGTGAACTTGCAGTTTCCTACGACGCGTGTACGGAGTTATCTCCCGTTGATCTCCGCTTCGCCACGAATAAGCTGACACAATTGCGTATCCGGGGAATTTATGATCTATAATTAATATATAAGATCCAAAAAATGGTTTTACTTCATATTTTATACCCCTCCATACGTTACCAAACCCATTTAAGAAGTGATTTGGGATTTTCCGTAGACCTACGCAAATTTTCCAAAAAAAATTTCAACTTCCATAGTTGTTTTAGAATACATTTATAACACCTTTCATAAATAAGTATACATAATAATGAAGCTTATTCACTCAAGATTTGGACCCTACAAGTTTTATTTATGTACGAGTTACAATTAGACGATACGAGGTAAAAAACCAAGAGGTGTACACGTTCACAAGAAAACGGTAAACTCTGACCTTTTATCACGTGACCAATGTCTTGAACTTAGACGCCATTAAATCGTTTGCCGTTCAACTGAAAGGGAATGCTGGGATTGATTTTGGGGGTAATTGCCTCCAAATTTTAGGAATTAGGGGCAAAAAAGGGGCAAAAAACAAGCATTTTTCTAGTTTCATAACAATAACTTGTGTGTAAGTGTATGAATCTTTATGAAATTGTACTACAAGGTTCCATATCACAAAGGGAAAGCTGGAATTGAGTTTGGGGGTAATTGCCCAAAATGTTTAGGAATAAGGGGCCAAAAAGGGGCAAAAAAAACCAAGCATTTTTCTAGTTTCATGACAATAACTTGTGTGTAAGTGTATGGATCTTTATGAAATTGTACTACAAGTTCCATATCACAAAGGGAAAGCTGGAATTGAGTTTGGGGGTAATTGCCCAAAACATTTAGGAATAAGGGGCCAAAAATAAGCATTTTTCTAGTTTCCAGACAATAACTTGTGTTCAAGTTTATGGATCTCTATGAAATTGTACTGCAAGGTACCATACCACAAAGGGAAGGCTGGGATTGAGTTTGGTGGTTATGAATCATAAGGGGGTTCAAAAGATTTGGATTTTTTTTCCTTTTTTTCCTTTTTTTTTTCTTTAAAATTTTCCATTTTAAATTGATTATTTCTGATTTATATATAAAAGCAAATAATAATGATATGGTTTGAATAGGTAAATTAAAAAATTTTAAGTTCTTAGACCACATTCATTCTGTGTCAGGAACCTATGCTGTGTCAAATATTTAATTACAATCCAAATTCAGTGCTGTATCAAGCTTGAATGTTGTGTCCATACTTGCCCCAACTGTTCAGGGTTCGACCTCTGCGGTCGTATCAAGCTGCGCCCCAGCGGAGCATTTTATTATTTATTATAATATCGTAATGATAAAAATAAACCAGAGGGCACAAAAAGTGTGATCTTCACTTATAACTACTATTACATTCATAAATGCTTAGTTTAACAAATAAACAAGTAAAGCTATGAAAAATATTTGAAGTAAAAGAACCAAAGCATTATTCAAGAACTGAGAAATTCACTGGACAGAAAACTTGTAAATAAGAAATAAAAGCAAAACAGTGAAAATATGAAAATAATTAACACACTGCACAAAAACCTAAGACTAGAACAAGTGAACTCTTTAAAAACTAGCAGTGAGATCAAATGCTCTCAAAAAGTTTTATCTATTATAAGCAAGTTTGAGACGGGCATTCATGTCCTCGCACACATTCTTCTTTTATTTTGGTTAGGCTTTAATAAGTTTTTGAGACGTCTTTGTTTTTTTTGAGGTATGAAAGGTCTTAAGTGGCTAAATCAATTAATAAAATGAAAATAATTACATATTGCTCTCCTGTATGAAACCTGATGAGTGATTATAGAGTTTTTTATTTCTGTTTGTAGGGATTTATTAAGAAGATAATTCAGCATGTGGCAGAACAGTGTTATAATGATTGTCCAGATATGTAAGTTGTTAAGGCAGGCTTGTAGCAAGATTTGTTTGAGAGGGATTATTTTGGGTCATGACACTTTGACTTTAATAGTCAAACCTCAATCTGAAATCTGGACTTATATAGTCTTTTATAGTATTTTTTTTGTTTTTAAAAGGTGTTCTTATGAACAAGGTGTGTAAAATATTATATTTCATGAAGAAAAATAATTGATAAAATTCTTAAACATTGAGGAAATGATGAATCTTGATAAAAAAAATCACCAAACAGTCCAACTACTAAATGATGTCCTCATGTGCCTGGACAGTATGAGGCTGAGTATTTTAGATTGATTACTCCCATGTGACAAAAAGAAATTGTATTTTGGGGATTACATGAACTTTTTGAATAAAGCATTTTTTGCAGAATGTTGAATAGTTTTATAATAAAGTCTCGCATATGCCTAATGATGGTCTTAGGTTTCTGTCTGGCATATGCTTGACCCCAATTTCATGGTTCATTGACTACATAAAAAACTGTATAGGTCCTTTTTTCTCACATGATTTTTATGTCTGGCCTTAGATAGTAGGGTGGCATTATGTTTTAGGTCTGTTTGTCTGTCCCTCTTTTCATCAGTTCAACCATCCCATATCAGGTTAAGTTTTTTGGTAAAAGTATGAAGTTGTGGACCTTAGTGGAAATGTATCTTTAGATTTTTTTTTTATTTGCCAAACTATTGTGTTGACCCTAATTTGATTTAATGGTTCACTGGACATTGAAATGTGACAGTGTGAAATTTGTACATTCTCATGGTAAAGTTTTGGGTTATTGCATGATACGTATATACTATCCATCTGACAGGGTTCATCTGACCTCAAACTAATTTTTTTCATGGATTATAGCTTTTGTTATTCCACTGATCAAGATTTAAAAGGGGAGGGTTGAGTGAAAAATATTATTTGTTTGTCCCTCACTGCAACTTGATTATAATCAGTCACTCTGGTCTTGTAAGTGCATTAGATTCTGATGTACAATCCTAGCCAGATTTTTATGTAATTTATACCAAAGGTTTATATCAGCAATGTCTGGGATGAGTTCTAAAAATCTATGCATAAGTTATGTCCCTTGGAAATGTAAATTCTATGGAAAATTGCATTGTATGCAATCTTGCCCCTACATTTCTTGTTGGAATTTTATAGAATTAATATCTAAGGTTAATATCAGCAAGATCAGTGACAAGTTGGATAATTAGTGCTGATCAATTTTTGGAAAGATTGGAACCATTGTTCCTAAGGCACCGGCCTCCCAAACATGAAGTAGCACAGGTTAGCTACTAAATCTACAGAATGTATAAACCATGTAATTCTCATTCCTTTGTACATAAGCACATATGAGCTGTGAAAAATTTGGGTTATATCTTGGGAGCAGTTCATTCAAGTATGTGAGTCTCTAGTTTTTGTCGAGCCCGCGACTTTTGTCGCAGAAAGCTCGACATAGGGATAGTGATCGGTGGCGTTAACTAACTTCTAAAAAGCTTTATATTTTAGAAGGTGGAAGACCTGGATGCCTCATACTTTGCATATAGATGCCTTATGTTATGAAGTTTCCGTCTGTCCCATGTCCATTGTCCTTGACCTCATTTTCATGGTCCAGTGACTACTTGAAAAAAGTTAAGATTTTTTGTAATGTTAATTTCTCTCTTATTAAGAGTAATAGGATAACTATATTTGGTATGTGCATACCTTGCAAGGTCCTCATGCCCGTCAGTCAGTTTTCACTTGACCTCGACCTCATTTCATGGATCAGTGAACAAGGTTGAGTTTTCGTGGTCAAGTCCATATCTCAGATACTATAAGCAATAGGTCTAGTATATTTGGTGTATGGAAGGATTGTAAGGTGTACATGTCCAACTGGCAGGTGTCATCTGACCTTGACCTCATTTTCATGGTTCAGTGGTTATAGTTAAGTTTTTGTGTTTTGGGCTGTTTTTCTATTATTATATGCAATAGGTCAACTATATTTGGTGTATGGAATGATTTTAAGGTGTACATGTCCAACTGGCAGGTGTCATCTGACCTTGACCTCATTTTCATGGTTCAGTGGTCAAAGTTAAGTTTTTGAGTTTTGGTCTTTTTTTCTATTATTATATTCAAAAGGTCAACTATATTTGCTGTATATTTTTTGTATAGAAGGATTGAAAGCTGTATATGTCTGTCTGGCAAGTATCATCTGACCTTGACCTCATTTGTTGGTTCATTGGTCAATGTTAAGTTTGTTTCTTAGATACTATAAGCAATAGGTCAACTATATTTAATGCATAGGTTGATTGTAAGGTGTACATGTCTGTCTGGCATGATTTATCTGACCTTGACCTCATTTTCATGGTTCATTGGTCAATGTTTAGTTTTCTTGGTTAAGTCTGTTTCTTAGAAACTATAAGCAATAGGTCAACTATATTTAGTGTATTGAATGATTGTAAGGTTGATAGTTGTAGTAAAGCTTTATATTTAGGACTATCAACATAATATCAATGGTTAGTAAAGAAGGCGAGACATTTCAGCGTGTGCACTCTTGTGTCAATTTACAGGCTAGCTTTGTAATTCCAATTAGGTAAGAGTAATAATACATTACCAGCATGATTGACAACTGCAATGATCACCAAACAGTCAGAGACAAGGTGGGGCTCTTAATTAGATTGTCCCACCTCCTTAAATACCAATCATCTTGACCAAATTACTAATCAACCTCAGTCTTACATAATTAAGCAGATCCTTCATTATACATCTCAATACCCAAATATTTGACCTTATTATTGAATACACAAAATGTATATATTAGATGTTTGATATATAGAAATGATAGATTTATTCATTGCCTATATATAGCTATTACTTTTGATCTACACTACATAAAATGATTCTATAAATTATGTCTGAAAGATAAATGATTAAGGATTAACAAGATTTTTTTTTTCAATAGAAAAAATTAAATATAAATGTAAAAAAAGGTATCCAAGTAAGGTCTATATTTTACTTGATAAATTTGTGCAATAATCATCTGGAATGAATCGGGGTCTCAGTGGCCGAGTGGTCTAATTAGTTACTACTGTAATCACTAGCCAGTCAACACTGAGGTTGTGAGTTCGAACCCCGCTCGTGGGGGTGCACTCGACTCCAATCTTTATTGACTAGGATTGTCAGTTTTCCTATCGAAGGTCGGTGGTTTTCTCCGGGCACTATGGCTTTCTCCACCAATAAAAACTGGCCGCCACGAAATAGCCCAAAAGCGGTGCTCAAAAGTGGGTTAAAACACCAAAAATTAATCAATCTGGAATGAATCAATAATTTAGGTTACACTTATCAGTGATTGGCTTGAAACAGTAAGTAAAATTAACTTAGCAAACCAATATTTTTTATGCCCCCGCAGTAGCAGTGGAGGCATTAAGTTTTACCCTTGTCCGTCTGTACGTACGAACGTAAGTATGTACGTCCCAAAATTGGTTATGAAACAATGCTTATTACCACAAAACACAGATCGAGTTTGAATTTTGGTGGCGTCACATTAACCGTTCTAGAGTTATGCCCCTTTATAAATGGAAAAATTGCAAAATTTTTAGTTTCCGTTCTCTAACTTAAGTTTGCCTCAACCAAATGTTGTGAAACTTATACACAATGCTTATTACCACAAAACACAGATCAAATTTGAATTTTGGTGGCGTCACTTTAACCGTTATAGAGTTATTTCCCTTTATAAATGGAAAAATTGCAAAATTTTTAGTTTCCGTTCTCTAACTTAAGTTTGCCTCAACCAAATGTTGTGAAACTTATACACAATGCTTATTACCACAAAACACAGATCAAGTTTGAATTTTGATGGCGTCACTTCAACCGTTCTAGAGTTATGCCCCTTTATAAATGGAAAAATTGCAAATTTTTTATTTTCTTCTAAATATCAAGTAATTTTTTAAATTTGAGTTATCTTCATTTGTCCATGATTATAGTTGAATCAACTACAATCATTGCTTTATACAATGCAATGTTTAATTTTGACTTCCACTGATAAAACACAGATCAAGTTGAATTTGGGTAGTGTCACTTTAACCATTATTGAGTTATGCCCCTTTATAAATCGAAAGATTGCAAAATATTTAGTTTCCATTCTGTAACTTAAGTTTGCCCCAACCAAACATTATGAAACCTATACACAATATTCATTACCACAAAACTAAGATCAAGTACAAATTTTTTGTTTCCGTTTTCTAACTTTAGTTTGTCTCAACCAAATGTTATAAAACTTATACACAACCGTTCTAGAGTTATGTGTGTTTACAAATAGAAAAATTGCTGAATTTTTAGTTTCTGTTCTCTACTTAAGTTAGCCTCAACCAAATGTTATGAGACTAACACACAATGCTTATTACCACAAAACTCAGATCAAGTTCAAATTTGGGTAGCGTCACTTTTACCATTCTTCAGTTATGTCCCTTTATAACTATATGATATGCAAGCGGGGGCATCATCTGTGTCCACATGTGGACACTATCCACATTTATTTAATTTTTTTTCCCTATCAAATTTCTTTGAACACATGAACAAAATTAGTCATTTGAATACAGAAAGTGTATTTTTGTAATGAAGAATGAATCCCAATTTCAATAAAATCAGTTTTTATACGACCGCAAAAAAATTTTTTGGATCGTATAATGGTATGATGTCGTCGTCGTCCGAAGACACATTGGTTTCCGGACAATAACTTTAGTTTAAGAGAATGGATCTCTATGAATTTTTTTAAGAAGGTTCAATACCACAAAAGGGATGGTTGGGATTGATTTTGGTGATGATGGTCTTAACCGTTTAGGAATTAGGGGCCTAAAAGGGGCCAAAACAAGCATTTTTCTAGTTTCAGGATAATAACTTGTGTATAAGTATTTTGATTGCTCCGAAATTGTACCACAATGTTTAATACCACAAGTAAAAGGTTGGGATTCATTCAAGGGGTTATGGGGCCAACAGTTTAGGAATTAAGGGCCAAAAAGGGGCCAAAAACAAGCATTTTTCTAGTTTCCAGACAATAACTTGTTTGTAAGTGTATGGATCTCTCTGACATTGTACCACAAGGTTCCATATAACAAAGGGAAGGCTGTGATTGAGTTTGGGGTTAATTGCCCCAAACATGTAGGAATTAGGGGCCAAAAAGGGCCAAAAACAAGCATTTTTCTTAGTTTCCAGACAATAACTTGTGTTTAAGTGTATGGATCTCTCTGAAATAATACTACAATGTTCCATACTACAAAGGAAAGGCTGGGATTGAGTTTTTGGGTTATTGCTCCAAGGGGGGTTTCAAAAAGTTGGGGGGGGGGGGGGGGATTTTTTTTCCAATTTTTTTAAGGGATTCATATTTTTTTCAAAATTTTTCAAATTTTGAATTGTTGAAAAGTTTCAAGAAGAAATCTTCAATTGCACAGTGTTGCGCAATAGATTTGTAAGATCTTTGACCACATTTATTTTGTGTCAGAAACCTATATTATGTCAAAAATTTGATCACAATCCAAATTCAGACAATATCAAACTTGAATATTGTGTCCAAATTTGCCCAAACTGTTCAGGGTTTGACCTCTGCGAACGTATCAGGCTGCGCTCAGCGAAGCATTTTATTTAATTTGAAATGCCCTTTTCTGAAAAATATTAAATTATAAATTGAATTAAAATACACCCTATAACTTTTAATGTTCAGGGTCGTATAATCATAATTGTTTTTAAAATGCAATTCTTAAAGGAGAAAAATATTATACCTATGTTTCAACTTACAAAATGTCCCCAAAACAACCTTTTTAAATTAATTTTTGGAGACAATAAAGATCTTAGTTTCAAGGTTATCTGTTGGTCCCATGTCCTACAAGGATACTTGATAAACTTTATTTGGTATTTTCTTGTGTTTCTATAGATAAAATGTAAAAGGTGAAACATGTAACCGGGAACATTAATTGGTTAAGATATTAATTGCAATTTCAACAAAATTGTTGACCCACTCTCATTAATTCATATTTAGCTCATTTTATCTACTAAAAAAGTGCTTTTCCTTCTAAAGACCTGTAGGAAATGCAAATGTCTGCAATAGTGCTATATTAATGGAAGTATTTGTTTGAAAATACAGTATTAATATAGATACATGTATTGTAGAAGCATTTGTACATTCTTTAGTTTCGTATTATTTGATTGCTACAGGTTTGGGATACTTTAATTGGAGAACCACAGTTTGACTTACACTTTCAGTTATTCATGTTTTAAAATTTTGTTTATCATGCATATACATTTGTACATGTATTGTATATTTCTTGCCTTATTTGAAATTTTAACTATGCTTAATAAACTGTGGTTAGTTTTTCCCAAACCTGTCTTTGTTTACATTTATATATTATTTCACCATTACTTTATGTTATACTTGTTACACTGTATCCATGCCGGTTACCGGTGTGGTGTATCCAACCTTGATGTATAAGTTCAAGAAACATCAAGTGTTGGCAGGGAGGCAAAGAAGAAGTAATGCTGTGTCCTGGCATTGATATATGCTCCTTCACATTGCATCTTATGATATCTACATATGTCATCGGGTGCTGCGTGGCCTAGGGTGGATGCCTGTATAAGGGAGGGGGTCTCTTAATGTATCCTAAGATTAATGTTCTCTATTTGTCCACACCATACTTATATATATAATTTGAAACTACTCTTCTAATCTTTCCATGAGTGATTTCCATCACTTTGATTTTAACACAGAGAGGACCATTTGGAAAACAATAAGAATTTCAAGATATAACATAAAAGGCACTATTTAAAATAAATGTATTTCATCTTTTTTTTAATTGTTTTTTTTTTTATTTTGTTTAAAAGTTATGATAATATTTCCCTTTCATTACAGGTCCTCAAATGGTTTGATAAAGTGGTTTATGATATATAAGATTGCAGCTGACCTTCTTGCAGAAAGTTTAAGATTCCCTCAAAGCGGAAATCGAGAAATTCATCTATCAGCAGCAGAGGTGTTTTTGACAGCTGTAGATAGATTTCATAAAATCCAGGAAAAGCTTAATCCAAACAGAAATGAATATAAAGAACTTAGTATGACCAAGGATGAACACTTAACAAAATTTCATGAATTAAGACTAAAAATTGTTGCATGGTTAGCGGGAGAAGAATTTACATACAAAGAACTGGAATATATGAAGGTAAAACTGATGAAGATAAAAAAATGTCAATGAGTTTAATATTTTTTAGAATAAAGTGGCCTCAGTGAATATCAGTTTTCAAAAGTCAATTAAACCACATATTTACCGAAACAAAAGACAGTAATTGTTTTATTCCATATTCCTAGAGAAAACAATGTATTTAATGACAATTATTTACCTAAAACCAACTGTACATCAAACATTTTACGTGCAAATTATATCACAGCAATTGCTTAGGTGTTATTTAAAAGAATATTGGAGTAAACATAAATGGCATAGCTTGACCATGATGTTCCATGTCAAATTAAGACATAAAAACTGATTAGATGATATATATACATGTATCTATATATATTTAAAGTCTTCATGCTCTTCATATAATTGTTTAGTTGGTAGGAACTTATATTTGAAAACTGTTTGCCTACTTTGATCTTTACTTTAATTTCTAATTTAATTGCAGGAAATAGGTATTATAACAACTTTTGATACATAAGATTGTATTTTTTTTCTTCAGAAATGGAATGCAGCATTATCTTTGAAAATACCGAATGGCAGGATAAAAGACTCATATATAAAAGAACTAGCAGATAGTTTACGGAGTATCCTTCAAAAGAGGGTAATTATTTGAACTACCTATCACTTTTTATAATTGTTGAATTTGTGAAACCTTCAGATTGAAAGAAATCTGCTGAAAAGAAATTGTAATGATTATTATAACATATATTTAAAAAGGAGTAAGTTCACAAAGGATTAGAATTGGCCCTTAAATTTTGATTTTTTTTTTTACATTTTTGCAGTGAGAGTTAACCAGTAGAGTATGACTCTGACTATCAATTGCACATTCCAATATTATCAAGCTCCTCTATATTAAAGTTTATATTTTGCTGTTTGGTGTGAGCCAAGGCTCCGTGTTGAAGGCCTGCCTTTGACCTATAATTGTTGACTTTTTATACATTGTGACTTGGATGGAGAGTTGTCTCATTGGCAGTCATACCACATCTTCTTATTTATATTATATTTTGTATTATTTCAGGGATCAGAAGAAGAACTGATTGAGATCTACTGTTTACACACTGACTCATTTGAGGGAGTAGTGCAAGAGATTCTCCTTAAAGTTGCTCTAAATGTATGTTTGCACACAAACATGAATTTAGATTTAAAGCTTTGTTTTATCATCAATATACAAAATCAACAGAATTCTTTAATACTTTGCCATAATGAAGATTATATCATGATGTTTTTAATAATTCAATATCAGTATTATGGGTTACAGAGCTTTCTTTCTAGTTACAGATTTTGTAAAGATTATACATGGAAAAAACGCTTATGCATGAATAGAAAGAAATAAACAATAAGAATTTTATGTGAAAAACTGAACTTGCTTTCTTTTTTTTTTTTAACACTATTAATTCTTAATTGCACTCCTTGCTGTTTAACAAAATACTTTCATATAAGATTCTAATACAGTTTGATTTTTTTTAAATCTATAATTATTATATAATTATAATACCAAAATGGTCGTATTGTCTTGACTTGACCAGTAAATTATATTTTTGACTTGTTGTGCCGAACCTGAACTGGACATTTAACGTGGGTTTGCCATTTTTAACATAATTCAGAGAAAAAAATAGAAGTTTATGCAATCTTTTTGACCTGACCTTTTGCCTTAAACAACCACACATATCTGGCCATAAAAGTGACATGAAGAATAAGTACTATCAAAACAAACCCTTCTTTAATACTCTCTCATTACAATTAAGGGCATACAATACAGTTTTGATCCCATTATGAAAATTTGATGAAAATTTGCAAATAGGCTATTTTTTACCTGATTAAATCAAATATGTAATAAAAAATATACCTTCATGTGCTACTTTTTGAGTAAAATGAGTTTGAAATTTCATATATTTGCTCAAAATTCGGATTTGTGGACGTATTTTTCCTTCCGACAGAAATGCATAACTTTTTTGTTTTAAAAGATAAACACAAGCTGTTTTTTGTTAAATTATTTGTAATTTCTGTTTAATATAAGTATCCTATGAATTTATGAAATCTTTTGTTAAGAAATAACTCAAATTCATCAAATGTTCATGAATGTTGAAAATAACGTCATTTTTTGCTATATATTTATCAAATTTAAAAAAATTCCATTATTGACTTTTTCATGAAAATTGGTACAAATAATCTTCATACGTAATCAAACCGAATGTCATTTTAAAAAAGAGGGGTCCATGAACTCGTTTTCAAGTTAAATCAGTTTGAATGATAAAAATCAGTCGAAAAATACAATTTTTACCGATATGTCACAGTTTGACGTCGCCAAAATAACATTTTACGTTAGCAACGTCATTACCTCCCCTGTAACTGTATCGTATGCCCTTAAGGTTAATTAGTTCTCTGACAGCTGAAATTTACCTAATCAGGCGACAGGTAAACTATTATGTACCTTATATTGATCTGTCTATTTAAAGTTATTTTCTTAAATTTTGCATCTAATTAATTTATTCAAAATGGTTAAGATTATCAGAAATACGTTTATAATATGATTTGATGAAAAATTTAGAAAGTAAATAATAAAAGTTTTAAGCGAAAAATCTTAAGAACCACGTTGTTTGATCTAGTAAACATGTATGTACACATGTGTGCAGGTGTGAGATTTTATTATGCATCCTAATTTTTACAAAAATGCTAAAATTATCTTTGATACCTTTATCTAACCTTCATTTTGACTATTTAAAGAAATAACGTTGCAAGAGCTACTTAAATTCAATCGTGCTTTGTAAACAGATTTTACGTATCTCTCTGGTCCGTGTTTTACCATTGTCAAGTCAGCATCCCGTATTAGGAAAATGTGCATTATAAAAATGAAAGTGTAGTTGTTGACAGCGTAATTTTGCACAATTAAAGAGTGTAAGGCAGTTATTAGCCTTTTGTTACGAAGTCTTATGAGATTAAAATCAGAATAAGACAAAAAAATGTTCGACTGGCTCAAATATTTTTTTAGAAGCCCTCATAAAACACATCAATATAGTACATATAAATGTAAATAACATTGCAAGAAACTGTGTTTACATCTTTGAACATTGAAATTTATTATCTAAGTTTTTGTCTATATTACTCATTTTCTGGCAAAAAAAAAACAAAACTAGGTAAATTTTCTTATGCATCCCTTTTTAAAACTTAATTATCCAACTTATCTCCCCTTAAATAAGTAAGTGAGAATTTGTTTACATCAAACAAAAATATTGTGTATTAGTTAAAACAGTGGTAGTAATATAATCAATCCTACAATTTTCTTCATTGAAATGAAAAGTCTTACAAATGAATTGTCTCAAAATTTGTATAATGCATTAGAGATGCAGACCGCTTAGTTTCAAGAATCCAAGATTGCAGAAGACATCTGATCTTCCTCTAACGTAAATTAAGTCATCTGAATTTGATTGTCTATTTAATTTGTTCTTTTCAGGTTTGTCAGTTGCTCTAAGATGTAGTTTAGTTGCAATGTAAAGTATCAAAAATTCGTAAGGGTTCCGCGGAACCCAGTGTCTCGCCTACTTTTTCTGTTAATCGCAGGCTCAACAAAAATGAGGAAGTAAATCAATAAAAATATTCCTCTTGAAACTATCTTTTGATTGTAAGAAGCTTCTGTCCAAGTTTGGTAAAAATCCAGGATAGTTTATGAATCTAATAAATGTTTAAAAACTTTAACTGCAGACTGAAATGTAATGTTAACTGGAAGAAAACAAAATTTCCTTCTAGATACTAGCATTTGATCATAAACAAGCTTCTGTCGAAGTTTCGTACAAATCCAAAATAGTATAAGAAAGTTATTAAAATTTTAAAAACTTTAACCACAGAGTGAATGTGTTGTTTCCTGGCAGAAAATCTAAGTCCATTTAAAAGTAAAATACGGAAAAACAAGGATTTATTTTTTTACAAAATTTCCTTCTAGATATTAGCTTTTGATTATAAACAAGCGTCTGTCCAAGTTTGGTACAAATCCAAAATAGTATAAGAAAGTTATTAAAATTTTAAAAACTTTAACCACAGAGTGAATGTTGTTTCCTGGCAGAAAATCTAAGTCCAGTTAAAAGTAAAATAAGGAAAAAATGGATTTTTTTTTTTACAAAATTTACTTCTGGATACTATCTTATGATCATAAACAAGCTTCTGTCCAAGTTTGGTAGAAACCCAGGATAGTTTAAGAAAGTTATTAAAATTTTAAAAACTTTAACCACAGAGTGAATGTAATATTTCCTGGCAGAAAAACTAAGTCCACTTATAAGTAAAATACGGAAAAAATGGAATTTTATTTTTACAAAATTTACTTCTGGATACTATCTTATGATCATAAACAAGCTTCTGTCCAAGTTTGGTAGAAATCCAGGATAGTTAAAGAAAGTTATTAAAATTTCAAAAACTTTAACCACAGAGTGAATATTTGTGGACGCCGCCGACGACGACGCCGACGGAATGTAGGATCGCTATGTCTCACTTTTTCGACTAAAGTCGAAGGCTCGACAAAAATGAGCCAAATTTTTGATATGTATATGTAGCTCCAACATGGTCAAAATCTTGGGGGTTTGGCAGACGACCTTGCAACATGACATCTCATTTAAAAAGACCTGTAACCTTTAAAAATGTTCCAAATAGAGAATCAGATCAACAAAGAACTATTTAGTTTGCTTATAAGTGACCTGGTGACCTGAGGCAATTTTTAAATGTGACCTTGTGACTTAAGGGAGGTATCCTACTGGAACCTCACAAATAACTATAAGTTATAATTTTTGGTCCCTGTTGATTGGTCTGTTTTTAAAATGTTTTAAATCTATTTATATAAAATCACTGAAGTCTGGTTTGTCATATTGTATACTATTTCAGGCAGTAGGTAGGTGTAGTCATTTTAAGTTCAAAAATATTCATGATGAAAGATGTAACTTGCGTTTGGGAGAGCTTCTATCCAATGTGTTTGAAACCAGCTGGGATGTAAAAAAGCTAGATAACTTCCATGAAGCAGTGGATCATGCCATTACATGGGGACCTTTCCCAACATATATGGAGTTGTACTGTAAGTATATGAGTCAGCAGATCGATGAAATTCTATACTTTACACTCTTCTTTGTATGAAAATATGAATAAAATTTTTTGGTGTAAATGTAAATTTGACAAAAACTTCTATTTCACTTTCTCACACATTAATTCATCAACTTGAGACACTTTATTTGGAAATAATGACTTCATAATAGGGCAAAGAAGGGACCCAACCCTTTACTTTTAATTCCTTTATGAAATTAGAATATCTTAAGTGATCTCCCCTTATATGTGTAATTTTTTTAAAAATGAATCAAACAAAAATATTCTGTTCTTGTAAAAACAGTTGTTTTATTAGGACAAATCACATAGTTTCCTTCCTTAAGATGAAAAGTCTTGCAAATGAATTTCTTGTCTCAAACTATCCTAACCCTAATAATTCAGTCCCTCCCCGTAATCGATCTCTCCTACTCGTGAGGGCCTGAATTCTTAACACGATAAAAACTCTTCACGAATCCTGAATTTTGATTGGTGACCATTCAGCTCAATTATATTGAGAGAGGTAAGTCCCAAGCTAATTCAAAATGATATATTGAAGATTTTTGATGGTCTGTGCATTCAGGCGTTAATGTAGTAATCATAGATCACTGGAATATAACAACAGAATTATTTGGGTTAAAAATTTCCATATTTCATTGATGCCAATGATGTAAGTACAACAATGTACTTACTGATTTTTTTACAGGATACATTTTATCTTTTCATAGATTTATTCACATCATTTTCAGGTGACAGTCCAAATGTGTTGAGTGATTATTGTCAAGGCTTGCTGGAGAAGTTTAAAGCAATTATTCTGGATTTTATTCAACAGTTGTTCAAAGGAAATATTGTAATTAAAGATTTGATGAACTTGTCAAATAAATGGAATAGTTTCCAGAAATTACTTATTGCCATAAAAATTGATGATACAGATAGCATATTGGAGATCATGAATCTGAGAATAAAAGAATATGAGACATTCAAGACAACTTTTCAGACTGTCCAAGAATTTGTTTACTACAGCAAGCATTGCAGAGGTTTGTTGCTATATTCTATACAGTATTTGCTAATTTCACTTTTGATCATTAGTATGAATAGCTCCTAAATAAGTTTAAAGAAATGAACGTTTTCATATGTGCCATTTAGCTTATTCACAGCAAATTACAATTTAACCTCTAAACCTTATTGACCTAGATGAGTAATACAAGTATTGAAAATCAGTAAACATTGACAAGGGGTAAATATCAATGAGACAGTAAGGTAACAATCCCATAAAATCATAGCATATTTAGATGTCAGCATCTAGTCTTAAATGATACACAAGTTTTGAAAGTATTTTAACCTTTTTTTTTTATGAACCCATTATTTTATTAAAATAAACACAGCTGATGCTGGCCTGTTGGAAACCAAACTCAAAGAATTCAGCAATACAGATATGGTTATTCTCAATACACTTGTTCAGACTAGGAATTTAGAACATTTGAAAGGTGTAGAACATTATAAGCCGGTAGTAATTGTGTTTGAACTCAGTTCTGAAGAATTGGAAATAGTCCCCAAAATTCTCAAATGCTGTAAAGGATATCTTTTCTTGAGAATTTGGGAAAAGAAGGGAATAGAATTGGAAAAGAAGACTGGAAAACTTCTACCAGTGAATGAAATCTTTGGAAAGATTTGGCAACCATCCTTTGAATTATGGACAAATTTGTGTAACCAGTTGAAAACAGGAGACATGTTGTTCTCAGATTTTGAAAAGTGGTTCAAAGAAATTGCAGGAAATACTAACAGTTTGAGAAAAGAATTTTTAAATATTGAAAGCTTTGAAAATGTAGAAAATACAAATTGGATCAAAGAGAGGCTGTTTCAGATAGAAAAGCACAGAGATTTGAAAAGCTGTTTATACGGAGCAACAGCTATTATGGAGGTAGTGACTGTATATGAATTGAAAGGGAATTTTACTCAGATTCAGGATATAATTGGATTGGTAAGTTTAGTTTGGAAGATCAAAATCAAAACAAATAGTTAAATACTTTAGATATATTTAATGATCCAACAGTCTGAACCCTGTCTGATTAAATTTGCCTTATGCTGTATAAACAAATTTTCAGTCATGCAGAGAAATGCCTTTGTGGTCTTGAGGTAGCATATTCACCTTGAATTGTGGAAGTTTATTCGATTCCAGGCCAGGTCAAACCATAGATTGTAAAATTTGTACTTTCTTCTATTTATGTTTTTAAGACAGTCTCATTGTATTATTTTAATAACACAAAATGAAAAACATATGACAATATAATCTTGTAGTTTCGATAAAAAATTTGAAAAATATTTTGAAATGTCTCACTACCTATATAACGTGAGGGTACCCAAATTGCACATATTTTGACAGTTTTTTCACCTACGTTTTTTATGATCCAGACAAAGTTTCCATTATTGGTTTATTTTGAAGATGTATCCTTATTTACTATATAATTCCACCAGTTTAATTTTGAATCCATATTAAAACATAGTTAAATGGGTTTGAACCGACCTGCAAACTATCCATGATTCTGTAATAAGGAGTACCCAAATTGCATCCATGCTTAAATTCACATCCTTAAAAATCGAATAACAGATGTTTTTGATTTATTTCTTCAAATATTTAGAACAATTTGACATTAGTCTATGCTTAGTATTCATTTTTGTCTCTCCTTGACGTAGTCAAAAAGCGAGACATAGGTATGCTGTTTCCGGCGTTGGCGGCGGCAACGGCAGTGGTGGCTTCAACAATGTATTAGTTTGTGATAAGGTCAATTTATGGGGAACCACTAGTGGTAGGTCAATGATATTTGGTATGCAGTTGTATACGCATTGGCATATCTCATTTCCATGGAGATTATTTGGCTCCGCCCCCTTAGTCATGGTCTATAGACTTTGAAAATTTTGCTAGGTTAACATGTATTAGTTTGTGATTAGGTCAGTTCAAGGGGAACCATTAGTGGTAGGCCAATGTTAATTGGTGTTCAGTTGTATAAGCAATTAGCACATCTCATTTCCATGGAGAATATTTGGCCCCGCCCCCTCAGTCATGGTCTATTTACTTTGAAACTTTTGCTTACTTTATATGTATTAGTTTGTGATTAGATCAGTTTAAGATGAACTGCTAATGTTAAGTCAATGATATTTGGTATGCAAATTTATTGGCATTGGCAAGTATCGTTTCCATGGAGATTATATAGCCCCACCCCTGATCATGGTTCATTGACTTTGAAACTTTTACATAGTTTACAAGTTAATGTTTGTGTTTAGGTTTGTTTAAAGGGAACAACTTATAATAAGTCAATGGTATTTGGTATGCAGTTGTATTAGCATTGGCACATCTCATTCCATGGAGATTGTTTAGCCATGTACCTTCAGTCATGGTTCATCGACTTTGAATATTTGCATAACTTACATGTTAAAGTATTGCTATTTTAATTTCAACATTTGCATTATCAAAATTACAAAAAGGCGAGACATATCTCTGTGATAACAGTTTATTTAAGAAATGGATGCTTGTAACCTATTTTATTTGCTCATTTTTAAAAGATGACTTTTTGTGAACGTCGCATGGTGACGTTTCCGTAGTTTAACTTTTTCCAGTGAATGCTTCATCTGTTGATATATACTGTGAATGTTTAATGTATATTTAGATACATTCACATATGTTGAAAGACGTGTATAATGTCAAATCTTAAAAATACAAATTGTTTTGTCTCAAAGCAAACTTGTAAGATTTCCTCATCTATTTTCGTTGAATAGGTACAATTTGGGTACTCGGTGCAATTTGGGTACTGTGACGTTACCAACTTTATACAGCAAAACAAAGTTACAAGTGAAACAATATATAATAAGATATTTTTAAAATGACATTTGGTCTTATTTATCTTTGGATCAGATTCATTTATAATGCTCATGCACTTCTAAAATTGAAACCATCCAGTGGTCTTATGAAAGTGTGTATGCCTTGAGTGGGGTATGTTGTGTGTTTGCTTGAACTGGTAAAAACAAGAAAATGAGTTACCATGTGGCAATTACCAGTAAGAGCAAAGTCTGGTCAAAGTTAGGATTATGTGTCTAGGTAAGATGACATGTGTTCATTTGGACTGTTACTTTGTGGAAAAACATCACATTAGTGAAACCAATACATTCATCCATACAAAAAAATTAACACCTTTTGATTAAAGAGAGTATACATGCTTTCAAATTGAATAAAAAATTTCTAATTTATTTTAATTTTCAATTAATATAGACTGGTGGTGCTGATACTAGCATGAGGAAACTGGATAACAATCTACTAGCTACTTGCTCTATACTTGGGGAAGTTACTAATGAAAGGGCCGAATGTCTTAAGGCATTTATCAAATGTAAACCACTTGTTGATTGGCTAACAGAATCTATGCCAGGTAATAGTAGTTTGATAGTGACATTCTCATGTATGTTGATAATAACAAGGTTAAAACATGAAAATCAAAGTATCCCATCAGTGTTGAATTAAAAGGGATAAAACTTGGAACACAGGACTTGAAATCTGTGTACTATTTTGGCAAGCAACCAGACCTGCCAACCTTCATGATTTATGGGGGATTTCCCCCATGATAGGTGTTTAACTGAATTTTGAAATTTTTTGCTGCCATCTCAATATTTAGTAATTCTTTGTACTTTCTCTTTAGAAATTAATTGCTGAGAGGAACAAAATAGTAAATAAAAAAATATATATGGTAAACATGAGACAGTAACCCAACTACACTTAATATTCAAAATACATCTAGAGGTTAACATATAGTGTTCAACAATAGACAGTTTTCTATTTAACATCCCCTTGAGTAAAAAAAAAGAAGTGAATTAATTTTACAGAGAGTCTGACTATTAAAGATCTCTCATCAATAATAAATTCACCCAAAAGTCAAAACAATGACACAAAATGTTTCAGTATATTTATAAAAATAAAAAGATGTGGTATGATTGCCAATAAGACAACTATCCACCAGAGATCAAATGATGCAGAAACTAGCTAATAACTGTAGATCACTGTACTGTTTCAACAACTAGCAAAACCCATACAGCATAGCAATATATAAATGGCCCCAAAATGAAAAATGTAAAACAACTCAAATGAGAAAACTAAAGGCCTGATTTATGTTAAAAGCAATAAATGGAAAAAAAAAAATGATAAACAGCAACAAATGACAACCACTGAATTATAGGCTCCTGCCTTAGGACAGGCACATACAGAATGTTGCAGGGTTAAACATTTTGCAGGCGGGCCAACCCTCCTCATACCTGGGACAATGGTTGAACAGCACAACACAAGAACAAAATATAAAAACTAGGATTATATAATATATTTTGGTTAGATATGTTTAACTGAAAACCATTCAATCCTATAAAATAAAAAACTTTAATATTTGTTTTTATTTCGTAGCTGGTTTGAAGGAATTAAAAGTATTTGTAGACTTGGCCAGTATATCAGCTGGGGAGTTACCATATGAAATTGCCAAGGTCAATTGTTTACATTCTGCTACCACTGGATATGCTCCACTCATCTTCAATTTAGAAAAAAAATGTGACACAGAATTATTCTTAAAAAAATGTGAAGAAGTGTGGAAGGAACTTGAATCAAACTGTAACCTTCCTGAAAAACTGGTATGTTATAATGTTCTCTAAGGATCATGATGATGATTATGATGAGTAGGGCCTGTATACATTTTGGTGATTCATTTTTGGGAATCCAGAGTTAAAGGAATTTAATCTCTTCCAGAAATGGAACTATTTTGTATAAATAGATTATTAATACACAATACGTTTTTGTGCAATGCCTGTACATATAATTTTAATTGGGAATTCCTGTCTATTATTTGGTCTAATCAGTGTGGGGGTTTCCCAGTTACTGCTGCATGTGAAATCTCGTTTACTAATTGCTTTTTCGAGATCATACTAATTAACCAATCAAAATTAACATTGCATTTGAATTAACCAATCAGCGCTTAATTAACAGGGCTTTTGTTTTAGGCACAAGCACATAATTATTCTGAAAGCAACACTTGCTTCGAGCAGACATTCAAATTTTTCTGGGAAATAATTTATTCCCACCCTCCGCTCTCTAGAGGATATATTTTACTTTGCTATGTCATTTCAGCCTTTTATATAATATATTGTTAATAAGTAGAGTAGTAATGTTTTCAAAAGAACTCACAGTTATCATGTACTTTGTGTTAGGAGTACCACAGATTTTCAACTTGATTTTGCTTTGTTTGTAATTATGTTTATTGCTTTATTGATATGCAAAGAAAATATTAAACTGTGGTTCTTTGTCCCAAACCTGTGTTTGTTCAGTTTATACTTTTAACCAAGAACCAGTTAACATGTCTTGGGCCCCTTACTGATCTCTGATTAGTGTAAAACAGATGCTTTCATTTGCACTGTATCTTTTCAGCGTTTGGTTCGGCCCCCAAAAGAAGAAGCACTTAAGTAATAGCACCTTAGTCCCTATATAGAATAAGGAGCATAATATAGGGAGGATTGGGGGGGGGAGGACTAGTAATGTGGATTAATATGCAAATTCTGATATGTTGCACATTAACTTGAGTCTGCCCTCAGTGATATGCAGGGAAGTTAATTAGATCGCCGTCGCCAAACCAGTTTAGTCAGATACTGTGGATTCATAATTATTTGTGGCATATCAATTTTTGTTGATATTTTTGATTATACTTAAAACACAAAGAAGTACCCATTTTCTAAGGGCTTGTTTTTCTCAATCCACAAAAATTGGTATCCCTAAAAATAAATGAATCCACAGTTAATAAATTGTAAATGATTTGGCTGTATGACAGCCTGTAAAAGTATATACAGACATAGACACTTAGGATCTTAAACTTTATTTAGGCAAATTTAAAACACTGCTTTATATAATTGTCTAAGATTGGGTGAATGGTAACAGGCTCTATTCATCTTCTTATTTTAATGCAATGGAATATGCATCACCATTGATCTAATTGTGGTATCAAACAGGGATTGTTTGCAGCTTTTTTAAATCACAGCAAAGGCATATATATTAATGTTATTTGTTATAATCTGATACACCACAGTATCTTTATTTTAAAGTAATAAACTTTTCACTTTTCAGGTTCGCACCACACAACAACTTGAATGGTTACAATCTGTAAAAAAATCTCATGGATCAGTAGAGGTTACCTCCCTTGCTCAGACAGAAGCTATTAATGGAAAGGGCATCTTTCAAATAGGGAACTTGATGAAAACAGGCACTTTGAAAAGCCCAGTGAGTATTCTAAAAGTTACCTTCCTCCAGGAAATGGTTGACATAAATAAGAATAGAATCTCGATCTTCTTGTGTGGTAATAATTTCTAAAGAGAAATATTTTAGGAGCATATGGTTAAGGCTTTGTCCTTCTATCCTTCCAGGCTTCTGTGTGTATGAAACAAATAGTTTCTTTGTGAGTATCCCATGCTTGGTTGGAATTTGATTTTTACAGATGGAATATATAGGAAAGGGAAAGAAGCCTATTGATTTTGGTGTTAATTTGTCAAAGGTCAAGGTCACTATTAAAATTTAAAAAGTTTTTGGGATCCTTTTGATTTTTGGGTCAAAGGTCAATGTTACTTAAACAGCTTTTTTTATTTGGTTTTCAGGATGAAATCCCACTAAAAAGGTCATGTTTATATGTCCCTCCAAGCATGCCAGTATTTAAAACTATTGAAATAAAAATGTTTTCTCTCAACAAATGTATACAGTTTCATGGAGAATCAGCATTAGCTGAACAACTGTTTTGGAAGAATTATATTTACACTGTTTAAATGGAACTTCATTTTTCTGTAAGGATGGACATATGTGTGTGTGTGCAGTTCAATTATTTTTGGGAAAGAATACTAGATATCAAAGGAAACAACAGTACTCTTTTCCATCAGAGCTACCAAGATCTTTGATTTATCTTGTTGCATATGTTGGATGTTGTTCAAATCAACCAACACGAAACCATGTATATTCTAAATTTTCATGACCAGATCTTTCCAGTGCACCATAGGTTTTGTCCCTGAGTGGATGTGTTATGCCCCTATACCCTCATAATATATATTTTTGAAATTCTAACAAGATATCCCTGCATTTTAACCAAATGTTTCCTCTTATTTGTGATGTCAAGCTCTTTCTAGTGCACCAAAGCTTTTGTTCCAGGGGTCTTGCTATCAACCTCATACCATACATTGCCTAATAACCATCAACTTTTTAGCTTTTTATCCTTTCCCCACATGTATTCTAAATTGCAATGGTAAAACCTCTCTGTTGCTGTAAATGTAACTTATGGTTTAGATCTAATATAAGGTTTGTTTTTTAGGAGTTATCAGATGTAACAAGGTTTGTTTTTTAGGAGTTATCAGATGTAATAGAGTTATTTGTTCCCAAAGAGGAAGGAAGTGAGGGTGAGAAGAAACACTACAGATATGAACAGTTACATGACCTTAAGTCACGTCTTATGTTAGTTGCTGGCAAAGCTGAGAGAGGCAAAGATGATGTTGACAGATTTATGTGGGTAGGTTTGATATATATACATAAACCTTGGTCAGTTGAAACAAATAATTTAGGAGAAACATTAAGATAATTTGTAACTCCATTGCATTATAAGTGGACTTCACTTAATTTCGTTCCTGTTTATTGCATAATCCTGTTGTTTGCACAAAAATTAAAAACACAGAATCTTTTTTCAACATGTCGAAACAGCTATTCTTATTAATTGGAAAATAGCTTGCAAACACAAAAAACACTTAAATTAGTTTATTTCAAATCATATTCATAAATATCTAAAGTGTCCTTCAAACCTGCAAGCACAGTTTGAATATGCATATTAAAAGTGATCATATTTTTAGATTCTAGATTCAGTTGAGAGACTTGGAAGATTTTATTCAAAGCTTGTTACTGAAGGATGTGTCCTGTTTTCACATTGGCATGTGAAGTTTTTATGTGACAGAGAGTGTAAAGCATGTGCTTTTATAAACTTTGGCTCTGAAGGAGATAGACAGATATTAAAAGGTAGAGTGGATGAAGCAAATAAAGATGTCAGTGATATTATACCACAGCTTGCTAGATTTCTAGAGCAGTGTCATAACAAATGGCTGGAGTATATTGACCACACAAGGGACAAATATTACTGCTTGAATAACTTTACAATTGACCAGATGGTGATTTTACAACAAGAACTTGTAAAACTAGGGTCTGACAAAGAGCCATCAGCTTTGATTTATCCATTACTGTCTGCTGTGAAGCAAGGGTGTACTAAAGATGACTTGGTGAAAGCTATGACTGCTGCTAAGTCAGATATTGATAATGTCAAGGAAGAGAGAAAAACAGAAATGGAGACCACCGACAGTGATCAGATTTTGGTTGATGAAGAACCAGAAGATGTGAAAGTACAGAAATTTATAGAAGAAATGGCAAGTGCTGGATATTCACCTGTAATAGCAAGGGAAGCCTTGAAACATGTAGAGTCTGATAATATTGACGAGGGTAGGTATAGTTTATTCTATTTATTGCGAACCCAATGAAAGTTTTCCACAGTGCCATCTCTATCTTGACCAGGTATTTAAACTTTTGCAAGTTCACCTGTCCTATTGAATAAATACAATAGCTATTGTTCTCTGTGTAGTTTATTCTCTGGGACCTTTAAATTTCTTCTTAGAATATAGCAAAGTACTCTCGACCAATGAAATTGTAGGATTGGATGCCTCTTAATTGTGAAGAATGAATGTAAATCATGTTCTTAGGAAGGGATTATCCTATTATTTGGGTCTATTTACAGTTCAAAACAAAGAGTTTCTATAAATGAGTTACAACTGCCCTGAAGCACATTGTATCAGATTGAAAGGATTTATCACAGAGTGATTGAACCTGACTAAAAGTTGAAGTGTGAAACAAACAAAAATCTCAAAATAAGTTGTTCACTGGTGCAGTAAAATTGGTACCGTGAATGTTATTATGAAAATATTAATAACTTCAAATTACTATAAAATTAAACAATACCAAAGCAATGCAAAAAAAAAGGAAAAAAATCTTTCAGATAAAAAATAACCTAAATCTTTAGCTTTCCAAAACTTTGATTACTTGATCAGCGTTTGGGGAGAATAGTTATTTCCAATACATGTATTCGGATAAAAAAAAAAACAGGAATTTAGTTTTGAACATATTAAAAACTTTTAAGGGCATTATTTTTTAACATTTCCCTGACATAATGAAACAGTATTTGATGTAAAAAGCCGGACCAAATTATTGGCTGTGAAATAAAATTTAGTTGTAACTCAAATGTATTAATTGATTTAAACTGTAAATAAAAAAAAGGATAATTCCTCACTAAAATATTACATGATTTACATTCATACTCACAATCAGGAAACATACAATTCCTACCTTTTCTTTCTACTGTTGTGTCACCTAATATCTATAACGCATTTTTTTAAAAATATTTCCCAAATGATAAGAAAGTCCTCACATCACTAAAACTAATCCATAAATGACATGCGGAAAAAGGAAGTCATGCATCAATTATAAACATTGCACTGACAATGAAACTAATTGATAGATCATTTGAGCCTTGAGCACTTTACAATATTCTAAGTTTGTAAGAGAATGATAATCCCTTACTTCATGATAAGTACTCGCTAACGCTCGTACTTAATCATGAAGAAAGGGATTATCATTCTCTTACATATACTAAGAGAAATCTATCATTCATTGATTAAATTACCTGAGTAAAAAAAAATTCTTATATATAAACAAAAATACTTTTTTTATACTCATTATTTGTGATGTATTTATTCAATATTAATAATATATTTTCATTCAGTTTAATATAAACATTGATTCAATCATAAAAAGTTAATTTCTAACAAAAGTTTTATCAATGTTCCTATTGAAATTTGATTTTTTTTTTGTTTAGTTATAGAATACATTTAAGAAGATCTTAATTTGAAACATCATTATTTTTAAGTTCTTATTCATGTCAAACAATCTTTTTTTTAAAAGGAACAATGTTGAAAGTTTTGTCAGAAATCAACTTTTTATGATTGAATCAATGTTTATATTAAAATGAATGAAAATATATTATTAATATTGAATAACTACATCGTCACACGCAGTTAATAAGTATAAAAAAAGTATTTTTGTCTACATATAAGATAATTTTTTTACTAAGGTAATTTAATCAATGAATGATAGATTTCTCTTAGAAGAAATTTAAAGGTCCCAGAGAATAAACTACACAGAGAACAATAGCTATTGTATTTATTAAATAGGACAGGTGAACTTGCAAAAGTTTAAATACCTGGTCAAGATGGAGATGGCACTGTGGAAAACTTTCATTGGGTTCGCAATAATATTGAATAAATACATCATCACACACATTTAATGAGTATAAAAACAGTATTTTTGTCTATATATAAGAAAATTTTTTTACTCAGGTAAAGTAATCAATGAGTGATAGATTTCTCTTAGAAGAAATTTAAAGGTCCCATGCAGTGAATAAACTACACAGAGAAAAATAGCTATTGTATTCATTCAATAGGACAGGTGAACTTGCAAAAGTTTAAATACCTGGTCAAGATAGAGATGGCACTGTGGAAATTTTTCATTGGGTTCGCAATAAATGTACATGACTCATATTGTAAACCATAAAATTTTTATAGCATCTTACTTAAAACACATAAGACATTTTGGACAAAAGAAAATTGAAAAATGCATGATAAAGATTTACAGTCTGATAAAACTATACAGTGCCAATAGCAGGGAAAAAGAGACATGATAAGAACTGTTCTATTTTCCCCCAGTATCTCACAAAATATCAAAATAATAAAAAGAGATGCTCAAAAAGTAGGTGTTTTTTTTTGTAGATTTTAGTGAAACTAAATAGAAGTTGACCTATGGACCAAGGATCTCTAATTTTTATTACACAATTTTGAGATAACTTAAAAGTTGGGCCTCTTTTTCAAGCTGTCGAAATTATTCACACTAGATTTACAGCATCAACGAACTTCTATTGACTTTTTCATCGCATTTACTTCATGAATTTTCTTACTGTTATTTCTAAAAACGGTTCAAGAACAGTTAATGGAATGCAACACTTTAAAATTAAAATGATTTTAATGACTCAAAATGGTAAATTTCTCAGACATTTCTAACGTTTCTTTTGATTTTGAACACGAAATTAAAACCGAAAGTTTCACGACAATACCAAAGTACAAGTAATTCCAAATTCATTTCCGGGATTCGTTCTGTTTATTAAATTGACAGGAAATCATGGGATTTTTTTATTAACTTGAAATGTCTTTGAATATAACAGAAAATAGTTGCATTAATTTAGCATGAAAAAAGTGGGGGTATACTGTTTTACCTCTGTCTGTCCATCCGTCCGTCAGTCAGTCCATCCTTCCCATGAAAATTTTTCGTCGCATTTTTCTTAGGAACTACAATACAAGGATTTCTGAAATTTGGTTTCAGGGTTTATATAAGTCGGGTATACCGTGTGATGCTTTTTCAGATTGATCACTCAACAACTTCCTGTTAACCGAACACTTACATCATTTTACACAACACATCCAAGTTGAAAATTTTCGTCACATTTTTCTCAGGAACTACATTACAAGGATTTCTGAAATTTGGTTTCAGTGTTTATATAATTCAGCTATACCGTGTGATGCGTTTTCAGATTCATCACTCAACAACTTCCTGTTTACCGTCAAATATTTGGGCTGGGGTTATCATCAGTGAGCTGTAGCTCACAGTTTCACTTGTTCTTTCAGTTTTGAAAACCTTTCATGCCATTATATTTCATCAGGATTGTTAATTTCTATTCAGGATTAGTATGGTGTATGACCAACGAAGATGATTTCAAGCCAGAAGAACAAAATATAGATGAAGCTCAGAGAGAGGAAGTCAGACAACAGGAAGTGTTTACAGGATGGATAAAGACTGATCAATCCTTAGCTTCAGTTACAAAAGGTCTTGTTCATGACCTGGGTGGTGCCACTAGGTATTTAACTATATCTGTTTCCTAAGAACCATTTCCAGAACAAAAAACTCTGCAAGCAAAGTTTGGGGGTATACAGGAATCATTTTGTCTGTCTGTCTGTCTCCAGACCTACTTCTTTATGTTTTGTTGGATTTGCTTCAAACTTTGTAGAATAATTAAACCCCCGTTCTAAAAAAGTGGGAGTATACTGTTTTACCTCTGTCTGTCTGTCCGTCAGTCTGTCAGTTCGGCCTATGAATATTTTCTGTCCCATTTTTCTCAGGAACTACATCATAAGGATTTCTGAAATTTGGTTTCAGGGTTTATATAAGTCAGCTATACCGTGTGATGCATTTTCAGATTCATCACTCAACAACTTCCTGTTTACTGAACACTTACATATTTTAACACTATTAAAATTATCCAGTTGCAGCGGGGGTATCATCAGTGAGCAGTAGCTCGCAGTTTCACTTGTTGATTGTGATATGCACAAACATCACCATGTGAAGGATTTTTTTATTTCTTTTAAGTTTATTCAGAATTATGCCTCTTTCATCTAAGACTTTTTACCCTGTCCAACACTGACCTTGTCATTGCAACTCTTTCTAAATGTTTTAATAATTTCTGCATAAATCTTGATATATTATTAGATCCGTTATATGAAGATGTAAAGGAGGGTCAGATGCTCCAGTCCATTGAGTTTTCCCAAACACACGACTCTTTCAGCACACAATATAAAGTATTCAAAATATGTTGCCTATGAGCTGTTGGCTCATTAATGGCAGAAAACCAGAAACACACTGTCATTTTGCAAATATCAAGAAAGTTGATATTTACTTTACAGGGAGAATGCTGTAGAGAAATTAATCAAAACTCTGGAGGAACTATGGAAGAATTTTCTGATGTCTGTTTCATCTAGTGTTTCTGACTATCTTAGTGTGGAACATCTAGGCATGATTTTGAACAGACTTGCTGAGCAAGGTATGCTTTAGATATTAAAAATTAGAGTTGAAAGTCATTCGAGCTAGGGAAAAAAGGATGACAAAATTAATTGTTGTTAAATTGTAAATGATGATGATGTGAATTTACCACAAATGCACTAATATAATTGATTATCAGATAAAAAGACCAACAAATTCTTTATAACATTCTTTTAGAAATTATATAAAGAAATCCCTTGGGCAAAGTTGCCAGCACATGGTTTTGATGGCAAGTAGGGGTATCACTTTGTGAGCTTTTCTTGCAGTACTCTTAGTTTAATCATTTCTGTGTCACCTTGACTTCTGAGACATAGGTATGCTGTTTCCGGCATCGACTGTGGTGGCTTCTTCAACAATGTATTAGTTTCTTATTAGGTCAGTTTTGTGGGGAACCACTAGTGGTAGGTCAATGATATTTGGTATTCAGTTGTATTAGCATTGGCACACCACATTTCCATGTAGATTGTTTGGTCCTGCCCCCTCAGTCGTGATCTATTGACTTTAAAGCTTTTGCTTAGTTTACATGTATTAGTTTGTGATTAGGTCAGTTTATAGGGAACCACTAGAGGTAGGTCAATGATATTTGGTATTCAGTTGTATTAGCATTGGCACATCACATTTCCATGTAGATTGTTTGGCCGGCCCCTTCAATCGTGGTCTATTGACTTTGAAACATTTGCTTAGTTTGCATGTATTAGTTTGTAATTAGGTCAGTTATTTGGGAACCACTTGTGGTAGGTCAATGATATTTGGTATGCATATGTTTTAGCATTGGCACATCTCATTTTCATGTAGATTGTTTGGCCCATGTACCTTCAGTCATGGTTCATTGACATTGAATATTTTGAATAGCTTACATGATAAAGTATTGCTGTTTTAATTTCAACATTTGCATTTTACTATCAAAATAACAAAAAGGCATTACATATCTCTGTGTTTACAGGTTATTAAATGTATTATGCTTCAAGATATCCATCAGTTTTATTAAAAAGAGTCACTTGTACCTTGAATTATTTTTTTTCAGAAACCTTCATGGTAGAAAGAACCTTGTTGCCATGTTTTGCTTCCTCAGAGCCTAACCTTATAATTTGCCCACAAAGTAAGTGTTTCCATTTTTCAGAATCCCTTAGATATTTAAGGAGGGACTTTGAAATCAAATTTATTTTGGTATTTAATCTGAAATTTCAATCAAGTTTTATAGGGAAATATTAGTTAATGTTAAGTAATTTTATTTTCCCAAAATGTTCATGCATCAGAGCTTGAAATATAACCACATTAAATTTTATGTCAGTGCCAATAATATGTAAAACTGTCTGATACATTTACATAATTTCTCGAAAGGTACACATCTTAGATAAGAGAAGTGCAGATCCCATCAAATACATTACATTGCTTGCCATCAAAATGTATCCTATGTATTTCAGGTGATATCTACAACACAGTATTATCTGTATACAGTCATGAAGTGAACAGACCTCTACCACAGTCTGATGAGGTTCTCTTGTGTACACCTTACACTACATTGGATATGGTAAGTAGATAGCTCTTTGAATTGAAGTTATGTGCCTGTTTTATTGAAAATCTAATGGTTGAAAAGTAACTGGTAGATATGAAAAAATCTTTAAAACTTACTATCAATGTTTGTCAGATTAAAAAGAATCATTGCTGTATACTTATCTTAGACTGCTGGAATGTTAGGTGATGCTTAACATTGACAGGCCTTTGTTTTTGTTTTTGTTTGAAGTACTGGTATGATTTTAAGGAAAATGATGATGCAATCATGTCCTGTTGGACTAAATGCTTAATTCAATGTAATGAGTAAACAAAAGGAGGTTACATTTATTTTTACATTAAATACAAAACTTTAAATTTGTATCTTTTTCAGCTTGAAACATTCTGGAGAAGAGCATTATTTGCTGACAACAGTAAAATCTACTGTCTTGTCAATGCTGATCTGCTTGATTATGATGTCAGTGATAAGGGAGAGAAATCTTTGGAAAGACACATGAAAAGTGCTAAAAGTAGAGGTAATTTTCTTCAAAGCCCTTTTATTTATACAATAGACTGACTATAATTAAAAAATACTGTCACTAAAAATATTTTTATCGTGCCGGGGCATTATGTTTTCTTGTCTGTGCATCTGTCTGTCATGTGTCAGGTTAAAGCTGTTGGTCAGTGTTGAATGATTTTGGAAGATGGAGCTAATAATTATATTATCCTTGGTTGCTTTCATATAGCATGAGTTGTTTTCATAGGAAATGAAAGCATATAACAGAATCAAATGAGATTCGTCCTTTATTCAATGAAAGATCAGCATTTGTATGAATTAAACACCTACTGTAAATTTTATGTGTTAAAACAAAACTTGAATGTATAGGAAAAGTATAGTGTACCTTCTTTATTATTTTTCAAGGCATACAGTACCGACTCGTAGTTATTTGCAGTAGTGAAAATGAATACAAATCTAGAATAGTAGCAGCCCTTGACAAATATCACAAGAACCCTTTAAATACAGAGGTGTCTGCTATTAGGAAATACTTGCTGGCAAAATTAAAGGTAGATGAGGAGAACAACACAAAACCAGCATCTGTCGTAGATTATGAAAGGTAATGTCAAATTTTAAATGAAGCGATGTGAAATCAGTTTTTTTTTCCAGCTGTACCAGGATATTGAGTATAAAACTGCTTGTGTTTTCTATTAAGGTTTTCTTGATTGGAAGTTGATAATTTTTAAGAAAACTATTGAACCAAGGGCTTTTATGGTAGAATTGAAATCACTTTTCAAAATTTTTCGTACAGTTGCTATCCTTGATTTACAATTATTGAATATCTGTATCACAGATACAGTAGAAGTCTTGTTTGATAAAAGTCATGTAGATTTAATATTTAACTCTGCAAAGTGGAATAATTTTTAAAAGCTATAATATTAAGGCATATATTGGTCATTTTCTTTAAATGAAATTTAGATATTTATTTTCAATCATAGGACAAAAAATAACATAAATAACCAACAGACATCTTCATACTTTATTCCTTATGCTTCATTTAGATGCAGTGTTCGTGTTGTAAAGTCATGGAGAGCTGGCATTGGGAAGACATTATACAAGATGAGAATGGTAGAGAGTTTACAGCAACAAGTTCCTACCATGGAAAACAGTATCACTATTCCTCTTCATGAAAAGGCATTGAATAATGATGAAATTATGGACATCTTCAAAGATGAAATTTCACCTCCACAAGATTATAGACCAAGGATATTTCATATAGACATTTCACACGAGGTAATATCTCTATTATGCAGAGGTATAAAAGTAAGAAGATGTGGTATGATTGCCAATGAGACAAATTGATCTCCACCAGATATCAAATGACATAGAAGTTAACAACTAAAGGTCACTGTACAGCCTTCAACAATAATCAACACCCATTCCACATAGTCAGCTATAAAAGGCCCGAAATGACAAATGTGAAACAATTCAAACGAGAAAACTAATAGCCTGATTTATGTACATAACAATGAACAAAAACAAATATGATATACAGCAACAAATTTCAACCACTGAATAACAGGCTCCTGACTTGGTACAGGCACATACAGAATGTGGCGGGGTGAAACTAGATTGCTGGGGCCAAACCATCCCCCTAACTTGGGACAGTGGTGTAACAGTACAACATAAGAACAAACTATAAAAATCAATTGAAAAGGGCTTAACTCATCAGATCGATACAAAGCAGAAAAACATCTAACAAAAACATAGACCAGACGTGGCAGGGTATTTATACATCCCCACAACAAAAAAGACACTAAATACAGATCTGAGAGTACTCACAGAGACTGACAGCTAGTTCAAATCCAATAACAACTAATAAAAAAAATCATGTAACTAAGACTAAAATATCAATCAGTACACATTCAAAATCCAATGGATTTAGTGTAAAGATGTCATTAACAGTCGGTGAGAAACATGCCCTTGTACAATGTCTAGTTTGTTTTTCTTATAATATCTTAAATTTCTGAAATTAAACCGTCCATAAATTTATTGTATTGGATAGAATAGCTGATAGAAAAGCTGCTTTTTAGCTCAACTGTCCATCACTTTGCGTCCATTGTCTTAAGGTTAGTCATCCGCTGTATGTAAACTTGTCTTTAAAAATCTTCCTGAAGAAACTGCTGAATGGATTGAAACTAAAGTATGGCTATAGGATGTCTACATAAAGTTTGTTAATTTCAAAAGGTAGATACACCAATTTGGCCTGTTTTTGAGTTTGAAAATGGCAATTTATACTTGTTATATACATGTTCCACAACTTTTTTTCCTTGATTTATTTGCAGGTCCAGGAAGGAGTAGATGCTTTTCTCTTTCAGTTGTTAATACTTGGATGTTTAGGCCATAGTTCTGGATATGTATGGAGAAGATCTGAGTTGGATTACTACATCATCGAGTCTATGCCTCTATTAGCTAAGGATACAGATGCAAAAGTCAAAGAGGTGTGAATTCATAAATATTTGAAAACATGTTACAAAAATAAATAATCAATCTTGTACATGATTTTTTTATTTTTAAGATTTCACAATTTTAAACTGACTGCTGTTCAAGATTCTAAGATAAGAACTTGTATTGAAAAACCAATTGAATTCATCATTCAGAATAAAATAAGATGTAGGATATACATCAATGAGACAGAAATCCTCCAACAACAAAAAAAACATAAACAACAGACATGTACAAATCAACATTCCCTCTCTAACAGTTGAGTTATGTCCATACAATATTTCAAAATTTCTCTCTGTCTAGGGTTGTAGATATACTTAACAGAGACTATAGAACAGCCAGAAATACCAGCTTTCCTTAATGACAAAATATCTAAGATATAACTAAAGACCTTTGACTGTTGGTACTTGCTTAGAAAGAAGTTATACAAAGTCACATCTACACCCCACAAAAAAATAACCCACTATTTCATAACTAGTAGACACAAAATGTAAATATGTATTGCACAAATTATTTTAAGCGTTCTGTTCAATCCACCTTTTTGTCTCTGCTTTAATGTTATCTTTCATGAAAAAAAGTTTTGATTTCCTATAAATTAAGGATTATTTTGTACATGTATGATAACTATTCATTTATATTACATACAGGTAGGAAAGTTGAAGTGTTTACATCATTGCTTGGACATTCTACCCTATGTAACCTGTAGATCTCCTCAGGATAGTCTGGATATACTCAATAATACTAGGATACCAAAAGACCATACCACCCATGATAGACTCTTTGATCGCATTGAATTTCAAAGTGCCACATTCCAAAGACCATACCAGTATCTAAAGAGACTTGATAATAACCAGAAACTTGATGGTGTTGACCCAAACAAGGTTGAAGGAGATGAGAGAAACTGTTTGACAGTATTAATCAGGTACAATAGCTACATAACAGTACTAGTTGATAGAAATTGTGAACAAATAATTTTTGTTTATGTAATAGTGCTCACCAACAATTTCCTTTGTCACATGTGAAATGATAATAATAAGAATAACTAGGACCCCATATATTAAGTGGCGGTTTTCATTTGTAGGACGTTGTGTTTTGTCTTCAATGTTCTAAAATTGTTTTTGAAATTTAGCCAAATTTTATTAATTTCAGTTTTTTACATTTTTTTCAAGCTCTAATGTATTATTCTCTTTGTAATGTTATATAAAGAAAGCAGATATTCTAACAAATATCAGATGATGAGGGGTAAGGCTTAATTTGACAGCAACCCAACAACACAAAAAACAATATGTCAAGCTCTTAATTTCAACATGTCTAAAAAGTTGTGAATAGATTTGACAGACTTTATTATATATTTTAGCCAAAATCCATGTAAAATAAGTGTTTCACATTATTTTGTAATGAAATAAATATAACTTTATTTTAGTCACTGTGGTATTAAAGATCCATCTTGGTCTGAGTTGTATCATTTTGTCAGCTTCTTGAACAAACAGCTGCAAGACTTTGAGGTGTCAGCTTTCTGTGGTCTGGCAGCAATGGAGGATTTACCTGGATTTTCTAAATTTGTACTCAGATTTCTGATACAAATGTCAAGGGTAAGCCTTCTTTTGGACTGTAGGAATTAAAAATAAAGTGGAACCAATTTGCAACTTTTACACCAATCAGATGAAGAGTTTTAGGTTAGAGAAAATAACCATCCAGTTGCAGAGGTATATAGTTTTATCTTTGTAGGTCATTCTCATTTTCCCTCATGTCAGCATATACATAAAGTTGACTACAGTTGGTTGTGTCTGGAGATATCAACCTGAGTTTTTGTATGTAGCTAAAATGATAAAGTTACAGATTTTTGAATTTTGTTCCTGTACTTCTTTGCATGACAAATACAGAAGACAAGAAATAATGCTGATAGTGTAAAGATTGATGTGAATGCATATGTGGACATGTGCTAGCAGTACCTTCAGAAATATCAACTTACACCTCACATTTTAATTTTAAATTCATGCTAATTTGTACAAAAATATGTAATATCATACTAATGAATTTTGTTTAATTGCTTAAATATGTTTTAATATATTTATTAATAACCAAATTTGAAATGTAGTTCCTTTTTTTTTTTTTTTTGTGGTTAAAAATGTATGATTTTAATTGTCTTAATTTTGAAGGATTTTTCCACAAGATCATTAGAAGTAAGTGAGGAGTCACCAATACAGATGTTAAAGAGAGAAATAAATCCGGAGGAGGGCGATGATGACGTTGTACAACAATACAAAATGAGGCGTACATGGGAAACTAGGTATTTAAAAAGCAATGAAATTTTAGTACAAATTGACCATCAGTCTATTATTTGCTGTTTTCCCCCTAAATGCAAGAAGGCTAAAAGCAAATAAGTAAGACCAAATTTAAAAATGCTATTACTGATATATGACAGACTAATATAGATGTCTCACCACCAATTCAACCAATCAGCATTGAGAACATATTTCAGATAGTCTTACTCTGACAAAACATAGTGCTTTTGATGTTATTTACTTAAATCTTTGCTGCTGAGTTGGTAATATATTGAGCCAATCTCATTTGTTCCAAAAAATAAAGAAGAAAGTTTATGTTTTTTTGAGTAATTGTTTTATTATTGAGTCTTATTTTCATGATTTATTTTGTTCTGTAGTCCACATCCATACTTGTTCTTCAACCCAGACCATCATAGCATGACATTCCTTGGTTTTAACATAGAAAAAAGAACAGGAAACTTAGTTGATTTACAGACAGGAACAGTCTTAGAAAAAGGAATAATGCAAAAAAATTTATTTGATGCACTTCAAAGAAACAAGGTCAACCTGGCAGAAAACTTTGATGCCCTTAAAAGGTGAGTTATACCTTTTGATAGATTTTCAAATAGATTATAATGTAAAGATTTAAAAAAAAAAAACTGATATTTTATAATAAGGAATTTTCTTTTAGTTTTGACATCAGCTTGATAATTGGCTGTAAACGTTTACCTTTTAATAGAAATTTACAAGGTATATGCTACATGTATAATTTATATATTCTGAATTAATGCATTCCTAATTTTTTGTATTAATAATAGTTTGAACACTATATTTTGTATAGATTTAAGCTTTTTTTCTGTTTTTATAGATCTGAACAAATTACTAAGCTATGTAATGTGATGGGATTAGATATACCACATGACCCTGATGAGACGTATGAACTGACAACAGATAATGTGAAGAAGATTCTGGCTATATATATGAGATTCAAGTAAATATTGAATTAAAGTAATATCAAAACTTTTAAATGTTTTTATATTTTGAAAAGATAATTCTTATATTGCAAACCAATTTGAAGTTTAAAAGTAAAGTAACAATATCCTAACAAAAATCTTCTCTCATTCTCACTTACATTTAATTTTATAAAAGTTAAATGGGTCAAGTGAAACAAAACCAACACCCTTTGACAGCAGGTTCAGGTAGACTTACCAATTTGGATACCAAAGAATCTATGAACTTCTTTTTTATGCCCGCCTACGATAAAAGAGGGTCATTATGTTTTCCAGGATGTGGGTCTGTCCATCTGTTACGTCTGTCCACCCTGTATCAGGTTAAAGTTTTGTAATTCATCATCTTGAAACATTGTTCATTATTAAGTGAATTATTTAATATACATGTTAAATTAGTGTTTAGACTCGGGTTTACTGAACATGAGAATGTATTAGTGTGATGTGTATTCGTCTTTAACTTTTTATTCTGTTTTACAGTTTGTTATGGAATTTTATGCGACTGTCATACAAGTGAGAGGTTAAGCTAGCTATAAAACCAGGTTTAATCCACCATTTTCTACATAAGGAAATGTCTGTACAGAGTCAGGAATATGACAGTTGTTTTCCATTAGTATGATGTGTTTGAGCTTTTGATTTTGCCATTTGATGAGGGACTTTCCGTTTTGAATTTTCCTTGGAGTTCATTTTTTTTTGTTGTTTTACTTTTTATTAAGTTACTGTTGCTGAATGATTTATTAAATTGTAGATGTCATATACCAGTTATCATTATGGGAGAGACAGGATGTGGTAAAACTCGTCTTATCAAGTTTATGTGCGCACTACAGCAACCTCCTGGTGTAAAAGTGGAAAATATGATTCTTATGAAGGTAAGAAATAAGGTCTGGTCTTTTTTGGATAGAGCAGGTGCTATTTTTTTAATTTGCGTTTTTTGTCTAAAAGAAATGCACTACGAAATAACTGTGTTCTCGGGCCGTCTACCGACTAGATGGAGAAAACTTATCATGTTCATGTGCTCAATTTAGCAAACTGCTCATGTAAATGCATTAGTTAGGGTTCTTATGTAGGTAAAAGTATAGACAAGGCTTGCAATAGATTTTGAAGTAGCATTTTTTGGCTATTAATTATAAAGAAGGCAGTATATTACACTACAACAAACCTACAGTTGTTATCATAGAAATTATAATTGTGTTGAAGGTAAAAGAAAGTTTCCCTTGATAGTCTAGTAAAAAAGATATTTATATTCAGACTTCTCAATGTACTCTGAATAACATGGCAGTCAGATCATAGTTATTTTCAACTAATACCAATGTTCTTTATAAGACTGCAGGCTGGAGCATTCGACGTCCTATTGACTCATTTAATTTTTCAGTGTACAATAACAGATTATTTAACTCATTTGCATAATTTGCATAAATGACATAGTATGTGCAGTGCTTCCTGTAGGCTTGGATGTAAATAACTGGAGTCTCCAGTTTAAAAAAAAACATCACATATTAGTGTACATATATCCTTTTGTTTAAATTTCCAGTGTTCTTGTAGTCATTGTGCTCTTTGTAAAACTATGCTTTTATCATTTTTATCAGATTTTGAATTATTTTTGGACTTTATAATTTCCTCAATCATGCTATTAGAAATTTATTGATAATTAAAGGTACATGGTGGTACAAAACCGTCAGACATTGTAAAAAAGGTCCAGCTAGCTGAAGTAGTTGCCATGGATAATGCTCAAAAGTACAAAAATATGGACACAGTGCTGTTCTTTGATGAAGCTAATACAACTGAAGCCATTGGTGTTATCAAGGAAATTATGTGTGACAAGTCTCTTGGAGGAAAACCGATTAATCTACACGAGAGATTGAAAATAGTGGCAGCTTGTAATCCATATAGAAAGTAAGTTATATATTATAAATATTATTCTTTATGTTAACCACTATTTTCTTGTTGTTAGTACATGCTTATAACTCCTAACTATCTGATCAGTTTACAGGATAGTTCAATATGTTTTACTGCTGACCAGGATCATATGAAAATTCAATAATGATTTTTATAAACACAGCTTGAAGATTGTTTAGTTTGAAAGATTAATGAATTCAGAGCTCCAGATAAGCTACGTATTTGCGTGATTAAGCAATAAAAACAACTGAAAACCCAATTCAATTGAAAATTGCAGTGTTCAAAAACCCAATTCATGCAAAGGAAAACCCAATTATATGTCAAAACTATGCGTTCTCAACCCTAATTGTCGCTATTGTGTGCATTATTTACCCTAATCGATAAATTGTTGTCGCGTAAATCTATTTTTGTAATATTAGGAAATCAGAGTTAGGAAATCTACTTTCATTCTAAAATTAGAGCGTTACATCAAACATCTGATCTGGGTCCCTGTTGGAAGGAATTGTCTGTTACTCAAAGCTGTATCCCCGGTAAACATTAGGGACCAGTTTATAAAATTTTCTTTGGCAAAACATGAGTGGGAGAGGCAGAAAAAAGCACCGCTAGTAACAATATCGTATATTCTGTTGAACTATTTGATAACAGACCGCTGTGCGGAAGCACAAAAGTACGCAAGTCACATTATCAATTCCTTAATGGAGAAGGCGACAACTCCGTATATATGTGACATTTTAGACGAAATCATCGATGGTGTCCTTTCTTCCTTCTATGAAAATACTACTTAATTTAAGCAAAGACATGCAGTGTCAGATAAGACATTCTTTGCCTCGAAAGAAAAGAACCCATGGCTAAATAAAATCGATTAAACGGGGGTCTAATATATATATTGCTCTGAATGTAAGTCTACGGCAAGCCGCTGAGACAACAAAATTACAACATGTACAAGTGTTTGGGGCCACGAAGGGACCCCAAATATTCAGCAGTCAGCAGCGACAAGACAAAATGAGAGGGCTGAACATATGGATATCATCAATAAAAATTTGACTGACACTTCACTCTTATAAATCATGACAACATTTTGTTCAAAACTATTTACCATACTTGAAAAAATAAAATGCCAACAAGCAATATCAACGGATTGTTATAGTAACCCCAACAAATACTAGGGATGAAAAACCCAATATGATTTTTGCTTGAGGGGTGAATTGAATTCCCAAACTTTCGTGCACACTATTGTAAAGCTATTGTCACGTATCTACTAGTAATAAGAATCATACAGCATCTCAACTAGCAAGACATTATTTTCGTTACACTGAAATCTAACAAAGTTTACCATCAAGATAGCGATGTTTAAATACTTTATTTTTGCAGACATTCTGATGAGTTGATTAAGAGATTAGAACAGGCAGGACTTGGTTATCACGTAGATGCTGACAAAACAACAGACAAACTTGGTAAAATGTCAAAAATTTATTATTTTTTACTATTAAGTTGTCAAAACATAAGTTAGAATACTTTTCAGTTAATAAAGTGCTTGATTAGATGAGAATTTTTTTTAGTCCCCTACCGACGAAGTCGAAGGGGACTTTAGGTTTGCACTCTGTCCGTCTGTCTGTCTGTCCATCCGTCAGTCAGGCAAATCAGTTTTCCACATTTTTTTCTTCGTGCTTGAAGATATTGATTTGATATTTGATATATTGTTTTATCATGACAAGTTACAGATCAAGTTCGAATTTTGTTCCGGTCTGATGATTTTGTGCAGAGTTATGGTCCTTGGACTTAGAAAATTCACTCAAATAATCAGTTTTCCCCACTTTTTTTCGTCATGCTTGAAGAAATTGATTTGATAGTTGGTATATAGTTTTATCATGACAAGTTACAGATCAAGTTTGAATTTTGTTCCGGTCTGATGATTTTGTGAAGAGTTATGGTCCTTGGACCAAGTTAGCATTTTGTTCCAGTACAATGAATTTTTAAACGGTAGGGGACTATGTATTGCCATGCAATACTCTCAGAATGCTTGTTAATTTAAAACATCCAATCATATGTAATAGAGGCAGTAGATGATGTAGAATAATTGAGCACATTTATATGATTGCTAGACACTGCTTCGTACTATTTCAGGGCGTGTACCAATGAGGAGGTTGGTATATAGAGTTCAGCCACTCCCACAAAGCATGCTTCCCTTAGTTTGGGACTTTGGACAATTGAAAACCGAAGTAGAGGAGATGTACATAAAACAGATGGTCCGTAGATATGTAAGTATCAATACCCTGTTTGTTTTGTGGAACCTGTTTAGGATTAGGCAAATAATGTCAGAACTTGTAACACTTATTCACCAGTTTTTGTCGAGCCTGCGACTTTTGTCGCAGAAAGCTCGACATAGGGATAGTGATCCGGCGTTGGCGGCGGCGGCGGCGTTAGCTAACTTCTTAAAAGCTTTATATTTTAGAAGGTGGAAGGTCTGGATGCTTCATACTTTGTATATGGATGCCTCATGTTACGAAGTTTCCGTCAGTCACATGTCCAATGTCCTTGACCTCATTTTCATGGTTCAGTGACTACTTGAAAAAAAAGTTCAGATTTTTTGTAATGTTAGATTCTCTCTTATTATAAGTAATAGGATAACTCTATTTGGTATGTGCGTACCTTGCAAGGTCCTCATGCCCGTCAGACAGTTTTCACTTGACCTCGACCTCATTTCATGGATCAGTGAACAAGGTTAAGTTTTGGTGGTCAAGTCCATATCTCAGATACTATAAGCAATAGGTCTAGTATATTCGGTGTATGGAAGGACTGTAAGGTGTACATGTCCAACTGGCAGGTGTCATCTGACCTTGACCTCATTTTCATGGTTCAGTGGTTATAGTTAAGTTTTTGTGTTTTGGTCTGTTTTTCCTATACTGTATGCCATAGGTCTACTATATTTGGTGTATGGAATGATTGTAAGGTGTACATGTCTAGTGGGCAGGTGTCATCTAACCTTGACCTCATTTTCATGGTTCAGTGGTCAAAGTTAAGTTTTTGAGTTTTGGTCTTTTTTTCTAATACTATATGCAATAGTTCAACTATATTTGGTATGTGCGTACCTTGCAAGGTCCTCATGCCCGTCAGACAGTTTTCACTTGACCTCGACCTCATTTCATGGATCAGTGAACAAGGTTAAGTTTTGGTGGTCAAGTCCATATCTCAGATACTATAAGCAATAGGTCTAGTATATTCGGTGTATGGAAGGACTGTAAGGTGTACATGTCCAACTGGCAGGTGTCATCTGACCTTGACCTCATTTTCATGGTTCAGTGGTTATAGTTAAGTTTTTGTGTTTTGGTCTGTTTTTCTTATACTGTATGCAATAGGCCTACTATAGTTGGTGTATGGAATGATTGTAAGGTGTACATGTCTAGTGGGCAGGTGTCATCTAACCTTGACCTCATTTTCATGGTTCAGTGGTCAAAGTTAAGTTTTTGAGTTTTGGTCTTTTTTTCTAATACTATATGCAATAGTTCAACTATATTTGGTGTATGGAAATATTTTATGATCTATTTGTCAGTCACACAGTTTTTTTTTTACCTTGACCTCATTTTCAAGGTTCATTGCTCAGTGTTAAGTTTTTGTGTTTTGGTCTGTTTTTCTTAAACTAAAAGCAATAGGTCAACTATATTTGTTGTATGGAAGAATTGTTAGCTGTACATGCCTGCCTAGCATGGTTCATATGACCTTGACCTCATTTTCATGGTTCATTGGTCAATGTTTAGTTAACTTGGTTAATAATAAGTTTATGTGACAGTTGTAATAAAGCTTTATATTTAGGACTATCAACATAATATCAATGATAAGTAAAGAAGGCGAGACATTTCAGTGTGTGCACTCTTGTGTTAATAAAATATTGATATATCTTTGTATATGATAGTGGTAAAGAAATATATGTTGTGGTTATCACTAATTAGCTTGGAGCCTTCTTTCTTGCTCTAGGACTTTAGGGTTTCTTCTACGGTAAACAGCAGCAATTAATCCACAAAACTTGTCCCGCCCAGATCCTCCCTTATTTGATGTTGATTAATAAGGCCAGTGGTACCAATAACCAGGTGGCTATCCCTTTGGTGCCCAAACCAAATGCTGAAGAGATACAGTGCAGATAAAGGCACTTGATTTACACTAATCAGAGTTAAGTAAAGGAACCAAGACATATGCCAACTGGTTCTTGTATAAAGGTATAAACTGAACAAACAGGTTTGGGAGAAGAATCACAGTTTAATATTTTCTTTGCATATCAATAATCAATAAACATATTTACAAAGAAAGCAAAATCATGTTGAAAAACTGTGGTACTCCATACAAAAAGTACATAATAACTGTGAGTTCTTTGAAACATTACTACTCTACTAAATTAAACAATATAAATTTTTTTTTTTTAAATGCAAAGGTGACTCTACTTATGCAAAAATATCTGTAAAATATGTATATAGCAAATAAAAATAACTGTCATCAAGGGAGTTGAGGGTGGGAAGAAAATATTTTCCAGAAAATTTAAAATGACTGCTACAAGCAAGTGCTGCTTTGAGAATAATTAAGCATGCATGTTTAAAACAAAAGCCCTGCTAATTAAGCGCTGATTGGTTAATTCAAAATTAATGAGCAATCTTATTGGTTAATTAGTATGATCTCGCAAAACAATTAGTACAAGAGAAGCACATGCAGCAGTGACTGGGGAACCCCCTTGTTGATTGGATAATAATCTGAACACTTGAGGACCACTGAATAACTAATGAACAGCATTCCAAAGCGTATTGTGTCTTAATAATCTATTTATATCAAATAGTTCCAACAAACACTGATTTTTTGTATACAATTTGAAGTTTTATACATTACATTTTACACATATTTAGCTTTTTATACCCCACGCAACGGGTTGCGGAGGGTATAATGTTTTTGACCCGTCCGTCCGTCAGTCCGTCCGTATGTCAGTCCTGTTTCTTGTCATCGCAACTCCTCTTAAACCACCCAACAGAATTTCATGAAACCTTTTTAGATAATAAGGACATACTATGTAGTTGTGCATATCGACAGGAAATTGCGTTTCAATTTTTTTTCTAGGAGTTACGCCCCTTTGAACTTATTTACTTTAATGTACTACTGCAACAGTTTGTCATCGCAACTCCTCTCAAACCACACAACAGAATTTCATGAAACCTTTTCAGATAATAAGGACATACTACGTAGATGTGCATATCGACAGGAAATTACGATTCAATTTTTTTTCAAGGAGTTATGCCCCTTTGAACTTATTTGCCCAATATACTACCGTCCGTCAGTCCTGTTTCTTGTCATCGCAACTCCTCTCAAACCACCCAACAGAATTTCACGAAACCTTTTTAGATAATAAGGACATACTATGTAGTTGTGCATATCGACAGGAAATTACGATTCAATTATTTACCCAGGAGTTCCGCCCCTTTGAACTTATTTACTTTAATGTACTACTGCAACAGTTTGTCATCGCAACTCCTCTCAAACCACACAACAGAATTTCATGAAACCTTTTCAGATAATAAGGACATACTACGTAGATGTGCATATGGACAGGAAATTACGATTCAATTTTTTTTCCAGGAGTTATGCCCCTTTGAACTTATTTGCCCAATATACTACCGTCCGTCAGTCCTGTTTCTTGTCATCGCAACTCCTCTCAAACCACCCAACAGAATTTCATGAAACCTTTTTAGATAATAAGGACATACTATGTAGTTATGCATATCGACAGGAAATTACGATTCAATTATTTTCCCAGGAGTTACGCCCCTTTGAACTTATTTGCCCAATATACTACTGCAACCTTTTGTCATCGCAACTCCTCTCAAACCACACAACAGAATTTCATGAAACCTTTTCAGATAATAAGGACATACTACGTAGATGTGCATATCGACAGGAAATTAAGATTCAATTTTTTTTCCAGGAGTTACGCCCCTTTGAACTCATTTGCCCAATATACTACTGCAACCTTTTGTCATCGCAACTCCTCTCAAACCTCACAACAGAATTTCATGAAACTTTTTCAGATAATAAGGACATACTACGTAGATGTGCATATCGACAGGAAATTACGATTCAATTATTTTCCCAGGAGTTACGCCCCTTTGAACTTATTTGCCCAATATACTACTGCAACCTTTTGTCATCGCAACTCCTCTCAAACCACACAACAGAATTTCATGAAACCTTTTCAGATAATAAGGACATACTACGTAGATGTGCATATCGACAGGAAATTACGATTCAATTTTTTTTCCAGGAGTTACGCCCCTTTGAACTTATTTGCCCAATATACTACTGCAACCTTTTGTCATCGCAACTCCTCTCAAACCACACAGCAGAATTTCATGAAAATGTGTAGATAATAAGGACATACTATGTAGATGTGCATATTGACAGGAAATTATGATTCAATTTTTTTTTCTGATACAATTTTTTTTTCTTACACTTATTTTATTTCTCCAATGACAATGTGGGGACGTGGGGTATGTGAGCACGCTCACTAAGGTTCTTTCATTATTTACTGATATTATCAAAACCTATTTTTGTCAGAGGCAGTTCTCCTACAGTATGCATTAAAATGCAGTAAAATTGATTGCATTAATTGTGAAAAAATCTCTGAAAGATTATGGAAGGCATAATGTTGTGACTGCATCATGCAGGGACCTTCTTTTTTTTCCAAGAATACTGTGTTGTTTATAGCCTCGTTAAGACTTGCTTTGGATGTGGACATCATAGCACAGTGCATATAGGTTCTTTTGAAATTTCCCCATCAGACTAGGGGTAGCAAGTGTCTGTCTTGAAATCATAATATACTCATTGTCAAGCAGATAAATCATGTACCATTTGTTTCCTTATTCATTTTTATCTACAATTATATAGCTTTTTCTGTACTTCTTAAAATGTTTTTCATTGGACTTTAAGCACAAGTCAACAAGTCATGTATTGTAAGTGAAATTCATGATATTCTTAACAATACTTAAAACAGCTTGAAAAGAAGAAATTAAAAAAAATTAAGAATTTGAATTTGAACTTTTGCATTTAATTTATGCATATTATATTTTAGGTAAAGAATGGAGAACTCCCTGACATTCAAGGATTGGAGACAGTCTTAAGTAAGATACTGACTGTATCACAAGACTTTATGAGACAACAGAAGGTAATTGTATTGAAAGGCTCAATAAATTTGCCTTTGAGCCATAATAGGAATGATGCAGAATTTATGTGTAAAATTTTAAAGATATACTTGCCTTCCAAAATATGGTGTCCATCATTTAACTTTTAAGAAACTCTTCTCCCCAACTGCATCTCAATCGTCCTTAGAACATCTATTCTAAAGCTTGCCTCGACATCTTTCCCAACGTTGATATGATTACAATATATAGGAGTAAAAACTGACAAAAGGATAAGTTTTTATGGCTGACCTTGTTCATATATTGCCAATTTAAGAATATTTTTTCCACATAAATACTTAAAAATTACCTGTCAGTTTCATTCAAAAGGACTTAACCTAAGTATGACCCATGGATTTAGAAAATAGTAAAATTATCATTATCGGGTTTCCATTACAACATTAAACTTATGTTTGGCACATAATTGTATAATGAGTAGTGATATACAGTTTGGATGTGACTGACTTTATTAAAGCAAAAAGTGCTGTAAACAACAAGATAGACATAGAAAATTAGATGTGAATGATTCTTGTCTCCGATATTTGGTATATGGTCATAAAATTGAGACAATACATTGCTCTGTTGGTCTATCTCAAAGATATCTATTCTAAAATAAAATTTCGATTTGTATTTCAAGATGAGTGTAGTTGTTTTAGCTTGATAGATGTAGAGAGAGTTTTACAAGTGATGAGTTGGTTCAACAGACAGAGAAATGAAGACAGTTGTTATTTAGAAGACTTCACTTTATATATTTGTATTTCAAGATAGTGTAGTTTTGTTAGTTTGAGAGATGTAGAGAGAATTTGACAAGTGATGATTTGGTTCTTCAGAGAAATTAAGACAGTTGTTATTTAGAAGACTTCACTTTATATATTTGTATTTCAGGATGAGTGTAGTTTTGTTAGTTTGAGAGATGTAGAGAGAGTTTTACAAGTGATGAGTTGGTTCTTCAGACAGAGCAATGAAGACCAGTTGTTATTTAGGAGAATGAGAGGTGAATTGGAAGATTCTGATTCAGAAACAGACTCAGATGATGAATCTATGGAAGATGTACTACCACCACAGGTATATTTTATAATTAACCTTTGTCTTTTCCTAACAAGAAAATAACTGTATTGCACACATGCACTGTTAAAAACTAACTTTGAAACCAGCATATTTCTGTTTGTTGAAAAATATTATTTCTCAAGAGATTTTCAGATTTTCATGCAGAGTTGAATTTTTACTTTTCGTCCTTCCCTTTGCCTATATCACCCTGCTCCGTAATTCTTGTTTCATGGGTTTGAGATGTGAGCAGACATTTTCAGTGACGTCACAATTTCTGAGGAGAAGTTATCAGCGACGTCACAATGTGTGAGGAGAGATTATCAAGCTTACTTTCGTCAAGTAATTAACTTTCAAGGGAGGGGAAAAGACCAGTAATAGGACGATAAACAGATTATCCGGTTTTCTATGACATTGTATACATATCATAAAATACCAGCCGCTCAACACAATGGGAAGGTTTTTTGCTCATTTCCTACACTCACTCACTAAAAAAGGCTTGCGGCTGATATTTTTACGATATCAGCAGACCTGCCAACTTTTGAAAATCTCTATGGGAGATTTATTGTGCGACCAGATTTTTAAGGGTTAACATTTTTGCGACTTTTCTGTGTGCACTGTTTTATACTTTTGAAATAGTCTCATATCGCTTATTTTTTTCTTTTGGTATACTGATGATGAGCTCATAAGCCTTTTATTTGTATGATTTTTGTACTCATTAATTGGCAAAATAACTTCAGAATAGAGACATGAAAGAAAAATGGCCTAAAAAAATAAAGGATACAAAATGAAGACCCTCCTTTTCCCCCTCCAAAGACCTTTTTTTATCTTTACACTATGAATCAAATGATCTAAACCTGAATGTCCTAAAGTTAGAATTGTGGAGACAGATCTTAAGTTAGTTTGTCAGTAATGAGAAAATGGAAACAATTTGAGTTATCTTTCTTGGTATTCAAAGGTGCTCCTACTGGCGGAGGCTTATACACAGTAGAAGTGAATATAATATGGTGTTGATTTTAAATCAGAAACTGGACAGAAACAAGTCTGATTTCAAAAATTTTCACGGATTTCAAGATGTTTCATAATTACAGTTTTCGTCTTTCAGTTAATTAAGTTTTTGTCATAATACTATGGTAAACATTGCAAAGTGTGATCGTATGATAAAATGATTAAAATTGAAATGCCGACTGACCGATTCTATTTATCAAATTCATTAATTTTGAGGATCATTATGACCCATCAGATAAGCAGATTACCTGTAACAACAAATTATGGCACCTGTTGTGACTGTTGATTAGCTGGGGTCATAAACTTCTCATAAATATGTTGACAGGTAAAATTATAGATTTATAGAAATTTTGATCAGAAAAACTTCATAATCAGTAACCAACAATTTTTCAGGTAGATTTTGTAAAAATCAGGATTTTGACTTGTTTTACGATCCTGATATCGTGATTTGGGTTGAGGCATGAAAATTGGGATGATACTGCCAAAATCAGGATAGTTGGCAGGTCTGTATCAATGTGTGGACACCCAATAATCTATACATATAACATATGAACAGAATATCACTCCATTTTATAAATTAATCTTTACTAACGATATTTTAATTTCTGTATATTAGATAAATGAGATCACTAGATCATTGGTTCTCGCACTTGGAGTTTGTTATCATGCTTGTTTAAAAAATCGAGAAGAGTACAGGGATACAGTAGCCAAGTATTTTAAACAACCATTACTTCTGGTAGGAGGAGCTAACCAGATAGAAGAGGAAATTTCAAAGTATGTTCGGTTTGACATTTTATGATGCTACCTTCTAATCTAAATATTAATAGTCATTTAAGCATACTTTCTAAAAGAGAGGCGAAAGATACCAATGGGACAATCAAAGTCATAAGTCGATTCTAAATGATTAATGCCTTCACATTTTTTTATATAAAGAAAAATATTGATTATAAAATGTGAAATTAAAAAGCATTGAGGTCCATTTAGGAGCTTACAATTGAAGTGTTTGTATGGCTGACAATATTCTACAATATATAGAACTTTACATGTTACTTTGTTGAACATTTAAATTATACTTTAACCCAAGAAATCCACAAAAATTGGCATCCCACAAATAATAATGGATCCCCTGTATATTGAATCCTTTTTGGTTGTTCATGACGTAGGGAAGATCAGCTGATGTTCACTTCTGATAAATTATCACTGGTATAACTTATTCTTATGTAGGTATTCCAAATCTTTGTAACTTCAAAAGGTAAATGAATATGTATTTTCAGTTGCCAGTCTGTGTTTCTTGATAGTGTAAACTTAGCACCAAACATAGCCAAAAACCAGGCTTTGAAAGAGAATGTATTTATGATGATTGTGTGTATAGAGCTGAGGATCCCTATGTTTCTGGTGGGTAAACCTGGAAGTTCTAAATCTCTAGCCAAAACAATAGTAGCTGATGCCATGCAGGGAAATGCTGCTCAAGATGATCTATTCAAAAACTACAAACAGGTATATCTTATTAAACTTCCACTCATGGGGTGGGTGGTATTTTGCTTTGAGCTGATCTTTCCTTTTTTCCATTCATCTTTCTGTAAAACATCCTCTACGTAAGAAATTTCAGACCTGCCTAGGCTTTACTTCCTATTTGAAGATCCTTTCATTACACCAACTTAGAATTATAGAATTACAGTAAGGGTTGGAAACGGTCATTTTGGCCAGACATGAACTAAGCTGTAAGGTTAATGACCGAAATGGTATATTGAGATCGTGAGATAGGGTTTCTTATTAAATTGCCATTTGGCACTAATTTTGTTTTGAAATGCTTTTCTGGTAATAAAACTGCCACTTGAGTATAGTGTGATAACACAGAGGGCCATCCCAATAATTATATTAATTCCTCCGGGAGATATTGGCTAATGATCACTTATCACTTTTTACCTGTGTTCTTCACACCTGACATAAGCGATCAAGCTCTGAATTAAGTATTATAAAGAAATTATATTCCATGACAAATTATTATCACTTCACTATTTAATAACTTTTCAACATAGACAATTGCCAATTAATTCTGATTTAAAAAGTTAAACTTTTATTAAATTACGTGGAAAAAAGTACACAAGTCAAACGTGTGCTTTACTTACTATGTAATACACATGCGTGAAATTGTCTTCACCAGATTAGACACTTTATGCAAAATGATTTCATGCTAAATTATTTCTAACACTTTTACAGACAATAAAATAAAAAAATACAACAATTTCCTGTCATTTCCTGTAAATGAATCAGGAATCTTTTTAAACTAGTATTAACTTGAAACTTCTGGTTTCTATTTCGTCTTCAAAATCGAAAAAAGTGTTAGCTATTCCTGAGAAATTTACCGTTTTAAGTCACTAGAATCATTTCAATTTTTATACGCCCGTTTACAGGACGTGCTATGGTATACCATTGTCTGTCAGTCTGTCCGTCCGTCGTCAACATGTCGGACAATAACACAAAAACGATTTAACCAAATTTCATGAAACTTCATATTAAAAAAGGGGATTTTCCAGTTTTCGGACAATAATTCAAAATTTTTTTAGCAGTTTTCATGAAACTTAAGTGACTGGTTTATATGTATTAAAATAAGCTCCCTTTAGTTGTTTTTATGTATTTCTGATACCGTTGATGCCATGAATCTATGAATAATTTCAACAGTTTGAAAAAAGGACCATACTTTCAAGTCTTCTCAAAATGACAGAAATTATATGCAAAAAGGAGTAGAGCCAGTAACCCCAATAAATGGCTCTGTAAAGGTGTTTATTTTAAACTTTATTGTTTGAGTAAATCTTATGTGTATGTATTACTACATTTACTTTTTTTGAAAGTATAATAAGAAAATTTATACATCTTCGAATTTATAAACATTTTAACCTGAAATGGGGAAAGATTTCATTTAAGTTCATTTTTCAAGAAATTTGTCAAGTTTTTGAACCTTCTTTCATGATTTCATATGTGGCCCAAACTCTCACCCATTTAAATTTTTGTTGAAAAGTAAAGAATATGGTATTTAAAGAATATTTCAGCAAAAATATTTGTGGTGGAGGGGTGGCGCCGCTTTTAATTTTTCTGAAAACTGACATAAATTTTGCCAAATTATGGAAAAAATCAGCTTTTAACAAAATTCAACTACATTAATGACATCACAAATACATCACTAATGACGCAATTGGTGAAAAATCTTTTTTGACTGAAACAATTGAACATTTCAACATATATTTTCATCCAATTTTCACGACATTATAGCAGTTACAAATTTTCAGATATTTAGGGCCAAAATTATGAGTTAGTGAACCAACTCCTTTCCAGATCCTTGAATTATAGTATTTTTAAATCCAGCGGCTCTTTTCACAAAAATTCTTATGAATATAAATACTCGTAAGTTATACACATTTTAGTATAACTTACAATCAATTTTAATCGTAAGATTTTTTATTAAAAGAGTCACAGATCTGTTGAATTACTAACATGTCACAGAAGGAAGGCAAGACCAGTGTATTGGTTCTGATTTCTCTACAGGTTCAGATGGTATCCTACCAGTGCAGTCCCTTATCAGTACCAGAAGGTATAGTTGGTATGTTCAGACAATGTGCTAACTTCCAGAAAGATAAACCACTAGATAGATTTGTGTCAATTGTTGTATTGGATGAGATTGGTCTGGCTGAAGATTCACCAAGAATGCCTTTGAAGGTAGGTAAATTTTCATATAATTATTATTGAAATCTTAATTATACCTAATGCAACTGAAGGTTGGAGGGCATAATCTTTTTATTTGTCAGTCTATCTGTCCATCACCACTTTGTTGTCACATGCTAGTGCCTTCATATTACTATCAGATCCTATCAAATATAAAAGAAGGTTACTATTCATCAAAACCCCTGATGAGTTCAATAATCAGAACAACATGAAAGTGGGAAATTACTCCTGTCCGTCCATACGTCCCAAAATTAGTTTCTGTTTCTAACTTTAGTTTGCCTCAACCAAATTTATGAAACTTATACTCAATGCTTATTACCATAAAACACAGATCAAGTTCAAATTTGGGTAGTGTCACTTTTACTGTTCTTGAGTTATGCCCCTTTATAATGTTATATGCAAGCGGGGGCTTCATGTTTATCCCATGATGGTCACATTCTCCATTTATTTTTTTTATTTTTCAAAAAAGGGACTTGTAAATATATCCCATATTATAATTCTTGTCAACAGGACAGGTCTTTCTTTCCTATCAGATTATCTCCAAATTTGTATGCATGTTTACAAATCAAAACCTCAAAAGGGCGAGTGAGAGCTTTTGCCATCACTTGGCATCATTTATCTGCTGTCCACCCACCGTTTACTATAACAAAAATCATCATCTATGAAACTGCTGAGCAAATGGACCTAAACTTGGCCACAATCATCCTTGGGGAATCTATTTTTTTAAAACACAGATCAAGATTGAATTTTGGTGGCGTCACTTTAACCATTCTAGAGTTATGCTCCTTTACAAATGGAAAAATTGCTGAATTTTAGTTTCTGTTCTCTAACTTTAGTTTGTCTCAACCAAATGTTATGAAACTTATACACAATGCTTATTACCACAAAATACAGATCAAGTTTGAATTTTGGTGGTGTCACTTTAACCATTCTAGAGTTATGCTCCTTTACAAAAGGAAAAATTGCTGAATTTTTCGTTTCCGTTCTCTAACTTAAGTTTGCCTCAACCAAATGTTATGAAACTTATACCCAATGCTTATTACCACAAAACACAGATCAAGTTTGAATTTGGGTAGTGTCACTTTTACTGTTCTAGAGTTATGCTCCTTTACAAAAGGAAAAATTGCTGAATTTTTCCTTTCAGTTCTCTAACTTAAGTTTTCCTCAACCAAGTGTAATGAAACTTATACACAATACTTATTACTACAAAACTCAGATCAATTACAGATTTGGGTAGCGTCACTTTTACCGTTCTTCAGTTATGTTCCTTTATAACTTTATATGATATGCAAGCGGGGGCATCATCTGTGTCCCATGGACACATTCCCCATTTATTTCAAAATGTGTCCTTGGTAAAATGCAAGTATTGGCTATTTTCTTGTAAAACATTATAGGTAAAGAAAATCTGATGGGGCAGAAATGTCATACTGTTTATAGGAGTTATTGCCTTTTGAATTAATGATTTTTTTTACCAATTTTAAAATATTTTGGCTTTAATCTTTAAAACTGTAATAGATATAGTAATCTAAAAACTTTGAATCCTTAATGCCAATATGTAAGAAAAATTAAAAATATGTAAAACTGATGTCCAACAGACCTGTGTCTTGAGATTGCAATATATTAGGAAAAGCAAAAGTATGCCACTGAAAATGAAGGGTTGATGGAGATTAAACTTTCATTTGTGCTTCAGGGAGTTGGTATGTGAATAAAAAGTACATATTCATGGAGAAAATTTAAAAGGTATCAAATGATGTATGATTAATCAACTTGAAAATGGATCTATTGTGACTTTGAGACAGAAACTTGCCGCCCCAAGTCCGGGTTGGCAATTTCCATGTTTTCTATATTGGGTGGTCTCTGATGTCCCACTACCCCAGCAAGTCATAGATAAGGAACCCAGACAACATAGCAATCTCATGAAATAATAATTTAAACTTGTTATTTATAGCAATTTTGATTTTTTACAGACTCTACATCCTCTGTTGGAAGATGGATGCCCTGATGATGAAAAACCAGAAAAATATAAAAAGGTATGTTATGCATAAAGGCTTTAGAATGATCAAATATTATTTTTGACAATTTTCTTCTTAATTTGATAGAAATATACTCTAAACCCACTCACAGAGTAGAAATTATAGTTAAATAAATGTGTTTTCCATAACTTTCCCTTTATATTATTCAGTTACTGTATTTAGGAAGGATTTGATAATATGTGGTCTGTAATTTTTAAGAATTCAGATCTGTCAGGCAGTAACTTCCTGTTTGACAATTCTTTGAATTTATTAAAGTATAGCCACGGAGAATGGAATTTTTCTTGTGCATGTGTTATGTTGGCAAATATGGGTTACCTTAAGAATGTTTTTAGATGATGATTAGAAAATGTAACATAATAGTATGTGTTATAATGAACAAATATGGCTTTCCAATTAACATAATGAAATGCTTTTTAAATAGGTTGCCTTCATTGGTATATCAAACTGGGCACTGGATCCAGCCAAAATGAATCGTGGTATCCTGGTACAGAGAGAAGTTCCTGATATCACAGAACTCATCGAAAGTGCTGAGTATGATTTTTAATTTGTTTGTAACTTGATGTAGCATATAAATCTCTGAAAACTAATATTTGATTAGTTTTAACAGTTGAAACTTCCATGTCACGATTTGTTTTTATTTGCCCAAATCCAAAAGAAGGAGGACATACAGGTTTACATCTATATATCTGTCTCTCCAGAACACATTTCTGTCCCATTTTCTCAGCAACTACAAGTAATAATTTCTTGATATATGGTGCCAAGCTTCATCTGGTTGTGCCATGCTTTGTAACGTCATCAGTTCCATAAATATTCTAATTACTATTTGAGGAAATAGATTGTCATGCACATATATGAAATTTTGTAAGATTGACCAGGATTTACTAAAAAGAAAATAGATCATGGTATAAGGTTGTCCACTTAAGTAGAAAAAGCAGTAACCTCCCAGCTGAGAAGGACAGATTTGAAAAAAAGATACAACCAATAAATGTATATATTTGAAGAATCTACAAACAATGATTAGGTCAAATGCTTAGTTCATATAGGAACTCAACAAAGATACATATAAACTTATAAAAATAACATATCAATATTTATAGTTGATTGTTCAGTATTTTTAGCACAAGATGATTTTCCTTGTCAGCTGATAAATGAGAACTATGGAGTATTTTTTCTTTCTTTTCAGGGGAATTTGTACTACAAAAAGACAAAAGATACTGAAGTATATAAAACCACTGATTCCAGATTTAGCTGAATCTTACTTAGCCCTGTTTAAAGAAGCATCCACAGAAATGAGAGAATTCTTTGGTCTCAGAGACTTTTATAGGTATTTATATACATGTATTGTTTCTATTTCTGTTTATTTCCTGCGGTCCAGAAGGCAGAAGTAGGTCTAGTAACTGCTCGACTGTTCGTCCGTCAGTCAGAAAGAAAACTTTTGTCAAAGTTTTCTTGGCTTCTATGAAACGGAATGATGTGATATTTGGTCTGCAACTCCATAATGTTGAGTTGTAGGGAGTAAGCAATTTTTTATGCCCCACCTACGATAGTAGAGGGGCATTATGTTTTCTGGTCTGTGTGTCCGTTGGTTCTTCCGTCCGTCCGTTTGTCCATTCATTCTTCGTTCACTGGTTTGTTCATCCATCTGTCCTGCTTCAGATTAAAGTTTTTGGTCATGGTAGTTTTTATTTTTTGCGGTCGTATATTGGTATCACGTCGTTGTCTTCGGCGTCGTCCGAAGACATTTGGTTTCCCGACAATAACTTTAGTTTAAGTGTATGGATCTCTATTAAATTTAATCAAAAGGTTCAATACCACAAAAGGAAGGTTTGGATTGTTTTTGGGGGTGATGGTCCCAACCGTTTAGGAATTAAGGGCCAAAAAGGGGCCAAAACAAGCATTTTTCTAGTTTCAGGACAATAACTTGTGTATAAGTATTTTGATTGCTCTGAAATTGTACCACAAGGTTCAATACCACAAAAAGAAGGTTGGGATTCATTTTGGGTGTAATTGCCCAAACTGTTCAGGAATTAGGGGCCAAAAAGGGTCTAAAACAAGCATTTTTCTAGTTTTCAGACAATAACTTGTGTTTAGGTGTATGGATGTCTCTTGATTTGTACCACATTTTACAAAAAGAAAATTTCTTCAAAATGATTTTTTTTGGAAAAAGGGGAAGGGGGGTAAAAAAAAAATTGTTTTGGGTGGGTCATTTTTTTCCCTCAAGATTTAAGAAATTGTTAATTTTCCAAATAAAAAAATTGGGGTGTCACAATTTATTTTGCTAATTCTTTGTATATAGTCTGAAAACAGGTTTACTAAGTATTGTGCAACAGCACAGTGTATTACACAACAGCAAGAAATCTTCAATTGAATATAAATTCATATCATACAACCAATTTCAAGTTCTATGACACATTTATTCTGTGTCAGAAACCTGTAATGTGTCAAATATTTAATTACAATCCAAATTCAGACCAGTATCAAGCTTGAATATTGTGTCCATTTTTCAGGGTTGGACCTCTGCGTTTGTATCCAGCTGCGCTCGGCGAAGCAGTTTATCGATGAAGTTGAAGTCCAATCAATTTGAAACTTAGTAAACATGTTCCCTATGATATGATCTTTCTAATTTTAATACCAAATTAGAGTTTTGACCCCAATTTCACGGTCCACTGAACATAGAAAATGATAGTGTGAGTGGGGCATCCGTGTACTATGGACAAATTCTTGTTACATCTGCCATTTAGCCACTTCCTGTTTGCCTATAGTTTGAAATTTTTCAACACTCATTGCGCTAGGAAAAGTTTCGTCAAAATTTTCGATGCTTCTATCAAAGGAAATGATTTAATATTTGATCTTCAGCTTCATAATGTTGAGTTGTAGCGAGTAAACCTTTTTTTTTGGCCCTGCAACAAAGTTGTTGGGGCCATATAGTTTACCCTCTGTGTTAGCAGTAGTCAAAAAATGTAAATAGCCAAAGTGGCTATTCACTTTTTTTTTGCTTAGCCACATTTTGATGTGGTTAGCCACAACTTTAGTGTCAACGTTGAGCACACTCAAAGTGATCCGAACCTGCTAGGGGGGTTTGAAGATTGTGGAAAATGAGATGTGAAATTCTGCATTCTGAGGTTACATTTTTGTAACTGGAAGTGTATATAACTTATCAAAAATGTTGTTTTTTTCTCCAGGTCAGATAAAAAATTCTCCTTTCTCTCAATAAATTAAAGTGCTAGATAGAATGCAGCTGTAGATGTATAATTTATAATTTTATCCAAGCTATGTTCTTTATGGTTGGTTAATAATAACAGTGAATGTATCCATTTTCCCTGAAATGTTGAATGATACAAACCGGCACTAACAGTCTCTTAAATTTGGAGTGAGGTGAGAGTGTTTGCTCCGTGTTAAAAGCCTCACTGTAACTTTGAGATGAAGATCAGCAATGAAAGTGCTGTTCCTTTGCTTTTTTGGTTTTTCCTGTTCATGTACTGATTTTGTGTCATGATGATGGGTTACCATATCCCATTTCTTTTTGTATTGCATTAAGTGAGTTAGTGATGTTTTCCTGCCATTGAACCATATCCATTCTTTTTGTTTTTCATAATATAAAATCAACAAACACCCATTTGAAATTATGTAACACTTTATTAAACTTCAGAATCAACAAATGAATAAAAAATGATACATGTAACGATGTCCTTTGTTGTTTTCTTGGATTCCAATCATCCGTGACCATATGATCTTTATCTGATTCTTTCGGGTCGTGGACCCTTACTTCAAGGTCAGATTCGTCGGCCATGTTAAAAACATTAAAAGTAAAAGAAAACTTGATATCTGAAACGGATTTTCGTGCCCAGAATCGTTACGTTTGATAGTTTTTTTTCCCCGGATATGACTAAAAAGACCCGTTTTTGTGTTTGGTTCTGCAAATTACTTTTGTTAAGATCTTGTCAGCTAAACGTTTGTTCGAATCCACACTTCTGGCTTGAAATTTGACAAAGATTTTTTTCCTTTCATGTAAATTTTTGTTCGCCAATGTAGCAATTGCAACTGAATTTTTATTAGCCACATAATAAAAACATTCGCCCATGGCGAATGTGGCGACCTTTACCGCTAACACAGACCCTTATGCATCTTTCTGTTATTCCATCATTCTGTCATTCCGTCATTGCGCAACTAACAGCTGTACTTTTTTTCTAAATGCCTTTATTTTGAGCTGAATTTTAGTATGTGAGTCTATTTTGTTGAGTTACAGATCATATTAAGGTTTGGTTCTGCTCTGCTGATTTTTGCCAAAATTATGTATTTGGACTTTGAAAATTTCATGTAAATAGCTGTAAGTTATACCGACTTTTTTCGTAAACGCCTTCACATATTGAGCTGATTTTTGTCTCGCCAGCGACGAAAGTCATAGAAAGCAGGACATAGGGATTGCTTTTCCAGCTAAAGTGACGGCTGCGGTGACAGCTGCAATGATGGCGTCAACAATTGTTAAGTTTTCAGCTTAAGTTAGTTTGATAGGAACTATTTGTAAAAGATTATTGATATTTTGTATGAAGAAGCATTACTATCAGTACATGTCAGTTTAACGACAATTTTGAGGCCCTGCCTTCTAGGCCATCGTCCTGTGACTTTGAATTAATTAGCCATTTTCAATGTTAAGGTTTCTGCTTGTAAAAGTTAGTTTGATAGGAACTACTTTGATAGATCAATGATATTTTGTATGAAGTTGCATTAATTTACTATCAGTACATATCTTTTTGACGACTATTTTGAGGCCCTGCCCCCTAGGTCATGGTTCAGTGACTTTCAATTAATTAGCAATAATCAATGAATAGTTTTCTGCTTAAGTAAGTTTGATATGAACTACTTGCGATAGATCAATGATATTTTCTATAAAGTTGCATTACTATCAGTACATAAAAGTTTGATGACTATATCAAGGCCCTGCCCCCTAGGTCATGGTCCACTTACTTTCAATAAGATAACAATTTCAATGTTAAGTTTTCTGATTAAGTTAGTTTGATAGGAACTACTTACAATAGACAATATTTTCTATAAAGTTACATTGCTGTCTGTACATCTCAGTTTGTCAACCATTTCGAGGCCCTACCCACTAGTTGGTCCAGCGACTTTGAATTAATAAGCAATGTTGCTGTCCATCAAATTGTCTTTTTCTGAATTTTATGCCGACAGGCGAGACATATCTCTGTGTCAACAGTTTATTAGTATGTGAGTCCACTATGATGAGTTACAGATCAAGTTTACATTTGGTTTTACTCTGCTGATTTTTGTAGAAATTACAGGCTTTGGACTTGGAACATTTCATGAAAATAACAGTTATACAGACTTTTTTTTCTAAACGCCTACACATATTGGGCTGATTTTTAGTATGTGAGTCTACTATGATGAGTTACAGAACATGTTTATGTTTGGTTCTGCTCTAATGATTTTTGCCGAAACAAGGGGCTTGGACTTTAAACATTTTGAGAAGATAACAGTTATGCAGATTTTTTTTTCAAAACTACTTCACATATTGAGCTGATCTTTAGTATGTGAGTATACAATGATGAGTTACTGATCGAGTCAACGTTTGATTCTGCTCTATTGATTTTTGCTGAAATTACTTGCTTTGCACTCGGAAAATTTCTTGAAAATAACAGATATTAAGACTTTCATTCTCAAATTTCCATTCCTTAATATGGCTTCAAGCTTTTTTGCTAGCAGGGCCATTCGTGTTGTTCTGACACATCTAGTTACATCTTTTCTTTTGCCAGATGTAAAATTTAGTTTTATTTATTTCAGTTTATTGAAGATGTTGTATGGTTTCCTGTCAAGATCTAGAAAGAAACCCTCATGGCTACAACTAAAGCATTCGATCCTTAGAAATTTTGGTGGATTAGAGAATGTCAAACCTGTTGACATTTTCTATGATAAATTGTCACATCTTGTTGACAAAGATGAGGAGGTAAAACAAACAATTAAATTATGTTATGAAATATATATTAATGTCTCTGATTTATACAATCACTATGTATAGCAAAGAGCAGAAAATATGTTTATGTTTTATTTGAACTTTAAAAAAATCAAACTAGTGCAATACTCTATTTTAATCATGCATTTTAAACCAGGTTTTACTCCATTTTCTACATAAGGAAATGACTGTACCATTAGTCAGGAATATGAAAGTTGTTTTCCAATCGTTTGATGTGTTTGAGCTTTTGATTTTGCCATTTGATAAGGGACTTTCCATTTTGAATTTTCCTTGGAGTTATTTTTGTTATTTTACTTTTTAAAAAGCCAGGATTTTTTTTTTACAATTTGTGTTAACTATGAAATCATCATTTTGTCTTAAAATTGTTAAATCTTTTCCGAAATATTTATAGGATAATTTTAATGAAAATTTGGCTGATTGTGCACATTTCATCAAAAACAAAATGTTGCTACTCTTAAAATCTTTTTGAGGTATTTAATAGAAAGGAAAGGGGGGGGTTAAGTCAATGAGACAGTATTCAATAACATACACAGAATTATTTTCTTGATTTACCTTCATTTGTCTTACAATAGCCAAGCCATTTCTTTTTTTATAAACATATATTGACAGAAACATGTTTTTTTTTTTAACATTTTAGAACAGGTATACCTTGCTTCTAATTCTCATTGTTTGGGTTCCTTTATCTTGTTTTATTTCAGCCAAGAGAAGATGATCCGGACTGTACATCAGCAGGAATGATTCAGGCATGTCTGACAGGGGACAAGATGTCAAATAGGTACCACTTTACTGTATGACATCAATATCACCTGTTATACAAACTTGTTTCTATAAATAAAAGATTTGGTGTATACATCAATGAGACAGCAGCCTAACAACTAAAAACACAAAGACATCAAGAGATCAACAATAGACAGGTGACTATACAAAAAAAAATATTAACACAAACCAAATATATTATATAGGTGTTTTATCATGATTTGAAATGTAAAAATTTCCTTGCAATTCAAAATGTAGCTGATAATAACGTTGTATGATCCTTCATTAATAAAAACTCTTGATAAAAATCATAATACTAAATGTTTTTAAATGTTTTATATCTATAGTGAGACAAGATACATGTTGTTACTGACAGAGAATTATGGAGCCCTGACAATATTACAACAGAAAATCTTTACCATGGAGAACGCTGTTGTTATATTTGGTAGTAGTTTCCGTAGTGATCAAGAATATACACAGGTACATATATATTTGATGTGTTTTAATTCATAATTGTTAGATTTAGTTATCTTTTTGCTACTGTGGATTCTCAATTGATGGAGGAATACCAATTTTTGTGGATTTTTTGGGTACAGGTGAACCATGAATTTAAATGTTCAACAATTTAGAAATTTTCTATAGGCTTGTAGGCAAAACCACAAAACAAAGTATCCATGAAATTGCAAGTTTTCATCAATCCACATATTGGTACCCAAGAAAATAAATTAATCCATAATATTTTAACAACTGTGGTTATCATGTGGCCTTCAACAAAAGACAAATGTATGAAAAGTGCTGGACAAAATTTGGCTAAGACAAGCATATTCAATTTAAAGTAAAATGTATAGTAATGTTTATATTTCTTTTACCATAGAATTGTTTTAATATATAGAATTAGAATAAATGAAATGTTTTGACTATTATTTTTGAAGGTGTGTAGAAATATAAACCGTATCAAAGTTTGTATGGAGACTGGGAGTACTGTTATCCTGTTGAACTTGGAGAATCTTTATGAAAGTCTTTACGATGCTCTGAATCAGGTAAAATATGTTCTACAGAAATATAAACTGTATCACAGTTTGTATGGAGACTGGGAGTACTGTTATCCTGTTGAACTTGGAGAATCTTTATGAAAGTCTTTATGATGCTCTGAATCAGGTAAAATATGTTCTACAGAAATATAAACTGTATCACAGTTTGTATGGAGACTGGGAGTACTGTTATCCTGTTGAACTTGGAGAATTTGTATGAAAGTCTTTACGATGCTCTGAATCAGGTAAAATATGTTCTACAGAAATATAAACTGTATCACAGTTTGTATGGAGACTGGGAGTACTGTTATCCTGTTGAACTTGGAGAATTTGTATGAAAGTCTTTATGATGCTCTGAATCAGGTAAAATATGTTCTACAGAAATATAAACCGTATCAAAGTTTGTATGGAGACTGGGAGTACTGTTATCCTGTTGAACTTGGAGAATTTGTATGAAAGTCTTTATGATGCTCTTAACCAGGTAGGGAATTGTTACATCAGTGTTGTTTTCTACATTTTGCTTCAAAAAATATTAAATAGCAGATGATGAATTTTAACCTAAGTTTTCTGACTTTTAAGAAGGTTGAATAGTAAAAATGTTTGTCAATTTTTCATGCCTACAAATTGCTATAAATTGCTTATTATACTATTTCAGTATTATGTAGAGTTTGGTGATGAGAGATATGTAGATTTAGGACTTGGAACACACAGAGTTAAATGTAGAGTACATAGAGCTTTCAGGTAAAATTTTACTTCTTCAAAATATAGCACTTTTGACATGTCAACTTTCTTTTGAAAATTTTTGTAAAATGAGAAATTAAAGGCATTTAATGGTGGTGTCAAATTGTATATTAAAAAAAGGTAAATAGCCAGTATCTTATGAAAATTGGCTTTTTTAGATTATCATGTAGTTGTCCAGGAACAAGTAACTTTGATGCACTAATATATTACTTGTAACCTGGATGACATTTATTTTTCCCTAGATTTGTCACAATTTGGTTCTAGAAATATTTCTCACTTAAGGTGGTACCAAACACCTTGACTAAAATTAATTTGGCTCATTTAATTTTCATAAAATATTCAAATTTTCAAATTTTCGGCATTATATAGGTGAAATTCTCAAAATTCTGCTCTTTCACCCAAAATCGTAATTTTTTAACCCAAAACGGCAAATTCCTTACACTGAACGATGTCCATTCCAAGTGTTTTGTACATAAAATGACATTTTATGTCAGAAAAGTATACTAGTTTGGCTTAAATTCTTCCATATTCTTTCAAAAAAAATGTTCCCTCATTTCAAATTCTTGTAAATTCCGTAAATTTCCTCTGATTTTGACATGGTTTTCAACAAACGGAAGCGCCATGTTTACACTTTCATCCGGGTATTCAACAAAGAAAGATAACTTGTGTTTGCACTGTTTTGAGCGGGAAATATAAAAGAGGTATTCCGATCCCAGTAAAACGGGACTCCTCGTCAGCTGTCTGAAGCGTGAATCCTGGTAAACAGGGACTCATCGGCGAAAGGGTTAACCTACCTTCTACTGGTTACACCACACATGTTTGGGAAGTTTGGAATACCACAGATTATTAATTAATTTGTGTATTGTTTTCAAACTGTACTGTTGTTTGTGTTTTATTAATATGAAATTTAAGCATTAAACTGGTTCTTTTCCCAAACATGTCTTTGTTTTTACACTAGTAACCATCTGGATTCACAGGTTTCCTGACTGGATTCCGATCAGAGTTAGACATTGACATGCATCTGATCTGATACCGGTTTAGATTCCAACAGCATTTATACTCACACAAGAGGGAGGGAAATGAGTGGAGCTGTTTAAATCCAACCCAATGACAGTTTTTTTTTGTGTTAAAATTAGCCTATTCTTACATGTTTTGTTTGAGAGGTTAATATAGTAAATTCACTGACTGCCTTGATATTTACAGTTTTTTCAGTTTCTTTTGCTATTCATTGTAAAATGAGTATCCCTGGTTAAAAAATCAAAAGTGTTGTTCATGGAATGTTTATATTGTATGAAAGAATATTTCTGAAGTTTTTGATCAAATTGTCTTTTAGACTGATTGTAGTAGCAGAGAAACAGATTGTATATGACAAGTTTCCAATTCCACTGATCAATCGTCTGGAGAAACATTTCTTATCATTGAAGACCATGCTGACACCTTCTCAGTTAGAGCTTACAGTCAAATTACAGGATTGGGCACAGCAGTTTTGTGAGGTCAAAGTTCCATTAGATATGAGATACTTGATACAAAAGTAATTATATACTGTGTACTTTCACAAGTATGAAGCTATATCCTTTACTATAAAACTTCATTTTAGGTTCTTAAAGCTCTTTCTGCACACTGTTCTAAATTTCAGCTACATATCTCTAAAAAAGGACAACTAAATAGAATAAATACTGAAGCTAAAGTATTGTAACCTGTGTTTGAAATTCAATAAAATGTACATTTGTATAAATTTAAAATGTGCAAGATATAATAAACAATTCATGCCTTCATCCTGTTCATTGAGAAAATTTTAAATCCTACATTTATGAAAAAGGCTTTTTGCTTTTATTGACAGAAGTTGTTGGTTTTATCCTCAGTTCTATGACTACAAAATTGGTATTTGTTGCTTCTATGCCAAGCATTAGGCATTTATGTGATTGAGCATAGATTGGTTGGCTTAGAGTCAAATTAATTTGCCCCAGATGGGATGATATGTCCTTTTGGGGGACCAATACCTTGTGAGGAAGACCTTTAAAAATCTAGCTCAGCATGTTGGTTAAGTACAAAGTATGATACATTCATATCACATTAACACGTTGTCATCTTGAATATGCACGTAATATTTGCTACTTAATATTAAGGATATTTCAGCATTTTGATTTTATTTGCAGGAAAGAGACTAAAAAAATAGGAGATGTTTTTATGGGTTACCATGATGACACATGTGCTGCGATCATTCTGCATGTTTGTCAAGAATTAGAATGTACAGATCTTACTATAGCACAGATGGAGAAACAGGTATTTTTGTAAGATAAGTAGAACTGCACACTTAAGAGGATTGTAAGAATGTTTTTTAATTTTAAAAAGAGAAGTAATGCTGTATTTTATTACCGAGGTCAAACTTTATCGCCTTTATTGTTTTTGATAATATAAAAAACATTTCCCTTCTTTGATAACATATTTTCCTTTTTAGTGTATAGGGGCATTATGATAAGACAAAACTATGTTTGAAAATCACTTTTTGTCTCCATCATTATTGCAAAAAGATATTTTAAAACAATTTATAACCCAGCAACAGGGGTAGAAGATTTTATCTATGTTCTTTATATTGAAGAAAAATTCATAATGAAACAAAATTGTCAGTAAATATTTTTTAAAATATTTTGCATCAATCCAAATTGCATGAATTCTAATTTTAAGAAAGTTTTCTTTGAAAAATAGATAATGAGAGATGCAGAGACGATGCTTTTATGGTGTGCAACACCTTCAGCTGTAGTTGATCTTGAAGACGAACATTTTTTGTACACATATTTCTTGGATCAGCACCATGAAAGCCTAGAGGATTATATGCATTATAAGATAGTGGAACAAGAACTACACAGCATTCGTTCTCAGGTAATATAGATGTAGTATGCAAAGATAATTCCATACTTTTTGTTTTACTTTTAATTTTACTTTTACCAGTAATTAGAGAGTTATTCATTATTTGTCTAATGATATGTTCTGTCATGAATGTTTAATTACTACCCTCATTGACATTAAGTAGGGAACTGACGTGTAAAAGAGTATAACAAAAATACTGAACACCAAGGTAAATTCAAAAGGGGGAAGGAAGTGAGGTTAACGTAATAATAAAAAAAAACACTACACTGAAAACTAAAGCTTGAGCAACTTGAAACCCCAAAAAACTGGAGTTGAACCCAGGTGCTCCCTAATAGTAAGAAGATCTTGCTCCACTAGTAGCACCTATCATGTTACTAATTGCAAGGGAAAATTTGCTGATGTAAGAAGCATTGAGTCTTGATGTCACAGTCCAGTAAACAAATTATTGTGGCAACTGTAAAAGTTTTGAAGGGATAGGTTTGACTTTTACTATTTGGTTCTTTGGAACCTTGGGAGATGTTGGAACACTCTCCTTTTAAGGGATGATGAAAAGCTTAGAAAGTGAAATAAGAATATTAAATTTAGCTAAAATATAACATTGAATACCTTTTCAGATCACAACTAATTCAAAGTTGCTCTCTGTAGCAGATATTGAAATCCTGTGTAAAGTAATTTCAATCCAGAGAAAGAATGTAGAATTACTGAATCTTCAATCATTTGATACAGAACAACAGTTTAGTAGACAGATCAAGTAATTACTTTAATACTCATATCAAATTCACTTGTATCTGAACTAAAATTTCTGTAATTCTGAGCTTATTTTTACTTTTTGAGTTTGTTATGCCCCTGCCGAAGCAGAGGGGGCATTAAGTTTTACCCTTGTCCGTCTGTCCGTACGTCCCAAAATTTGTTTCCGTTCTCTAACTTAAGTTTGCCTCAACCAAATGTTATAAAACCTATACACAATGCTTATTACCACAATACACAGATCAAGTTTGAAATTTGGTGGCATCACTTTTACTGTTCTAGAGTTATGCCCCTTTACAAATGGAAAAATTGCTAAATTTTTCATTTTTTTAAAAAAAATATCAATGATGTCATTGTTCAAGTAATTTTTAAAATTGGAGTTATCTTCCTTTGTCCATGATTGTAGTTGAATCAACTACAATCAATGCTTTATACAATGCAATGTTTAATTTTGCCTTCCACTGATAAAACACAGATCAAGTTGAATTTGGGTAGTGTCACTTTAACCAATATTGAGTTATGCCCCTTTATAAATCGAAAAATTGCTAAATTTTTAGTTTCTGTTCTGTAACTTAAGTTTGCCCCAACCAAACATGAAACCTATACACAAATACTTATTACCACAAAACTAAGATCAAGTAGTCGCTTTTATTGTTCTTGAGTTATGTCCCTTTATAATGTTGTATGCAAGCAGGGGCATCATCTGTGTCCATGGGGACACATTCTCCATTTTTTTTTTTTTTGTAATTGAAAGATTCGAGCAAACTTGATAATTCAGATGGTATTTTAATATTGACTAACAATAATACAATTGGTAGCAACTTTACGTAATACGTTAATATCCCAAATGTTTGTGTGGTACGTTCTCTGAGTAATCGCAAATATTACAGTAATCGGCAGAGGATCCTCTTATTCTCATTTCTTTATTGGTTAAGATTACATGACAACTTATTTTCTTGCTGTTTTTTTTAGGTTTGCCTTTGTAAAAAAGGTAATCATTATCTGATAATATCACACAGAAAAATACAATTTCTATTTGAAGCTGGGTTTTCATATATTTATTTCATGCTGGTATAATGGTTATTAAGAGAATAAATTATGTAGTTGTGTCTTTCTTTTTTCACAGCAAAAGTTTTGAGTATCAAAATCCTACATAATTTATTTTTATTCTGTATAGGGCATTTTTTGACAAAGAAGATACTACTGAAGACCTTCTACTGATTATACAATGTGATAGTGGTGATCAGAACAATGACTTGATAGCCTGTGCTAGAAACACTTTACAGGATGAATTACAACAGATACATGACCAGGCATTGAATGTTCATGTGGTGTTTCTGATACAGCTGCCTGGAATAGCTGGAAGTAGCTTTACTGGTTTCCAGGTATATTTTTTTAATTATGCCCATGCAACAAAGTTGTGTAGTGTATAATGTTTTTGACTCGTCTGTCTGTCTGTCCGTCAGTCCTGTTCTTGTCATCACAACTCCTCTGAAACCACACAACAGAATTTCATGAAACTTTGTAGATAATAAGGATGTAATATGCAGATGTGTATATCGACAGGAAATTATAATTCAATTATTTACCTAGGAGTTATGCTCCTTTGAACTTAGAATTTTGACATAAATATACTACTGCAACAGTTTGTCATCGCAACTCCTCAGAAACCACACAACAGAATCTCATGAAACTTTATAGATACTAAGGACACACTATGAAGATGTGCACATGGACAGGAAATTATGATTCAATTAATTTTCTGGGAGTTATGCCCTTTGAACTTAGAATTATTGTTTTAATATACTACTGCAACAGTTTGTCATCTCAACACCTCTGAAACCACAGAATTTCATGAAACTTTGTAGTTAATGAGGACATAATATGTAGATGTGCATATCCACATGAAATTTTTATTAGTTGCCTATTGTAGGAGTTATGAGTCTTTAAACTTAGGAATCTGGTGAGATTTTGTTTGCCCAGTGATAATGTGGAGGCGTGGGGTATGTGAGCATGCTCACTAAGGTTCTTTAATTTTCAAAATTAATGTTTTGTGTTTTTCTACTACGTTTACAGATAGTTTTTATTCCCCAAAAACACCATAGCAAAGGATAAAGTTATAGTTTCCTTAACACAATACTTGTCAGAGACTTTTATGAGAAAGCTTTTATATTTGAAAGGCTTTTCAACATTATGTGAACTATGTTAACTAGTTCAATTGCTCTAATGTCATTTTGATAAGTATGTGAAATATCATGAAAATTAAAAATAATTACACATAAAAATATTTAAACATTTTCATTTTAGTGTGGGTTATGGCATTCTGTTCACATAGATGACATCCACCCTCCACCATTGGAGCTACCCTCTATTGCTGATATGTATGGAATGTCTGTTAGTGCTCTGTTAGACTCTAAGGGAGATAACCTCAGCTTAAGAGAGAGAAAACCTGAAGACCTTGAAAGATTGCAAACAGCAGAGGATATAGATTTGACTGATATACACCTAGAAGAAAAAATTATTAGGAGAAGTTTTGCACCAAAGAGACAGTTTAACATTGAATATTTAATAGAGAAATGTATTCAGCCTGCTGTAGGAAATGTGAAAGACTCGGAATCTGAATCTTCCAGAGCTATAGAAAGACTAACTTTAATTCTGAATTGTATGCACAATGAGACAGGTTTGTCTTTATATTACAAACTCTTATATATTGAAATGGAGGCAGATGTCTGGTTTAAATCAAATCCTTAATTACTGTAATGTTGAACACAACTGATTTGTAATATAATGTATTTATGATATTTGCATTTGTTGTTGTCTTAAACTTTAAAAAAAAAAGACCATACTTGGACTGAATTATCATTAGGGTACCTATAGTGTTATGTTTATATTTTTGTGGTAGCCTATGTCTTAGATGCTTTCATGGGATTCTTCTTTGAAAGGAAAAGATGCTTACCTCCTACCAGAACTATGTTCAGAGTAGGGAAGAGATCAATTCAAATAATGATAGAGTTATTCAAAAGGGTTGGCTGAAGAAAAATCCTGTGGATACATGAAATAATTCATACATAGCTTCAATACTTATTGTTTACAGGTGAAATGACCATCTTGTCTGGAATTGCAAAACACTTAACTTGTATACTGAAGGAAAAAGACAAGAGTGTCCAAAGAGTTGTAAATAACTGGCTGGCTAGAGAAGCTGCTAAACCAGAAAATGTAAACAGAGCTGGTACTTTTAGGTTTGTATATATATACAGGTCTGGTCAAGATCACACTGATTTCACAGTTTTACTCCTGAAAACACATAGTTTTTTTAGAAGTTTTGTTTCAGATGTTTTATTATTTTTAAAATTTATTTTGACCACAGAAATTACCACTTCCATGATGAAATTTTTTCATAGTGTTTAATGTAGCTAGGGTGTCTTCCACCATCTTGGATTTTGAAATAGCAGATAACAATCGGTCTAGATCTTTAATGAAATGTGCAAATTTCGAGAGTAGTATGTAATTCATGTGTAAGACTTTTCATGTTAATATAGAAAAGTTTGTGTTTTATCGTATTTACGGCTGTAAAAATATTTTTGTTTGATTCATTTTTTTTCAACTTTGTCACATAAGGGGAGATAACTCATATGAAAGGGGAGGTAACTCAGATAAAGTAACTTTAAAAATACAAGATGTTGTGAATTTACCTATTTTATTATGAAGCAAGAAAATGAGTCTGGTGACCCCATTTTTTCTGTTTCTTATCTGAAAGCATAGAATTAGAGCTATCTTCTCATATTTTATCTTAGAATTCTATGGTGTAGTTTTCTTTGTATCACACAAAATTGGACTGAAAAAAGCCTTAAAATCTAAAACATTAACTTTTTGTATGCAATCATTCTATAGTATACATATTCTTTTTTAGGAACTTTGCCCTTCAGTGTTTGGAATCTAAAGTTATTCCTGTTTTAGCTGGTATTATAGCCTTCATAGACACAAACAAAAATCTAGATATACTAGCTAATAGAAACCAAAATGATTGGCAGTTTAATCTTTGGTCACAAATTTTGAACGATCCAGAATTGACAAATCTGAAATATTCATTAATGGTATCACCAAAAAGACATAAAGAACTGCATGAAGTTTCTGTGAAAACAACTTCTATGGATGGAAAACTGTTTTCAGCCAGTATGCCATTTTCCTGGATTATTTTTGGGCAGATTGAAGAAGTCTTAAGAAAAACTATTGATGCAAAAGATATCAAAGGTAGATTAGTAAACTGTTTAATCTATAAAACGAAAATAACATTTCATAAATTTTATGCCTCCAAAACACTTTCCTGGATTTATCTTCATCAGGAACACTCAAAGACATATCTTAGAATACCATACCTGCCAACCCTCCCGTTTTGAGCTGGAGATTCCCGCTGAAATGACGAAATTCTGGAAATCTCCCGCTTGCCGGTCTCCTCCTGCGCGGGAGTATCGAATCTCCCGCTTTTGGATATTTTACCTTGAATTGACCAGTCAACATTAATAACGTTTTTGTGTCACTGATGAGGGTATTTTTTACCTGTAAATCACAGTCCATGTGAAAATTAAATGGCTTCACATGACAGCTTGGGTGTCAAACATAATACTAATTAACGATCATAAACGACTTTTACCTCAAGCTTTGTTATTTGAAAACACTTCAAAGAAATTTCAGGTTACTTCCCCTGTTTGATCCTGTTTAAAGTATTCAATGTTTAAATTGAAATTTATAAGAGATGTATTTCACCACGGTGATTATAATGTGACTGTTCATACATAAGACTAAGAATAAGAATAAGAATATTTCATTTCCAATTACAGGGCCTTATAAAGAGCCTTCATCACATTACATACAAGTACAAAAGATTAGACATAAATTTAGAGACATATAAGAAAACAACACCGTTTAACACTATTAAAAATGCTATAAAAGGCCAGGACAGAATCAGTTAATATAATTCACATCTTAAAAATATACCATTGAAAATCATATACCACTCAAAATATGTATATTTGTGGCTAATTTGCATTTATTATCTTTGAACTTCTCCTTATCTCTAGATTTTTAGATAAATACTTTCCCAAACATTTATATACATTTAAATTTTCTTGTGTAAATAGCCACGAAAACTTTGAAAAATTGTCTTAAGATTGAAAATTATTGCAAGTTAAAGAAATTTCAGTAAAAAACTCATTTCTATTATCAACATATAGTGGACATTCAGTCACAAAGTGTATCTCATCCTCAACTTTATTTAATGTACAGTATAAACATTTTCTAAGTGTTCTCTTCACATAAATTTTGGCATATCAATCAGTCTCAATCCTTAATGGATGAGAGCTTATTCTAATCTTACAGACTGATTGCCTTAATCTAAAATCTTTTAGATCCAAATATTTTTCAAAACAAAATAGAGTTTTAAAGGAAAAATAGATATTAAGTTTACCTTGATCTGATTGTAATACTTTATGTCTATTTTCCTTCCAGAAATGAAGATTGTTTTTATATAGCTTATCTTTGACAAATTTTGTGAAAGAGTAGATAGTGGTTTTTAAATTACATGTTTGTATGCCCAGCTTTTTGTAAAATACAGTCTATACTTGAGAACCATGTATTCACTTTATTATTGTGAAGTTCTTTACTACATAAATATGCATCATATAATAACATGTTCTTAGAATTATCTAGTCGATGATAATATTTTAACATTGCTAATATAATATTAAAATACATTGGGTATCTCCCTAGTTCAGAAGACACAGCAAGATTACTTGATTTCTTATTTACACTTAGTACATATTTCATAAATTTGATATGTGATTTTTCAGCTGTATCATTGTAAACACCTTTTCTAAAATATATTGATCATTTTTAGCTCACCTGACCTGAAAGGTCAAGTGAGCTTTTCTCATCACTTGGCGTCCGTCGTCCTGCGTCCGTCGTCCGTCGTCCGTAAACTTTTACAAAAATCTTCTCCTCTGAAACTACTGGGCCAAATTTGACCAAACTTGGCCACAATCATCATTGGGGTATCTAGTTTAAAAAATGTGTCCGATGACCCCGCCCGCGAACCAAGATGGCCGACATGGTTAAAAAATAGTACATAGGGTAAAATGCAGTTTTTGGCTCATATCTCTGAAACCAAAGCATTAAGAGCAAATCTGATGATGATAAAATTGTTCATTAGGTCAAGATCTATCTGCCCTGAAATTTTCAGACCAATCAGGCAACCCGTTGTTGGGTTGCTGCCCCTGAATTGGTAATTTTAAGGAAATTTTGCAGTTTTTGGTTATTATCTTGAACATTATTATAGATAGAGATAAACTGTAAACAGCAATAATGTTCAGCAAAGTAAGATCTACAAATAAGTCAACTTGACCAAAATGGTCAGTTGACCCCTTAAGGAGTTATTGCCCTTTATAGTCAATTTTTAACCATTTTTCGTAATTTTTTGTAATTTTTTACAAAAATCTTCTCCTCTGAAACTACTAAGACAAATTTAACCAAACTTGTCCACAATCATCATTAGGGTATCTAGTTTAAAAAATGTGTCCGATGACCCCGCCCGCGAACCAAGATGGCCGACATAGCTAAAAAATAGTACATAGGGTAAAATGCAGTTTTTGGCTCATATCTCTGAAACCAAAGCATTTAGAGCAAATCTGATGAGGATAAAATTGTTCATTAGGTCAAGATCTATCTGCCCTGAAATTTTCAGACCAATCAGGCAACCCGTTGTTGGGTTGCTGCCCCTGAATTGGTAATTTTAAGAAAATTTTGCAGCTTTTGGTTATTATCTTGAATATTGTTATAGATAGAGATAAACTGTTAACAGCAAAAATGTACAGCAAAGTTAGATCTACAAATAAGGCAACATGACCAAAATTGTCAATTGACCCCTTAAGGAGTTATTGCCCTTTATAGTCAATTTTTTACAATTTTTGTAAATTTTTACAAAGTATTTTCCACTGTAACTACCGGGCCAAGTTCATTATAGATAGCGATAATAGTAAGGAGCAAGAATGTTCAGTAAAGTAAGATCTACAAACACATCACCATCACCAAAACACAATTTTGTCATGAATCCATCTGTGTCCTTTGTTTAATATGCACATAGACCAAGGTGAGCGACACAGGCTCTTTAGAGCCTCTAGTTCTTACATGCAGCTGAGTTAACAAAATACATACCCATACATATATTGCACCATTCTTGACATTAAAGATGATCACTTGAAACAGACATATCTTTGATGTATGCTGGCCTGAAGGGACATATGAATGTCAAAGATATTGAAAAAAAGTAAAAAACAAACGAACACACCTTTTATAGGATATAACCATGATTGAAGAAATAAAGTATATCTATTTACTCTTATTTATGTTTTGTAAATGAATAAATAAACAGGTCATATTTTTCACTTGAAAATGTCGTTCCCGCAAAATCTCCCTCTTTGAAGGTTTCAGAGGTTGGCAGGTATGGAATACTACTCACTAAAAGTTAGAGTACAGTGTAGGATAACAACTGAACAGGCTCCAAATCCCACCTCATACAAAACTTTATGAATGTTGATTGCTAGATTAAACAAACCCTTTCAATTATTTGATGCAATTCCTAAAATAATACTAAAACCAATTTATTTTATATGATAAATAAATACTGGAAACATCAATATAACATTAACCAAATGAGGAAAAAAGTAAAGCACATCTAGAGCTCAGCATCAGTCTTCTAATTGAAATAAACACAAATGTGTGTAATTTGTGTCATGTAAGGAAGAAGGTGTCAAATCTTTGCTACAATACTTACAATTTGTACCTGTTGGATGTTTTTTTTTTAAATATTTTTATTGTTTTTATATTACGCCCGTTTATGGGACATATTATGGTGTACAGTTGTCATCCGTCCATCGTCAACATGTCGGACAATAATTCAAAAACTTTTTAACCAATTTACATGAAACTTTGGTGAGTTGTTTATATCTAATGACATAAGCTCCCTTTCATTTTCTATAAATTTTAGATTTTATATTTCCGAGTTATTCCTAAAAAATGGGGGATTTTCCAGTTTTCTGACTATAACTCCAAAACACTTTAAACAATTTTCATGAAACTTTGGTGAATTGTTCAGATATACATGTATATTGACATAAGTTCCCTTTCAATTTTTTAAATTTTCTGATTTTACATTATGGAGTATTGGGACTTTATTCATAAAAAAGGGGGATATTCCAGATTTGGGACAAAAACTCAAAAATGCTTTGAGCAGTTTTCATGAAACTTTATGGAACTTTATTCGTTGAAAAGCGATGGTCGTATCATGCGCTCATGGCGCAGCTCTTTATTTGTTGAATTGATTCTTCATTGACATATCTCATATTTATATTTATACTTTGTTGTTTTGTACATGCCTACTTCTACTTTACAGACAGTTATTATGATGTGGTGATGAAGGCTTCAGAAATCTTCCAGTCAATACCATTGGGTAGACTACTTGACAGTATAGAGGGTACATATATCCATGATGTACTAAAGGCATATCTTAAAGATTTCATTCATATGGTTTATCCTGTGCAGTCAGATGAGGAATGTAGTGTAAGTTATTATCACAATTTATTTGAAAAATAAAGTACTGAGACAACTAAATTAAAAGTAACACATAATGATTGAGAAACTATATGAATGTAATACATGTATGCTTACATTCAAATTATAAATAGTAAAAAGTAGAAAACTATTGTGTTTTTTTCTTTGAAAAATAAGATAATTTTATGGGAGGAAGAAAGGACAACAGCATGGCCAAACAATGAATGAAAAGACAATATATCCCAAACACTGCACAGAAAACTAATGATTGATCAACAGTAACCCCATGAAAACACATTGGTGAACTCAAAGTGCTCTTATTGTCATTGCTTGGTTCTACTAAAGGTCTAAAATGACAATACCTTATTGACAGAAAACTAATATTCCTAAAAACTGAATATTCATGAAATATTTTGTTAACTCATGAATCAAAGTTTGATCAGCACTATTTTTGAACAATGTAAGACTTTACGAATTAATAATTGATTTAATTCTTTAGTAAGCAGTAAATGTTTGTATGTTTTTTTTATAGCTTAGAATATTTTTCAACTGATTCATATAATCTTCTTATAATAGCTGATGTGTGAAAGTGTAGTAATTGGATGTCGACATCTGATTCATGGAGAGTTTGGAAGAATGCTACCATCCATTGTAGGTTGTCATATGACTTTTATTCAACATGACACCCGATTTAAAAACTTTTCAAACATTGTACATGTATGGCCAGGATGCAGCCAGAGGACCCTGGATTATCAGCAGAAACAGTCAACAGCTTATTTAGTAACTGAAGAGGAAATTGTAAGCAATTTTAATGATTTAGACTCTTATTTCTTTTTTATGCCCCATTTAAGGGCATTATGTTTTTCAGTCTGTGCGTCCGTTCGTTGGTTCGTCCGTCTGTCCCGCTTCAGGTTAAAGTTTTTCAGGATAAAGTTTTTGGTCAAGGTAGTTTTTGATGAAGTTGAAGTCCAATCAACTTAAAACTTAGTACACATGTTCCCTATGATATGATCTTTCTAATTTTAATGCCAAATTAGAGTTTTGACCTCAATTTCACGGTCCACTGAACATAGAAAATGATAGTGCGAGTGGGGCATCCATGTACTATGGACACATTCTTGTTATTTTATATCAAAATCAGGAGAGATTTAATGTAGAACCTTTATTATCATGCAGGGTGATATTTCATAAACTAAGGGTTTGAATATTATTAGGATTTTAATTTCTGTCCAACTTTTTCTACAGATGACTAGATGGTGAACTTTGTCATTTTTAGCTCACCTGGCCTAAAGGGCCAAGTGTGCTTTTCTCATTACTTGACATCCGTCGTCTGTTGTCCGTTAACTTTTAAAAAAATCTTCTCTGAAACTACTGTACCAAATTTAACCAAACTTGGCCACAGTTATCATTGGGGTTTCTAGTTTTAAAAAAAAAATGTCTAATGACCCCGCCTGCCAACCAAGTTATAGGGGTAAAATGCAAGTTTTGTCTATTATTTTGAAAACTGTTTATAAAAGAGAAAATCTAACAAGGGCAGAAATGTTTGAAATGTTGAGCTCTACAAAAATTGTCTATTTATGTCAAAACAGTCAGTTGACTTCTTATAGGAGTTATTGCCCTTAAATGACAAATTTTACCATATTTTTTCATTTTTGCCTATTATCATGAAAAATATAATAGTTACAGAGAAAATTTTTAAAACTGAAAAAATTATCAGTAGACAAGATCTACAAATAAGCCTGCATGGTCAAAATTGTCAGTCGACTCCTTATTAGAGTTGTTGCCCATTGATGACGATTTTTACCAATTTTTTGCGTTTTTGCCTTATATCTTAAAAATCATAATAGATAGATAGAAACTTAAATAAGAAAAAATGATCAGCAAGACAAGATCTGCAATTAAAGCAATATGGAGGAAATCGTCCGACAACTCGTTATTGCCCTTTAATGACAAATTTTACCAATTTTTTTGCGTTTTGACTTATGATTAAAATTATTATAGAAAAATAGAAACTTTAAATAACAAAAATGATCAGCAAGGCAAGATCTACAAACAAGTCAAAATTTGCTGATATAGTTAGTAGACTATCACTCTTTATAGGAGTGGTTGCCCTTAAATGAGATTTTTTTTACCCCCTTTTGTATTTTGAGCAAAAACTAAAGAAGATAGAAAGAAAGTAAACATACTAAAGGATCAGCAATACAAGATCAACAAAAAATGGATTTTTGTCATGAATTCTATTCTCATCTACAATGTTGGATGCACATTATGTTCACACATTAATGAAACCAAAGTATTCTGTGATAACACAGGAAAAGAATATAGCGGTACCATTCAGGGACAAATAGACTGTAAAACTGTGGGCAAAATGTATGCAATTAACTGTACAAAATGCGAAAAACTTATCTATGTAAGACAACTAGGTGATACACTGTATCAAAGGATGTTATTGAACTTTTCAAAAATAAGAACAAACAAAACAGACAATCCAGTAGCAAACCACTTCATACAGTTCGGTTGAAAATTTAAAGTCACTGCTATAGAAAGAGTATTTGGCACAGAAATTAAAGAAGCTTTTTGGATTAAAGATTAATAACTTTAGAGCCGGACGGACTGAACACTATGTATGAACGGTAGTAAAAAAAATTATGAAAAAGGAAAAAGCGTGGCAAAGGAACGTCATAGAAGTTATTGTAATGTAATGTATCCAAGCGATGTAATTGTTGTTTTAATATTGTAATTTAATTCCAATGAAAAAGGCACTAACGGCCAAAATGTATAAAAAACTTGTGTTATATAAAAATAAGAAGATGTGGTATGATTGCCAATGAGACAACTCTCCACGAGAGACCAAATGACACATTAATTAACAACTACGGCCTTCAACAATGAGCAAAACCCATACCGCATAGTCAGCAATTAAAGGCCCTGAAATGACAAATGCAAAACAATTTAAACGAGAAAACTAACGGCCTAATTTATGTACAAAATAATGAACGAAAAACAAATATGATACACAGCAACAAACGGCAACCACTGAATTACAGGCTCCTGACTTGGAACAGACACATACAGAATTTGTCTGGGATAAACTAGTTTGAAGGTGCCAACCCTCCCTATATATATCTTGGACATCAAATATGTCTTTTATTCAAAATCATTTAAAGTTGTAATTCAACATCACTATTATTGACTGCTCTATAAGCCTATCCCAGGCCACAATCATTGTCATGTCAGTAATTTGTTAACACATGGGTAACATAGTATTGTTTACAAGGCATTTTTTTTTCAGACATTAGATATACTAGCGCTTCACATGTTAATTGGTAAACTTGAGCCGAATAGAGATGAGCTGAATATGACAGAAGGTCGGACAAAATGGATGAGGCTAATGTGTGATTACAGACCAGTTGTGGAAAGGATTTTTGGACATTTTAATCAGGAATTAGACGACAAATGCTATCAGTATGGGGAGAGGTGTGCAAAAGGAATAGAAGAAGCAAGGTATTAATTAATTTTCTTAGATTTTTTATCTTTACCTGTTTAAGCAATAGAAATTTCTTCAATATGATTTGTGACTTATTACAGATTTATTATTTAAATTCAATCCTTGAATCATTTAAATAGTCACGCATTCAATATATTATTATAAGGTATCAGTGGACCAGAGCAGTGGTGGTAAAGTTATTGATAGAACATGTATGCAGTACTGGGAAAGAAGACCTTGATATCAAACGATGCATGACACTCTGGGGCGTGAGTAACTTATCAGTAAATAATGTAACTTAGATGTTATTGACACTCTGGGGCGTGAGTAACTTATCAGTAAATAATGTAACATAAATGTTACTGACACTTTAGGGCGTGAGTAACTTATCAGTAAATAGTGTAACATCAATGTTATTGGCACTCTGAGGTGTGAGTAACTTATCAGTAAATAATGTAACTTAGATGTTATTTGCACTCTGGGGCGTGAGTAACTTATCAGTAAATAATGTAACATAAATGTTACTGACACTTTAGGGCGTGAGTAACTTATCAGTAAATAGTGTAACATCAATGTTATTGGCACTCTGAGGTGTGAGTAACTTATCAGTAAATAATGTAACTTAGATGTTATTTGCACTCTGGGGCGTGAGTAACTTATCAGTAAATAATGTAACATAAATGTTACTGACACTTTAGGGCGTGAGTAACTTATCAGTAAATAGTGTAACATCAATGTTATTGGCACTCTGAGGTGTGAGTAACTTATCAGTAAATAATGTTACTTAGATGTTATTTGCACTCTGGGGCGTGAGTAACTTATCAGTAAATAATGTAACATAAATGTTACTGGCACTCTGGGGTGTGAGTAACTTATCAGTAAATAATGTAACATCAATGTTATTGGCACTCTGGGGTGTGAGTAACTTATCAGCAAATAATGTAACATAAATGTTACTGGCACTCTGGGGTGTGAGTAACTTATCAGTAAATAATGTAACATAAATGTTACTGGCACTCTGGGGCGTGAGTAACTTATCAGTAAATAATGTAACATAAATGTTACTGGCACTCTGGGGTGTGAGTAACTTATCAGTAAATAATGTAACATAAATGTTACTGGCACTCTGGGGCGTGAGTAACTTATCAGTAAATAATGTAATATAGATGTTATTGACACTCTGGGGCGTGAGTAAACATCAGTAAATAATGTAACATAGATGTTACTGACACTCTTGGGCGTGAGTAAACATCAGTAAATAATGTAACATAAATGTTATTGACACTCTGGGCGGTGAGTAACTTATCAGTTAATAGTGTAACTTAGATGTTATTGACACTCTGGGGCATGAGTAACTTATCAGTAAATAAAGTTACATCGATGTTACTGACACTCTTGGGTGTGAGTAAACATCAGTAAATAATGTAACATAAATGTTATTGACACTCTGGGGCGTGAGTAACTTATCAGTTAATAGTGTAACTTAGATGTTATTGACACTCTGGGGCATGAGTAACTTATCAGTAAATAATGTAACATAAATGTTACTGGCACTGTGGGGCATGAGTAACTTATCAGTAAATAATGTGACATCGATGTTATTGGCACTCTAGGGCATGAGTAACTTCTTGGTAAATAATGTAACATAAATGTTATTGACACTCTGGGGCGTGAGTAACTTATCAGTAAATAATGTAACATAAATGTTACTGACACTCTGGGGTGTGAGTAACTTATCAGTAAATAATGTAACATAGATGTTACTGACACTCTGGGGCGTGAGTAACTTATCAGTAAATAATGTAACATAGATGTTACTGACACTCTTGGGCGTGAGTAACTTATCAGTAAATAATGTAACATTGATGTTACTGACACTCTGGGGCGTGAGTAACTTATCAGTAAATAATGTAACATAGATGTTACTGACACTCTTGGGCGTGAGTAACTTATCAGTAAATAATGTTACATCGATGTTATTGGCACTCTGGGGCATGAGTAACTTATCAGTAAATAATGTAACATGGATGTTATTGGCACTGTAGGGCATGAGTAACTTATTGGTAAATAATGTAACATAAATGTTATTGACACCCTGGGGCGTGAGTAACTTATCAGTAAATAATGTAACATAAATGTTATTGACACTCTGGGGCGTGAGTAACTTATCAGTAAATAATGTAACATAAATGTTACTGGCACTCTGGGGCATGAGTAACTTATCAGTAAATAATGTAACATAAATGTTATTGGCACTCTGGGGTGTGAGTAACTTATCAGTAAATAATGTAACATAAATGTTATTGACACCCTGGGGCGTGAGTAACTTATCAGTAAATAATGTAACATAAATGTTATTGACACTCTGGGGCGTGAGTAACTTATCAGTAAATAATGTAACATAAATGTTATTGACACTCTGGGGCATGAGTAACTTATCAGTAAATAATGTAACATAAATGTTATTGACACTCTCGGGCGTGAGTAACTTATCATTAAATAATGTAACTTAGATGTTATTGACACTCTGGTGCGTGAGTAACTTATCAGTAAATAATGTAACATTGATGTTATTGGCACTCTGGGGCATGAGTAACTTATCAGTAAATAATGTATCTTAGATGTTATTGACACTCTAGGGCGTGAGTAACTGAGTAACTTATCAGTTAATAATGTAACTTAGATGTTATTGACACTCTGGGGCTTGAGTAACTTATCAGTAAATAATGTAACATAAATGTTATTGACACTCTGGGGCGTGAGTAACTTATCAGTAAATAATGTAACATAAATGTTATTGACACTCTGGTGCGTGAGTAACTTATCAGTAAATAATGTAACATCGATGTTATTGGCACTCTGGGGCATGAGTAACTTATCAGTAAATAATGTATCTTAGATGTTATTGACACTCTAGGGCGTGAGTAACTGAGTAACTTATCAGTTAATAATGTAACTTAGATGTTATTGACACTCTGGGGCTTGAGTAACTTATCAGTAAATAATGTAACATAAATGTTATTGACACTCTGGGGTGTGAGTAGCTTATCAGTTAATAATGTAACTTAGATGTAGTTGGCACCTTTAATAAAAAAGGAGTATTGTAAAAACTAAAAATGTTATATTGTGATGTTCAGAAATGGCTTTTGCCAGGGTCAGATACTTTGACTTAGAAATTAGTTCTGTTGAGCGTGAAATTCAGTTTTTATCAGGGTTTGGTTTAGACAGTTTTCACAGATTATGGACTATTACCTTTAAAAACTTCTTTTTCCTTTTGACTGAAACACACTGATATTAAGATATATTGTTTTCTTGAAAGCTTTGTCATTCATATGCAATGAGTCATGTCACACCAATTTTGATTGAATGAATTTTGCTGTTGATGCAACGATTAACTGTCCATTCATTGGCAACAACTTTGCCCAATTGCAGTAGAAATTTCTATGACATTTGAATTGTTTAATTTTGTAGAGAATAACAACTCTTCAAATACATTACTGTGTTATTCCTTAATTATATTATCTTGACCATGCTAAACTATCAATTTTATTCGCCTGTTTACGGGACGTATTATGGTTTACCGTTGTACGTCCGTCCCTCTGTCTGTTCGTCCATTGTCAACATGTAGGACAACAACTCAAAAACACTTTCACCAATTTTCATGAAACTTTGGTGAATTATTTATATATATATTGATGTAAGCTCCCTTTCTATTTTTATAAATTCTAGATTTTTCGTTTCCGAGTATTGGGACTTTATTCATAAAAAAAAGTGGGATTTTCCAGTATTTCGGACAATAACTCAAAAACGCTTTAAGCAGTTATGAAACTTTGGTGACTTGTTTTATCTATTGAAATAAGCTCCCTTTTGTTTTTTATTAATTTCCGATATGACATTGCGGAGTTATGGAATTTTATTAGTTGAAAAATTGTCGAAAACTGTCAACTTGGTGACGGGCGTATCATGTGCTCATGGCGCAGCTCTTTATTTTGATAAGGATACACAATGACAACTTGTGAACACAACTCCTCTGAGACTCTTTGCTAGAAAGATCTCATACTTTGTAGGATTATTTATCATTAGAGTGTAGATGACAATACTGTATACAGTGTATCGATTTTGTAGTAATTGTTTCTAGTTAGATTTTGCTTGCCATGCACATTTAGAAAACAGGCTATAGTTAAGGTATACAAATTTTGTTATCCTTAACCATAGCCTGTTTTCTAAATATGCATGGCAAGAAAATCTTACTAGTAACAATTACTTTCAAATAATCATATATGCAGCTGTGTTCAGATCTTTCATTAAAAAAAAACATCTCTTTTCTTGTCACTAAAGATACCAACCTACAATTTATACACATTCACAATTTATTTTCCAGTTGCTCAGACAGAAGGCTGATATGAAAACAATCCAGTCACTCAAGAAAGTTGCGGACTTCTTGAAACTCTGCAACAAGGATATAGTGACACAGTGCTTTGGGTACGAAAAAAATACTGGCATCACATAATTATACATTGACCATGACAATATGAAAGTCCTAACATTCTTTGGATGTGAAATTTTTCTTAAGTGGAAATATAAATACTGAATGGAATGCATACTTTTCATAGATTTGAAAATCACAAATTAAAATGTCTTATACAAGTGAATGTATAGTTTTCATTATATCAAGGGCATCCCCTTATTTTTTTTTTTGTATGTTAAAATGTTATTCTCTTATGGTTTTGGCCTGTTATCTATTTTTTTCATGAAGAGATATTTCTCGTATCACAATGCACAGAGTGTGATACGAAAATGTGATATGAAAACTGCTTTAATTTCATTGGCTTATCAAGCGTCATGAGACGAAATTTCAACATTTCAATTGGTTTTTCGTTGGGTCATTGATGACTTTCAAAGATTAAGATGATGTACATTTCATCCATGGCAACAGACTTAAGTGATTTCTTCAATAATATACAAAACATTCACACTTTTCACCTGAAAATCTTCTTTTTGTCAAATTTCATTACATTCTTAAGCACACAAAAAGTTTTAAAATGTGTGATGTTAAAGTTTGTCGCCAGAACAGGAAATATGACGTCATACTTGTATGTGCAAAAGACTAGATCAACGATTCGGGGAATTTTTGATTTAACACAATGAGAGTGTTGACCATAAGAGAAATAGGTTTAACAACTCGTGAGAATTGGATATTGCTTGATAACAACTCTCGTTATTTAATTCAAATAGTAATAATAAACTCGCCAAGGCTCATTTAATATTATATTGAAATTAAATAGCTCAAATCCTGAAGTTTTTGTCTTTTTACATTTTACATCCAACAAATAAAAGAGTTAATTTTTATTTCCATAAGGGTTAAAAAGAAAAGAGGAATGATGAATTTGTGTACACTGTTCATGTCAATCCTAGTTAAACCAGGAATCAGCTGAGAGAAAATCTGGACTAATCAGTCAACACATTTAAAGTGGAAACTATCCTGGCAGTTATAAATTTACATTTTTCATCATTATTTGCTGGTTTTTTTTGCAGCCAGCAAGATAAATGTACCCAGTGTGAGATGTTGATAGAGGGAGCTCCAGTCAGACTTCCTTGTGATCATGTGATATGTAGGAAATGTTTCCATGGACTTGTAGCGACAGAAGAATTTGCATGTCCAAATCAAAACTGTCAGGAGATATTCCCAAATAATTTGGATCCTAATACTTGTGATACAAAGTAAGATTCAAAATTGTAATTTTGCATCTATTGTCTTTAAACCAACTTAATTATGACAGCTTCCTAAATGTTTTTTTTTTATTTTATTTTAATGAAATATTAATACAGGTGAACTTGTTCTTGACTTGCACTTGGATTCTTTATGGTATATATTTTTGTGTATGTTTTCATGGTTCATTGGTTTCTGTTCAGTTTTTGTGGTTAGGTCTGCTTCTCAGAATCTTTAAGCAATAAGTCAACTATATGATGTGTATAGATTGATTGTAAGGTGTACATGTCAGTCTGGCGGAGCTCTTCTGACCTTGACCTCAGTTTCATGTTTCATTGGTCAATGTGAAGTTTTTGGTCGTAAGGTTGGTGTCTTAGATTCATCAGCAATAGGTCAACTATAATTTGGTATATAGAATAATTGTAAACACCATATGAGCTATTGCCATCGCTTAGCCTCAGTTGTCATAAACTTTTTAAAACATCTTCCTCTCTTAAGCTACAAAACTTTTTTCAACCAAACTGGAAAAGAATGATCCTTAGGGTATCTAGTATAAAGTTTGTGTTTTTTATTCGTCCGTTAATAAACATGGCGGCAATGGCTTAAAATTGAACATTAGGATAACATGCATTAATTATTTTTATATCTAAGACAATTTGACAGCGCAAAATCTACCCACTTCCTATTTGCACCAAAATCATCAGACGACTCCTTAAATTTTTTCAGGGTGGAAACAAAAAAGTACAATGACTTCAGGAGAAGATGTAATAGTTTCTTTATGGAGGTTGTATCCCAGCTTTGTTTTGCTGATGGAACACCACCGTCCAAGGAGGTTATTGATAAACTCCTGTCTTATATAACTGGTCATAGTAGGACAAAGAGGGCTGAGAGAATTGTGTCAAAAGAACTGACCATATTTGAAGATTCTATTGACCCCACACCAGTCGTGAGGTCATTCCTCTTACAGCAGTTGATGCAGACAAGGTGAGTTAAAAAGTATTGTATTCCAAAATTACTGTACAATGGCCATATCTTTTTATATTCTGTCATATCAGTTTGGCTTGTCACCAATTATTTACCTGTCATGCATATCATTACAAGCATTGCAAATACAACCAGAATGATTATCTTTCAAGACAAGAAGATAGATCATTAGCCAAGTTGCGAAGTTAGGAGGAAGTGTTGTTACCAGGACTTTCTGAAATTGAATCCATAGCCTACAATTGTTAACTGCATTGCTAACGCTGAAAGCAGGTCTAGTAACCCCTCAACTCCATTTGTCCATCTGTCTGTCCATCCAAAAGGCCTTGGGAAGAGTACTCTCATCAAAGTTTTTTGGCTTCAATGAAAGGGAAACATCAATTATATTCCAGTTTACATGTTACCTCAGCCAGTTGCATATAGCAGCCAAGTCTAAACCCAGTATTGGTCTTGTCTACAATGAGAAGAAACAGATTATAAATATCTTGACATAATTATTTACTCTCTCCAGCAGTGACAATGAAATACAGAAGTACTTATCAGCCTATTTTACCAGTGCCTCTGACTTAGTTAAGACCTCTGGAGATCCTCATCAGTTGGTGGAATTGTGTCTTCTTGTTTTGCAGTGTATGGAGGTAAGTTGCTTTCATCTACATATCTCAAAGGTTGATGCGTGGTTATGTATACATCAATGGAGACATATTTTCCTGATGTAAGAAAAAAAATTATTTTGTTTGGTAGACATAGAAATTTACTGTAATGTTTTCATATGAAAAAATAAACCAAAAACAGAAATAAGTATAAGATCAAATCTTGCATATGGATTTTGAAATCCTTTAATTTTTTGTTGCCTGTGGATATGGACTCTCTCACATATAGAATTTCTGGTCTATAGAGAAACTAGAAATATTTGAACCAGCCTGTATAAGTGTTGACAATATTAACCAAACTATATGATTTTGTGTGGCCAAAAAAATTTTAGGTCATATTTGCTGTATCATTTGAATTATGCTAGAATTGTAACAATCAAATAATTGTTGTATAGAACTATCTAAATTAGAGTTGATTTATGTAAAAATTATTAGAAGTGGTATGATTGCTAATGAGACAATATAAGTTATATGGTTTGCTACTAACCCTCTATGGATTAGGAGGAGGTCAGTCCTGAACCGTATAATGATTTTATCGCACACTTGACTTTTCCTGCCAAGTTTTGTATAATATTAAACAATGAAATACAATAAGATTAATAGATGATGTCACCATTAATAGAAGATGTGATGCCACGAACCCCATATGAAATCTACTAACCCCATACAGATCCTTAGGGGTCACAACGTGACGGCGTTAAACCAATCAAATTGTCTATATTTATCCGAGGTGTGATAACTATCAACAAGAGTTCAAATGACGAATACATAAGCTATTACCATCAAAGTACAGCCTTCAATGATAATGTGATTAGATGTTATTATTAATTTTATGTTGATTTTGTTCAGGATTCATTGCATCAGCAGTTTGACCAAGATGAACAGATTGCTGCTGCAACTCAGATGTTGAGGGAGGCTGTTCCAAACATTGCAAGTGATATTGAAATTTTGGACAAAATTGGACATATTTCTAGAGTGCGTTTTTCACTGACTGTTGTTGCCAAATATATTCATAAATTGTACGGAACATCAAAGAAATCCATGCCTGATGCATCCATGAGAAATCTTTTTGAGGAAGCAGCCAGACTTTGTGATGAATGTAATTCACCATGGCCAAGGTATGGATGGATTGTAATTTCAAATTATGCTAAAGTTATTAATGTTAGCAGCCTGCTACATAAGATTTAATGGATAGAGCCAGTGTGAACAGTTTAATACAAATGATACAGCAGATATTGTTATTAACTAAATTTTACTATCACTCAATACATATTTACTGAAAACAACAGAATTACATATAAGGTATCTAATAGCAATATACAGTACTCCACAGCAATATACAGTACAGTAAATTTTATCATGTTACTATACCTTTGCTGTGTTTTATTTTGCTTTTGTTGGTTGCTGTACATTTTCCTCAATTATTGAATTTTGAAAAATAGAAAAAGTAGTTTTAAAGGTGAAAGTCAGCAATAGATAATGGTTTCTTTAAAGCTTGTTATCTAAACAACTGTCATCCCTTTCCTTTCTCTTACATTGCAGAAGATTCTTTGTAAAACAGTTGTGTAGACAGTATGGAATAGATAATTACCAGACAATTGTGGCAAAAAGTGAATCAGGACTCTTAAGATGGGTCAATCTACCAGAACTGAAAGGACGACAGGTAATCCTGACAACTTAACATAACAATGAATTAAATTCATGAACTCTCCTCAATTAACCCTAGATGGCCTAATGTAAAGTATCCTGTTTATTCCTGATGTAAGGTTAAGAATTCAAATATCATTTTTTGTCTCGCCTGCGACAATGTGAGACATAGGTATTACTATCCAGCAGCGGCCCTGTAAACTATTTATATAAAGCTTTATATTTCAGAAGGTAGAAGACCTAGATGCTTCATACCTTGTATACAGATACCTTATGTTACTAAGTTTCTGTCTGTCATATGTCCATTGTCCTTGACCTCATTTTCATGGTTCAGTGACTGCTTGAAAAAAAATTACAGTTTTTTTGTCATGTTAATTTCTCACTTATTATGAGTAATAGGATAACTATATTTGGTATATGGGTTCCTTGCAACGTCTACATGTCAGTAAGACAGGGTTCACCTGACCTCGACCTCATTTCATGGATCAGTGAACAAGGTTAAAGTTAGGTGATTAGGTCCATTTCTCAGATACAATAAGCAGTAGGTCAACTTTATGTTGTGTATGAAATGATTGTTAGAGGTACATGTCAGTCTGGCAGGTTTCATCTGTCCTTGACCTCAATTCATGGTTCATTGGTCAATGTTAAGTTTTTGTGTTTTGGTCTGTTTTTGTTATTCTATAAGCAATAGTTCATCTATATTTGGTGTATGGAATTATTGTAAGGTGTACATGTTGGTCTAGCTGGTATCATCTGACCTTGATCTTATTTTCCTGGTTCATTAGTCAATGTTTGGTTTTTGTGTTTTGGTCTGTTTTTCAAATACTAATAGCAATAGGTCAGCTATATATGGTGTATAGAATAATTGTAAGGTGTGAATATCTGTTTGGCAGGTATTATATGTCCTTGACCCCATTTTCATGGTTCATTGGTCAATGATATGTTTCGTAATTTTGTCAATTTATCAGATACTATAAGCAACAGGTTAACTATATTTAGTGTATGAAATGATTGTTAGGTGTAAATATCTGTTATATGGAACATTGATAATGTTAAGTTTATGCGATACTTGTAAAAATGTAATAAAACCTTCATGTTAGACTTTCAACATTAATTCAATGATAAGTAAAACAGGCGAGACATTTCAGTGTGTACACTCTTGTTTGCACAAATCATGACAAAACAATTTCACAATCGTTCGAGTCAAGCACCCAACAATACATGCCAGCTAAATTGGTTGATGTGAGACCAGAGCTCCTGATTTAAGGATCATAATTCTTTCAGTGCTCATTATGTGATATGAAAACAAGATCAGATCTTTAAACAGTCATGACATGATTAACGCTGAGCAGAAGCTCATTTTTCTACTAACAAACACAAGCCAGACAATTACAGTTCAAATAATATTTGCGTATTTACATCATAAAGCTAAACCAAATAACAATGAAACAGTTATATGTTCATTTTGCACAAACACAAAAAGTCTGTGAAAAGTCAGTGGTTCATAAAACTATGATATTTAACTACACATAGATAAGAAAAATTATGTTTTTGAGAACTATTCCAAATTTGCAAATAACGTTTGTAATGCAAAAGATTTACAAACATTTTGATACAACAGGTTGAAGAATGTCATGACAGATATATAGTAATGGGAGATGCCTACAAACAACTGAGAGAGACTTTGGTCACAACATTGTTAAGTGAAGAGAATGAAACACTAGAGAAGATTTTATTGGTATTTATATCATAATGTTCATTGTAGCTTTATTGAAATATAAGGCACAAGCAAAATGTTCTTAAATAGTTACCAAGCAAAGTAAAACAACCTCTGTTTTGTATAAAAATAAATTTTGTCTGTAGATTTGCTAACTGTGAACCATAACTTCAAGCAGCGAATGAAAGAATAACACACTGACACACTTATGTTGGACCTGTAGATTAATCAGCAAGTAGCTTGTCTTTGTGTGGATTGCACAAATCCTTGTTGCTGTACTAAGTTAAACAACCCTTTGAGTCCAGTGATGAAACTGAATAATTTTATGAATAACGGAAATTTTTGGTCTTGTGATATTGTTTTACCTTCGCTCATTCAGAAGTTCACTCTATAGTCACATATATGTATACAAGTTCTATATTTACAGAATCCTGGTAAAAAATGGCAGACTAGAATAAAGTTATCACTGGCCATACACAGAGAGATCTGTATGAAGAATGTATATGATGAAGATAGACAAAAGTTAACTCTCAAAGTTTGTTCTTGCTTTATATATTACTTTTATGATTAAACATGAAATATATCCCCATCAGTACCTGTTTGATTTTATCATATGAGATAAGCATTCCAATATTCATGGACTTAAATTGTCAATTTTTTGTATAATATGTTTAACTATAACATTATTACGTTGTTATGAAATCTTATGATGTTTTTGCACAGTTACTTAAGTGGTTGAAACGATCAATTGCCATTCACATTAACCTTCCTTAAGGATGTAGTCATGTCAGGTTTAGGAATTTTTGTCAGATGTTCGGACTCCTTGGGATTTTTTCCTACAATAAAGTGTAAAATATTTTACCCAATATCACCCACTTCTCTTTTCAAAGAAGACTTTAATAGCTCATAAAAGGTGATTAACAGAATTTAAGCAGATTCTAGATTTCTTTTCGAACGATTTGAGACCCATCTAATACCAATGCTAAGTATAAGGTAAAAGTCTGAGTCAGACTTTTCCCGCCATTTTTTAAAAATCAAATATCTCGAAAAGAAGTTTCATATCCTATCAATATTTTTAGCTTATTTTGTTCCTTAACTAATGCTCTTTTGACTTATAGTATCAATTTTAAATTTTAGATTTTTTTAATTTCACATCTGACTACATCCTTAAGTTAATTTATAAACTGCAATAATATCAAATTTTTGAATGAACATCTTTTGATTTCAGGGAAAGACTTTTCTAAGTGAACACATAATGAACCATACTTTGGTGAAAAATAAGGTAAGAGTATATCATTCCATTAAATTTTATTCATAAGAATAGTGCAGTTGTTGTTAAATAATGAAAATTGTATCTTATAACACCCCACCAAACTAAAATGGTATTTAGTGAAAAGAATGCTTCAAATATATGAATGATCTTATATTTTATGTGAAGAAAGGCTTGTAAACATTCCACAGTCCCAAAGTCTAATTGACACTCTAACAGTTCCTTTTGACATCAAAATAAAAGAAAATGATCTTTTAAAAAACTGAACTTCAAAGACTAAAAACCCTTTGGAAACACTGGACATATCAGAAGATAATACAAATAAAAAAAAAAGAAATGTCATATTCCTGCAACCATATTTTTAACAGGAGTTCACAGAGAGACTACTGAATAATTCCATGTGGAAATATGGAGGAAACATAACCAAAGGAATGGATCTAGGAGAACAAAACATTTTCTGTCTGTTGACACATTATTTTACTCTGATGACAGAGATTCCAGGGGAGAGCACTCTACTGACACCACTGAAGAAAATAGCACTAGAGTCTGCCAGTATGGTGGTGAGTGTTGTGGTGACATTAATATCAAAAGATTCTCATATTAAGTAAGGTTAATATAAAAAGAAGATGTAATATGATTGCTAATGAGACAACTCTCCACAGTAGACCAAATGACACAGAACAGTAACAAAAATAGAACATTAATAAAATGGAATATGTAGACAGCTCTCTCACAAGCAAAAAAAAACCTAACTGTAAAAATATAAGGGCATACACTACAGGCAAGGGAACACCTTCTACTGCATCCACACAGCACGAGTAACAAACCCTGCAGTAAATATAAAAAGAAGTCTGTTAAATTGCTTGAAATAATCTGAAAATCATTTGGTTAATACAATTCTCAGTAGTGATTCATTGTATTCTTTAACATTGTTAAGAGTATGGTTCAATGAGTTATTTTTGACAAAATGGTCTCAGTGCTTAAACTTGAATTACTGTCTGTATTACAATATTTGTTTAACGTGTGTCTTGGGAAATATATGTTTGATTTTTACTTTAATAAATGCTTTTAAGTATTTTAACATTTTATCCTTTTAAAATAAAATATTTTGTGTTATGTATATATACAGACTCTTTTAGTCTGAAATAAAGATCATCTAATTTTATCTTATATCTGTACAAATGGAAGGACCTGATAGTATGCATTTAAGTTTAGTTTAATCTTTTTCATTGATAGGGTTCATATTACCCTACTATGCCACAGGATGACTTTATAGAATTACAAAAAGCCCTTGCAGATGCCAAAACTAAAAACCCAGATGATTACAACCTTGAATTTTATAGTAAGTAGTTGTACAATGTTACAAACAAGTGTTAATTTAATTTAACATGTTCATGATATCACAAAAATGTGTGTGCACAAAATCTCCTTTCGGCAAAAATTGAAGCAACCCAATGTAAATTTTGGGAAAATATCCTAATATAGCTAAACATGGAGTTGCGTTGGAAGGTATTAAAGACCAATTAGATTTATTATATGAAAATTCTGTTGACTCGTTTTATCAGTTTGATTTGTGTAGTGATTATTAGTCCCCTACCGACGAAGTCGAAGGGGACTTTAGGTTTGCACTCCGTCCGTCTGTCTGTCTATCCGTCAGTCCGGCAAATCAGTTTTTTCTTCATACTTGCAGATATTGATTTGATATTTGGTATATTGTTTTATCATGACAAGTTACAGATCAAGTTCAAATTTTGTTCCGGTCTGATAATTTTGTGCAGAGTTATGGTCCTTTGACTTAGAAAATTAACTCAAATATTCAGTTTTCTGAACTATTTTCGTCATGCTTGAAGATATTGATTTGATAATTGGTACATTGTTTTATCATGACAAGTTACAGATCAAGTTTGAATTTTGTTCCGGTCTGATGATTTTGTGCAGAGTTATGGTCCTTGAACTTAGAAAATTCACTCAAATAATCAGTTTTCCACACTTTTTTTTGTCATGCTTGAAGATATTGATTTGATAATTGGTATATAGTTTTATCATGACAAGTTACAGATCAAGTTCGAATTTTGTTCCGGTCTGATGATTTTGTGCAGAGTTATGGTCCTTGGACTTAGAAAATTCACTTTAATAATCAGTTTTCCACACTTTTTGTCATCATGCTTGAAGATATTGACTTAATATTTGTTATATAGTTCTGATGGTTTTGTCCCTAAATAAGATTTAAAGTAAAATTAATAAAGATGATATTTCCTAAGGCTATAATGTACAAAATTTTATTTAATAGGATGTCCAAATGGCCATGGATATGTTATTGGTAATGTGAGTATAGATTATTTATTTAATGGAAATTAGAGAAATAACTTATAAAAATTGGTTTGTTGAAGATTTTACAATTGGTTGGCTTCATTCTTTTGGTAAAGATTACATGAAATGCAATCAGAACCATTATTTCAGATCCTATATGGCCCATGTCATGCGATTAATATTATATACTCAAATATACAAGTAAGAAAGCTCATTTCAGTTCATTACATGTTAAATAATGACAAAAGTTTTCATAATTAGGTTACTGTAAATTCAGACATTATTGCATGCAATTGTTTATTGCGGTATTTGAAGAATAAACAAAAATTTGAGATTATTTATTGTGATGTCAGTCCTGATATGTATCAGATGTCAGAATTCAAGTTTTTATTATTTTGATAATCACCAAGTCACATTATTCGCATTAATAAAAACCTCGCAATTATTTCTGAATTCACATTATTTGAGGCATGCTGGAAACCTGCTTTCAAATATTTATAAACATTCTTTTAATCTGCATTTACAATAACATTTCTGTATAACAAAGTCCTGAATGCCTGATCATTTGGAATGATTTTTTTTTTTTATTTTAGTGTGGAAACCCTCAAGAAATAAAAACCTGCAGAGGTTGTGGAGAGAAAATAGGTGGAGAAAGTCATAAACTGGTGGCTGGTAATGTCAAGGGTACTGGGTATGTTGATAATAAATAAAGAAGATGTGAAGTATACGTCAATGAGACATCAGCCCAACAAAAAAAAAAACAAAAAAACATCTAGTCCATGGTTGGCGTAGGTTGCTGACTGTCATATTTGTTTTCATTTATTGTTTTAGCATAAATCTGACAGTTTCTATTTTTGTTAGAATTGCTTCACATTTTGTCATGACCAGGACTTTTATAGCTCACTCAGAGGTATGGGTTTTGTCATTAATGAAGCCCTTACAGTGACCCATAGTTGCTAACATCAAGATACTTTGGTAGATAGTTGTCTAATTCACAGTCATACCACATCTCCTTATTTTTATATATGGAGGATAATATACAGTTAACAATAGGCAGGCTTTCCCTGAATGTGACCCACCAAATAAAGACATCACTGGGTTTGTACTTTCGGGAGTAACATGACCGGTGCCACATGTGGAGCAGGATCTGCTTACCCTTCCAGAGCACCTGAGATCACCCCACCTGGTTTTTGGTGGGGTTTGTGTTGCTCAGTCTTTAGTTTTCTATGTTGTGTTTTGTATACTGTTGTTTGTGTTTTGGTCTTTTTACTTTATTTTGCCATGGCGTTCTCAGTTTATTTTCAACTTATGAGTTTGAATGTCCCTTTGGTAACTTCAGCCTCTCTTTTTGTCTCGCCTTGACGGAGGTATGCTGTTTCCGGCAGCAGTGGTGTCAACAATGTATTAGTTTGTGATTAGGTCTAGTTTATGGTGAACCACTAGTGGTAGGTCATTGATATTTGGTGTGCATTTGTATTAGCATTGGCACATCTCATTACCATGGAGACTATTTGGCCCGCCCGCTCAGTCATGGTCTATTGACTTTGAAACTTTGCTTAGTTTACATGTATTAGTTTGTGATTAGGTCAGTATATGGGGAATCACTTGTGGTAGGTCAATGATATTTGGTATGCAGTTGTATAAGCATTATCATATCTCTTTTCCATCGAGATTATTTGGCCCCGCCCCCTCAGTCATGGACTATTACTTTGAAACTTTTGCTTAGTTTTTGTCCCCCACGCAATGTGTTGCAGGGGACATAGAAATAATGTGCATCCGTCCAGTCTAGTTAGCGCTTTCACGTGTACAGTTATTGCCAGATTTTTATGAAACTTATATGATAGGTTTATATCAGTTATGTCTTTGATGAGTTCAAAAATCAGAGTTGATCAATTATTTTTGAAAGAGTAATGCCCCTTGGAAACATTAATTATATGGAAAATTGCATTGTTAGCGCTGTCATGTGTACAATTCTTGCCAGATTTTTATGAAACATATATCATAGGTTTATATAAGCAATGTCTTCGATGAGTTCGAAAATCAATGCCGATCAATTTAATTTTAAAAGAGTTATGCCCCTTAGAATCATTAATTATATGGAAAATTGCATTGTTAGCGCTCTCATGTGTACAATTCTTGCCAGAATTTTATGAAACTTATATAATAGGTTTATATCAGCAATGTCTTGGACAAGTTCGAAAAATAGTGCAGATCAATTATTTTTGAAAGAGTTATTCCCCTTGGAAATATTGATTATATTGAAAATTGTAATATTTGCACTTTCATGTGTACAATTCTTGCCAGAATTTTATGAAACTTATATCATAGTTTATATTAGCAATGTCTTTGGTGAGTTGGAAAATCAGTGCAGATCAATTATTTTTAAAAGAGTTATTCCCCTTGGAAATATTAATTAAATGGAAAATTGCCTTATGAGCACTCTAATGTGTACAATTCTTGCCAGATTTTTATGAAATTTATATTATAGGTTTATATCATCAATGTTTTTGACAAATTAGAGAATCAGTGCCGATCAAAAATTTTTGAAAGAGTTAAGCCCCTTGGAAATATTGATTTATATGGAAAATTGCATTGTTAGTGTTCCTATGTGTACAATTCTTGCCAGAATTTTATGAAACTTATATCATAGGTTTAAATCAGCAATGTCTTTGACACTTTTGAAAACAAGTGCTGATCAAATATCGCATTTCTCTAAGATATTTATAAATTGTTTTAAAAAACAAAACAAAATATTTTTTTTTAGTTATTGCCCTTGTACCTTTGATAGATAAAATATGTGCAAAGTTGGGGACATTAGAACTCTGTTCTTTTATCATGTATTAGTTTGTGATTAGGTCAGTTTAAGGGGAACTGTTAGTGGTAGGGCAATGATAATTGGTATGCAGTTGTATAAGCATTGGCATATCTCATTTCCATGGAGATTATTTGGCCCCATCCCCTCAGTCATGGTCTATTGACTTTGAAAATTTTGCTTAGTTTAAAAATATTAGTTTGTGATTAGGTTTATTTAAAAGGAATGACTTATGAAAAGTAAATGGTATTTGGTATGCAGTTGTATTAGCATTGGTACATCTCATTTCCATGAACATTGTTTAGCCCTGTACCTTCAGTCATGGTTCATTGACTTTGAATATTTGCATAACTTACATGTTAAAGTATTGCTATTTTAATTTCAACATTTGCATTATCAAAATAACAAAAAGGCGAGACATATCTCTGTGTTAACAGTTTAGTTAACAATAGGCAGATGTCTCTACAGTATGTCAAGCGTGGTTTATCATGTATCAGTAGTTTTGATTTTTTCACTTTATGAAATTGAAAATTTAATACTATCACTGAAACAGATAATCTTTAAGAAATCATTCTTTCTTTCCACCCTGATTATTGTTGCTATTTGTTTAAAAATTTAAATGCGGCACACCTTTTTTCTACAAAATCATAATCGAAATTCAATAGTAAGATGTCTTCATTACAATTAAATGATCCATTAAACCTGTTTGAGTAATATTATATATGATTCTTTTGTTATAAGTGCTGATAGAACAGAGACCGGACATACATTAGGAAGAGCAGCCAAATTAGACCCTGTTACTGGAACAGAAAGGAGGTTAAACAGAACATCATTGGCAGTTCTTAGATTGTTGACACATATCTCTATGTATTTGGGAGCAAACATAAACTTGCAGGTAAATCTTGTTTACTGTTATAATGATTTATAGAATGGACAACATGAATTACTAAAAATAAATCAAATGATTCTCTAATGCAGAATCAACCGTACCTAAAAAAATCATTTTGAATGTTGACGACAGGCTATTATTAGCAGCTCCTGTAACTTTGGAATCACAGTGGTTAAACAAAATCTTTTTTCATTTAATATTTGTTTAGATTTCCTTCCTTTGTATTCTTGATGTGACATTCTTTTACATTTTTCCAGGCAGTTTGTCAGTCTATCAAACCCAATATAGAGGAGACTGAAGTCTGTTGTTATATACTGGAACATATTGACCTTGATTTGACCTCTCTACAAAATATTCTGGGTAAAAATAGAGATGATGTCATGGTTTTGATGCACTATTTGTTGGTGCAGATCATGGTTAGTCACACAGCGGCTGTAGTAGGTAAGATCTTAAGTAATCGTTTTGTTTTCACAAAAATTTTTGAGAAAACTACCACTTTTCTTGTAAGGCCACACCAAATTAATTTCTAGTTCCTCTGACTCTTTCTTTTGAAAAAGGGTAGCGAGAGAGCGTAAAATTTTTTACTAGCGAGCAATATTATTTTTGAAATATTTAAAAAAAATAAATCTATGAAAAGAATTTTAAGCAAGCGAGCAATTAGAAATTTACATAGTTTTGGTGCTTGATATTTAATATATCTCATATCCTAGTTCTTATATTACCCTACTGTGCTTCTCAACTTGTTCTCTGACACCCAGTTTAATCTTTTCACTACATTTCCAAGTATAAAATGGTTAACTTGCAGCAAAACCTAAAACTTTGTGTAGTCTGATCAAATAAATATGATCCTGCTGAACATGAAAAAGTGCAACAGCTTTGAACAGGCATGCCTTGCATCCATGTTTAATGTAAGTTATAATTGATGCATAGTATGTTGTTTTAAATGAATGTATGCAAAGCATAAATGCATGTATAAAGCTTGTATATACAACCATAAATATTTGTTTATTCAACAAGCTGACAATAAAGGACTGTCCTTCAAAAACCACAACAATTTATACCATTCAAATGAACCAGTCAGATGCTATATACTAACTAAACAAAAGGAACATTTCAATTCATTCTACTAAAGTCATTGTTTTCCTGTAGAATTTAATGACAATCTTTGCATGTGGATATTGCTCTGTGCTGAAGGCCATACCGTTAACTAGTTGCAAACCTCAACAAATGTGGTCTCTGGTGGAAGGTTGTCTCATTGACAATCATACAAATTCTTATTTTTAGAAGATTTTCTGAAAGTTTTAGCTAGTTTTTCTGCTGTTTGAATCTTAGTGAAAATATCCAGTGGTAGTAGGTTCCAATCTTTAATTATGTTTGGTATGAAGCAGAATTTGAATTTGTCTGGTTTTGTTTGCAGTCTCAGGAAATGTTGAACATAATGCATGTTCTTGGTTGTCCTAGATGGGTTTTTTTCAGTTGATCAGATGGTAAATTGGCTTCACCGTGTATGCCATTGAAGAAGAGGATATTATCTGTTTTCGGTTTGACGATCTTTTAGGGATGGTAGTTGCAGCTGGTTTTAAAATTGCTGTCATATTGCCTGGGTCGTAATTGTAGTTTGATGTTATGAACGTTTGTGATCTTGGACGGAGCACTTCCAACAAATCGGTAAAAGAATTGCCCAAATCATATTCTACTGATGTTTTAGCCTGCGCTACCACTGTAATTACAAATAGTCCACTCATGTCTTGCGTAAAGAATGCTTATCATACTAAATTTGGTAATAATATTGTAACAACAACGTTGTGAATGTTAGATCTAGATCGTTTTTGGTGTCAATTTCTGTGTCTGTCTGGTGAAACTTTCAAACGCACAACTGATTAAAATTTTTGTTTCATAAATTTAGAAACGGAGGCGCGCGGCTCCATACTGGACACTGGTTTTTAAAAAAAGTACTTTCTTCTTGTTGACCTTTCACAACATGCGGGGAATCCTATGAACAAGGTTTTAATTTGGTGTGGCCTAAAATCTTAATTTATTTCAATTTGGAAAAAAAAATATTTGAAACTAGATTCTATTGAGCTATATGTAGTCTGTCGGATTCCTTATTTGTGTTCCTCCATACAAGGATTTTGTTAATCCAGTTGGTCTAGAAATGGTTTATTAGGAAGATTAATAGCAACTTGATGAAATAGTTCCATCATTTTATATTAATGTCAGGCTCACATTTTAAAGGCCAAGGCCAAAGTGATTAGAAAGAAAACCTTTTGAAATTGAGTGGGTGTTTTCATACTATCTTATTATTATAAATAAGAGGGATGCATAGTATGACACAAAAATCAAAAGTAGTAATATACTTCTCAAATTTTGTACATGGATATATTTTAAACTTATTTTATTAAATTATTTCATGAATTCACCCTTTTTTAGCTGAAAATCATCCACCAGATATTTGTGGATTAGTCAGCAAAGAATCCAGATCTGAATGGGAGGAAAACTTTGCTGGAAAGTTTATTATACCAGTTTTACAGGTATATCTAGACACATGTGTAACTATTTTAATGTAATACTTGTATTTGATTGAACCAAAATCACAAAATAGCGGCTTCAAATTAAAAGAAGGTCTTGAAGCCACTATAAAATGAGAACAAGACAGACTTATGTCATTCCACCTTGAAACGAGAAATATGAATCAAAACCAAGAGAAACCCTGTTCACTTCTATAACAACATGAGTGACCACGTATTAGAATCTGTTCAAAATGCAAAATAAACAGATATCACACTTTCGACTGACCTAAGATGGAACACATGCATCCAGCAAACTGCAGCTAAAGCTAAAAAATATTCATGTTTTATCTAAAGAAATTTAAAGGTTTCTGTAATCATGAACAATCAAAGAAGAACTTTCCAAACTTTGATGAGACATAAATTACCAACACATATGAAAACATAAAATCAATAATACAAGAACAATGGTAGGTATGTAACAGACACCACATCACCTGCAATGTGTCTGATATGCTAAACACCCTAAACTGGCAATCATTCAAGAATGAAGATTTTTACACATTTGTTCCACAAAAAAGGGCATGAAAATACTGCTATTCCATTGCTTCAAAAAAAATTAAAAATCAATCTAAATATAGATCTGTTCATAAAAATTCCTACAGATAACTGCATTGCAACAAAAACGGCTTGAAATATTTTATTCTTTTGACAAAAATAAAATTATCCTCCTCCATTACCAAAATTATCCACTACTTTTGTTACACATTTTGAAATATTGATTTATTTTTTTAAAGATTTAATATCCATTGTTATTGTGACAATATCAAAGAATACTTTAATATATTTGATACACAATATTGATTAATTCAGATAAATAACTGATGTGATAATGATATAAAACTTATTTTGTAGAATATGGAGAATATCTTGAGAGATTGTAATCAAAAAATACTGAACGATGAAAGACTTGGTAAGGAATATATGCTTTGATATTTTTTATTAGGGCCCAGCCTATTGGCGGGTCACCCTATAGTGATCAGTCTGTCCGTCCGTAACAAATTGTGTCCGCTCTATATCTAGAGAACTGTTATAATTTCATACTTAATACTTGACATGTATATTATCCAACACCAGAGGGTGTGTCATAATGTTTGTACAACTTCCTAGGTCAAAGTTAAAGGTCAGCAGGGTCCACAGAGATGGCTCCCATCTCAATGATGTCTAGTTGGACTGTATGAGGGTGATGGGGGTTCAGTCTTATTTTTTTATTTTCTATTTATTCCATGAAATGAAATATATAACTTTGGGTAACTTTTTCACTAAAAAAATAGAAATGTAAACAATTTAATTTTTTTTTTAAATTAGCAACATATTTCAACATCTGGAATGTTTTAGGAGCTGATCCATTACTACAGATATTGTATGAAACAGACATACCACCAGAGAGGCAGGATATGTTGACCTTGCATGACATACCAGCAGTGTGGAGATATAGAGAACTGATTTCTGTTAACCATCTCAGACAGAACCTGGATACAGTCAAAATAGACCTACCTGTTCTTCAACTATTCCTAAAAGAGGTAAAGCTAAATTCTGATAATAACTGAAATAGGTTAATCATAAAATTCTGGTATGTTAGTGGAGAGAAAAAAGAATAGGGATTTAGAAATGTACTAAATTTCAAAGGAAATGAAAAAAAAATAGTATCAATTTTTTCAGAAAAAAGAAGTGGTATGAAAAGTTCAATTTTTTTTCTGTCCTTGATATAGCAAAACATTAAGATTTTTATTATTTTGAAATTATTATAATTTTATAGATAGGTGAATTGGATGATAACAGAAAGCAAAACTCATACCGTATAGTATACATAAGCTATATAATTTACAATTCACGACTTCATTTGTAGGAACATCATCTTAGAGCTATAAGATTTATACCAAGTATAATGAGATTACAGAGAATGTTGATACAGAAATATGGTAGAAAGTTAGATAGAGCAGAAGCTACAATATTGACCATTGACACTGTTAAACAACAAATGAAGCAAGGTTTGTAGTTATAATTACAAAAAATCGTTGAAATTATATCTCCTGATATACAAAGCTTTGTTACCCTTAAACTGATAATCTAGTATTACTTGTACATGAATTAAAATAACTTATTTTTAATTTGTCTCTCATGAAAGACTGTGATTTGACCTCTTGTTGTCTTCATCTTATACCCCTGCGATTAAAAAAAAAACTGTAAAGGGGTGTACATAGGCATGGATAAAATGACTATTTCATAATGAAAAGAAATAGCTTACTTTTTTTGTTGCCATTTTACCAATATTCAGGAAACACTGGAATAATGGTCTTCAAGCATGGAAACAAGTGAAATAAAAATTACAAAAAATAACCCTTAACCACCCACATTTAAAATATATGATTAAACGTGTGTAAGTTATCTCTTTTCTTGAAATGTATGCTGTTGATATTCAGTGCCTTGCTTTTCAAATGTTTTTATATTTTACTTTTTAGATAGAAAACTGAAAGAATTTGTAGGCTTGTTGAAAGAGTTCACAGAAGCTTGGAATTGTGTAAAGGAATCTTTGGAGACATATTGTAAGCAATGATCTGTCTTTGTACAATACAACTGTTAGTTCATATTGACCATATAGCTAAATTTAAGTTTTAACCTATAATAGTTACTTGTTAATGGTCAGTTCCATGTTAACTATTGAAAACTCTAAACAAAGTTTGTATGGCTCATTCAAGGGTATTCATTTTACAGAAACATTTGCAGTATTCATTGCCACAAAAGCCTCTAAATTATTGACATATTTGCCTAACATTTAAAGTTGGTATCATGTGAGCTGTTTCATTAAATAAAAGGCATCGTTTCCAAAGGAAAAAACTCCATATAGGTATATAAACTTCATTATACAACCTCAAACACACTTAACGATTACACATTTAAGTTTTTAAAAATACATTATTATCAAAGATGATTTTGTAATTATTGTTTTATGATTTAAAAAAACTGCCACCAGTTTGTAATGTAAATTATGTATTAATTGAAATAAACTTTATGTTGTAGCATGTCCAGCTGATGGAAATTTATTGATGATTGACAAGGCCTACTGTAGGTCAAAGTTCACAGATGATACACCAGTGTCGTATCTGATTCCAACATATCAGGATGCAGGACTTTGTTCCTATGTCTTGTTGTTTTTCCTGTTAGAAAAGCAGGATTTGTTTTTGCAAAGTTATTGTTCTCAGAGAAAATTGAAGTAAGAATATTGTATCAGCTTCTTCAACATAAAGTCACTTATATATTAAAGCATTAAATTAATGACATGTTGGCCTTATCCTGGTAAACAAATAATCGCATATCACGTACATGTTTCATTGATATTTATATTTTAATGACACTTGGGGTTTAAACAGATCTTTAAAGGGAAACTGACAACTCCAGTAGTTTAAAACTAACTGATATTGGAATATAAATAATGATAGCCTAATCAAGAATAAGGTAACAAAATACAAATGAAAACATATGCTTAGATTTATCTTCATATGCATTCATATATTTACCAATGAATACACTTCTGCAGCAAGGTTATTACATTTTGAGATAACAATTTAAGTCAAAGTTGATGGATGGATGAATACAACTTATCACTATTTGTCAACCATTATTGGACATCACAGAGGTTCCTGTAAAATTTAGACATCACAACAGAAAATGTCTGATGCCTCAAAGGAAAAGTGATTGTTATATGACGTCAAAAGTTCAAGTGTCGCAAATTCTCAGTTCAAGTGTCGCAGATTCCCAAATAGCGATAAGGTCTATGGCTGTTTAACCTCAAGTGTCAAAGTAAGTGCATATTCAGGACGAGAGCACGATTATGTGATACAAGTATAAATTGTGCTTTGTACTAGACCAACATGCTGAACCGGATTTTTTTTGTGCCAATTCACAAGGTAATAGTCTGCAGGAAGACATGTCACCCTACCTGTATTCTGACTCCAAGCAGACCAATCTTTGCTCTTAGTCCTAAATGCTGCATGCTTAAGGGATAAGCAGCAAATACCAATTTCCAAGTCTTTTGATTTACCTGGTTTGGGTTCGAACCCACAACCTCCGGCACTCGAGGCAAACACGAGATCAAGGTTGATTTTAGTCCGTTAACCATGTTATTCCTTTATATATGTAACTTTTATCAATATATATAAGTATTTCTACATTTTAGGGAGGAAAGTCTTCCAACAGTGCATGTGAAAGACATATCTTCAGCCCATTTAATCAGTTACCATCCAGACAAAGACCTGTTACCCATGGTGTTGGCTAACTGTAACTATTCCTTTAAGGTTGGCCAAGGTACTGAGATAGAATATAACTATGCCAACTTGGAAAGACAACTTATGGATAGATTTCTATTCTCAAAATCATTTATAAAAGGATATGGAGAGGTAAGTTTTGATATGATAAAAATTTGTGACACCTAGCTCGATTAATTATTTTTTGAAAGTTCGGAGGATTTTCTTTTTTTTCAAGATCTGTTTTAAAAAAGAGGTGTTGAAACAAACTTTCCTGTGTGGGTATTCAGGTAAATGTAAGAAAGGGTTACCTGAGTCAAGCTCTTTCACCTTAAGTAATTTTATTCATTTATGGCAGAACATATTTTGACCAAACTTTGTTTGAATGTTCATTAAGATATCTATTTTCTAAATTATATTCAATGTTCTGATTCATCAAGAATCATGATTGCTGTTTTTAAAAATAAAACACAGGGTCGAACTGAAGTTTTCTGCTTACATTTCAAAAATTATGAGAGATAAAGAATATTTGGCAGAATGTAAAGTGATCAACATGACAAGATCAATTACAAGAAAATTACAAGAGTGGGTGTAAAGTGTAAAATGATCAGCAAGTTACAATCTTCAAAAGTTGCCATTTTGTTGAAAAATATTGATAACTTTTGTAAGAGTTTTTGTCACCGAAATGTGTGCCTTTTATGTGCTTTGCTTTGCTCATATATCAAAAGCTAAAAGAAAAGAACTAAAAGAAAATGATCAGTGCATCAAAACCTACCACGGATTAATTAGCTGAAATTGTCTTCAAGAGTTATTGCCCTTGAAACATGCTATATAACAATTTTTATTGAGGAAATTTTTAAAATGTAGCTATATTTGAACCAGCTCATTATATTCAGGCATACAGAGAGCTAACAACACATTACAACAAAATCTATTTGCTGCTAATTTCTACTTACACAGTGTATTTCCAAAATCAACTTATAGACATAAATCCACCATGAAAACCTACACTGAATGATACTACTTGTATTATTAGACCTCTATCAGGGTATAGAAGAGGGGGTTTGATAAAAGGCAGACAAGTGTACATTTACAGTGTGATAATAATTTCTACTTTTAGATAGAAACCATCATATACAGATCTGAATCTACAAATGCTATTGTTTTCAAAACTTTATGTGACAAGATTCCACAGGTTGGTACTTTGAATTACCCAACTTCATTGTATGGCTAGAGCAATGATTGTTATATATTGTGTATATTTTTTTTGCTGAATATCAAGACTTAAGTACTGTTATGTAGGACCTAAGCTTGAATTTTTATTGATTTCTTATGTAAAACATGACTGACCACCACATATCGTCAACACCAATCAATAACATTTTAATGTAGATGGAACTTTGTACATTTATTTCCCTTACCTGAAGGAGATATGAAGATTTGTTAACCCAAGTAAATTTCAAGGGTGAACAAATCTTCATATCTCCCTAAGCCAAGGGAAATAAATGTTTTATTCCACTGCCTATACTTCTGACTTTATGAACATACAATATTGATTTACATACAATGTTTCTTATCTGCTTGCTTCTATAACTAAACATGACATTAACATTGATAAACAATACCGATCAAAAGTTAATCATTTATTCTAGTGTGACAAGTTTTTCTCTGAATATTTTTTGATGCCTGAAATAATTTTGATCACAATAATAACTATTTTATCCAATTTGCCGATATATTCTTATATCCGATATTCAATTACACGATAAAATTAGCATTAAACATATAGGAAAGGGTTTGGTGTTTTGAAATAATATTACAATAGCCGATATATTTGTTTAGCCGATATCCGATTAGGTGTAGTATACTGTACTATTTTAAAAAAAAAAACATTCTAAACCATGGCTTCCAAAACGGTCATATATTCCGGACATTTATAAATTTACTGGACATTGTCCGTCTGGGAAAAGCATGAAATGGTCATCTACTTTTAGTTTTCAAGGCTTCCTTAAGAGACGGTCATTTTAACATAATTAAAAAAAAATCGGAAGTTTGATCTTTTTGACCCGACATTTTGCCTTAAACAGTCACACATTTCCGGTTATAAAAGTGACATGATGATTAAGTACTATCAAAACAAACCCTACTTTAATACCTTATCATTTTAATCAAGGTTAATTAGTTGTCAGACAGCTGAAATTTACCTGTTCAGGCGACAGGTAAACTATTTTGTACTGGACATTGATCGGTCAATTCAAAGTTATTTTCTTACATTTAAGCGGTTTGCATCTAATTAATTTAGTCAGAAAGATTAAAATTGTCAGAAATACGTTTATAAATATGATTTGATGAAAATTTTAAAAAGGTTAATCGAAAAATCGTCGGAACCATTTTGTTTGAACTAGTACACGAGTGCGCAGGTGGGAAATTTAATTATGCATCCTAATTCTTCAAAAATGATAAAATTATCATTGATACCTTTATCTAACGTTCATTTCGAGTATTTTCTTGAAGAAATAACTCGGAAAGAGCTACTTAAACTCAATCGTGCTTTGTAAATGTACACGGATTTTACATATCCGTCTCTGGTCCATGTTTTACCATTGTCAAGTCAACATCCGGTATTAGGAAATGTGCTTTTTAAAAACGAAAGTAAAGTTTTTGACAACGTTATTTTGCACAAAAAAAGAGTCTAAGGCAGATATTAGTACGCTGATGTTGCACACTTCGAATAATGCACTGTCAATTTAACATTTTACGTCAGAACATCGAGTTTATATCAAAGTAAAGTTTAAAATCGTTTTTTAATGTCAATCATTGGTTATATGATGGCCAAATGATAACCATGGTCCATAATTGCCTTTTGTTATCAAGTCTTAAAGGATTAAAATCGGGATAAGACATAAAATGTCCGGCTGGCTCAAATATTTTTTGGAAGCCCTGTTCTAAACATTTTGTACATTAACCGCATGTAAAGTCACATGAGATAGTCCCTATCTTCTGAGGGGAATATAAAGTTTGTTCAATGTCACGTGGGATTTTCTCAACCAATCAAATGTTGATTTAGCTATCAATATTAACATGCAGTGGAATAATATTATTTGTTTGGTCAAAATATGAAAATTAATAGTTTTGATATCTTACAGGAAAGATTACATCATGCAGTGCAGAGTCAGATATGTGGAGAGTTACGTACAAAATCATTCCCAGAATTGTGTGAAAGTCTTGACAAATTAGACATTGCCATTAGTTTCCTAAAGTCTGTGGGATCAGACCCTAATAGTTCTCTGGCAGACTTTATGTCTAACATCAAGATAGATAACCCATTTCCAAGTCCAAAGGTAATTGTATTAAATGCTAGTTTAATATTTGTTACAAAAACAATTTTATAATATGTTTTAATTGTTTAAAAAATTATTGTGGTGTTTTTCTCTAATAGGTTTGCTTTAATTGAACTCAGATAATTGAATGTGTGATATTGTTTATTTGGTTTTAAATTGGCATTGCATTAGTCTGTTATTCCACAATACTGATATATTTTTGTCCCTTGGCAACGCGTTACTGGAACATAGAAATACCAGGCGTCCGTCCATCTGTCTGTACTACAGTCCGTACGGTCTTGTTAACACTCTCACATGTACAATTTTTGCCAGATTTTTATGAAACTTCTATCATAGGTTTATATCAGCAATGTATGAACGATTTCGAAAATCAGTGCCGATCAATTATTTTCAAAAGAGTTATGCCCCTTTGAAACATTATTTATATGGAAAATTACATTGTTAGCGCTATCATTTGTACAATTCTTCCCAGATTTTTATGAAACTTAAATCATTGATCTATATTAGCAATGTCTTGGACAAGTTCGAAAACCAGTGGGTAACAATTATTTTTAACAGAGTTATGCCCCTTGGAAACATTAATTATATGGAAAATTGCATTATTAGTGCTCTCATGTGTTCAACTCTTGCCAGATTTTTATGAAACTTATATCATAGGTTTATATCAGCAATGTCTTTGATGATTTCGGAAAACAGTGCCGATCAAATAAATCAATTATTTTTAAAAGAGTTATGCCCGATGGAAATATTAATTTTATGGAAAATTGCCCTGTGAACGCTCTCATGTGTACAATTCTTGCCAGATTTTTATGAAATTCATATTATAGGTTTACATCATCAGTTTCTTTGACGAGTTCGAAAATCAGTGGCAATCTATTATTTTTTTTAAAGAGTTATGCCCCTTGGAAATATTGATTATATGGAAAATTGCATTGTTAGTGCTCTCATGTGTACAATTCTTGAAAATATTTATAAAGGAAATCGAATAGCATTTGCTCTGAAGCCTTCATTTCCGCAAGATATTTATGAAAACTTTTTAAAGAACAAAAAAAAAAGGTGTTTTTTAGCTCACCTGGCATAAAGGGCCAAGTGAGCTTTTCTTATCACTTGGCATCTGTCATCGTCCATTGTCGTTAACTTATGAAAAAATCTTCTCCTCTGGAACTGTTCGACCAAATTTTACCAAACTTGGCCACAATCATCATTGGGGTATCCAGTTTTAAAAATGTGTCTGATGACCCTGCCCGCCAACCAAGATGGCCGATATGTGTAAAAATACAACATAGGGGTAAAATGCAAGTTTTATCTCATTATTTGGAAAACCGTTATAAAAAGAGAAATTCTGACAAGGCAAAAGTGTTTAGAAAGTTGTTTTGCCTTTTATCTTTAAAACTATAATAGATAGAGAGAAACTTTAAATATGGAGGAAATTTTCCAACAACTCCTTATTGGAGTTATTGCCCTTTAATGACGATTTTTAACAATTTTTTGTGTTTTGCATTATGATAAAAATTATAGATAGATAGAAACTTTAACAAGAGTGCACACGCTGAAATGTCTCGCCTTCTTTACTAATCATTGATATTATGTTGATAGTCCTAAATATAAAGCTTTATTACAACTGTCAAATAAACTTAACATTAACCAAGTAAACTAAACATTGACCAATGAACCATGAAAATGAGGTCAAGGTCAGATGAACCATGCTAGGCAGGCATGTACAGCTAACAATTCTTCCATACAACAAATATAGTTGACCTATTGCTTATAGTTTAAGAAAAACAGACCAAAACACAAAAACTTAACACTGAGCAATGAACCTTGAAAATGAGGTCAAGGTCAAATAAAACCTGCGTGACTGACATATAGATCATAAAATATTTCGATACACCAAATATAGTTGAACTATTGCATATAGTATTAGAAAAAAATTTGTAAGGGTTCCGCGGAACCCAGTGTCTCGCCTACTCTTTCTGTTAATCGCAGGCTCAACAAAAATGAGGAAGTAAATCAATAAAAATATTCCTCTTGATAATATCTTTTGATTGTAAGAAGCTTCTGTCCAAGTTTGGTAAAAATCCAGGATAGTTTATGAATCTAATAAATGTTTAAAAACTTTAACTGCAGACTGAATGTAATGTTAACTGGAAGAAAACAAAATTTCCTTCTAGATACTAGCATTTGATCATAAACAAGCTTCTGTCCAAGTTTGGTACAAATCCAAAATAGTATAAGAAAGTTATTAAAATTTTTAAAACTTTAACCACAGAGTGAATGTGTTGTTTCCTGGCAGAAAAACTAAGTCCATTTCAAAGTAAAATAGGGAAAAAATGGATTTATTTTTTTACAAAATTTCCTTCTAGATACTAGCTTTTGTTCATAAACAAGCTTCTGTCCAAGTTTGGTACAAATCCAAAATAGTATAAGAAAGATATTAAAATTTTAAAAACTTAAACCACAGAGTGAATGTGTTGTTTCCTGGCAGAAAATCTAAGTCCATTTAAAAGTAAAATACAGAAAAAATGGATTTTTTTTTTTACAAAATTTACTTCTGGATACTATCTTATGATCATAAACAAGCTTCTGTCCAAGTTTGGTAGAAATCCAGGATAGTTTAAGAAAGTTATTAAAATTTCAAAAACTTTAACCACAGAGTGAATATTTGTGGACGACGCCGACGGAATGTTGGATCGCTATGTCTCGCTTTTTTGACTAAAGTCGAAGGCTCGACAAAAAGACCAAAACTCAAAAACTTAACTTTGACCACTGAACCATGAAAATGAGTTCAAGGTCAGATGACACCTGCCAGCTAGACATGTACACCTTACAATCATTCCATACACCAAATATAGTAGACCTATTGCATACAGTATAAGAAAAACAGACCAAAACACAAAAACTTAACTATAACCACTGAACCATGAAAATGAGGTCAAGGTCAGATGACACCTGCCAGTTGGACATGTACACCTTACAGTCCTTCCATACACTGAATATACTAGACATATTGCTTATAGTATCTGAGATATGGACTTGACCACCAAAACTTAACCTTGTTCACTGATCCATGAAATGATGTCAAGGTCAAGTGAAAACTGTCTGACGGGCATGAGGACCTTGCAAGGTATGCACATACCAAATATAGTTATCCTATTACTTATAATAAGAGAGAATTTAACATTACAAAAAATCTTAACTTTTTTTTCAAGTAGTCACTGAACCATAAAAATGAGGTCAAGGACATTGGACATGTGACTGACGTAAACTTCGTAACATGAGGCATCCATATACAAAGTATGAAGCATCCAGATCTTCCACCTTCTAAAATATAAAGCTTTTAAGAAGTTGACTAACGCCGCCGCCGGATTACTATCCCTATGTCGAGCTTTCTGCGACAAAAGTCGCAGGCTCGACATAAACCAAATAAGATCAGCAAGGCAAGATCCATAAACAAGTTAAATTTTGCAGATATAGTTAGTAGAATGTCACTCTTCATAGGAGTGATTGCCCCTAAATGAGGATTTTTTAACCCTCTTTTGTCTTTTGAGCAAAAATTAAAGAAGATAGAGAGAAACAAAACAGAAAAAATTATCAGCAATATAAGATCAACAAAAAAGAATTTTTTGTCATGAATTTATTCTTGTCTAAAATGTTGGTGAGAGTCCATTGTTGATTATGCACATAGACCTAGGTGAGCGACACAGGCTGTTTAGAGCCTCTAGTTTTTAATAATTGCCCTTGTACATTGGATAGATAAAATATCTTCAATGCGGGAGATATTGGTACTCTGTTCTTTTATTGTTATTATTATTTTCAGGCTAAGCAGACTAGCAAGTGTAAACACACCATGTCTCTATGGATTTTATTTGCTCTGGAGAGAGCTAGGACCCTAGCCAAATATGAAAAGGTATCTAATATTGTATCAAAATTACTTAAACTGTAAAGCAACTGCATAAAAACTGTAGCAATTTATAGACATTTAACCATAGTTATACAAGTTTCACCAATTATCACTGCTGTTATGTGTGAAAATTGTAACAAAAAATTTGAACAGGATTTTAATATGAAAAATATTATTTGTTTGAAGATTGATTGATTGCTTAATGTCATAAAATAATATATAATAGGAACCTTTATGATGTGGATGCACTACACCAATAATGCTTCTGTGTCATTTGCTGTAAGTCAGTGTCCCACGGACAGGCTCTAATCCTGTCTTACAGATGGAATTTCTTTTACAAAATGATAATGCCATAGTTGGATACAGTTTTTGTTACCTGACAAGGTATCATTTAAAATTTTGGATTCTAAACTTGGACCATTTTAAGTAAAAATGTTGTTGGACTGTATATGCAATTTCCGCAAAGAAAGTGAAAGAATTTGCTGCCTTTACATGTAATTAATGGCAATCATTCAGTTAAATTCTACATTATTTCAGAAAGCTTTTGAAAGTATAGGAGAGACTTTCAGAACAACACTGACAGAAGATCAAACAAAGATAATAGAAGAAATTTTGAAGAGCCTTACTGTAGAACAAATTAGTGAAATGGTGGAATTATTGTTTGAATGTATTGTATTGAAAATAGATGTTCCACAAAATCGAGATGATGAGGATTACTTTGATATGTCTAAAATGAAGTGAGTGTATAAATAACATGAGATCATCACCCTTCGAAGGGCATTTGAATTATTAGTCAAAGGACTATATCTGACAAGCACTTAACTCCTGTATGGAACATAGTAAAAGTAAATGTCCATATGTCTGAAATTCACAAAGTATACATACCGGTAAGCAAATAAACAAATATACTTCAGACAATCTTGCTTCTGTTGGTACCAAGGTAATTAAAATCCAACTAGAAATGACCTCACAATATTTTTTTGAAAAAAACATTGTTTTATATGAAGGTGAAGAATACTTATGCGTCATGCTGTAAGGTTCTAACTTTCTCAGGCAAATTTGACATTAAGTACAATTAACTCTTCTTTTTAGGGTGCTCATAAAGTTCTTTAAGTTTCAATTATTTATACAGCCTTGGCTTTTGGAATTTGACCTTAATTTGAAATAAAGCATGCTGAAGCAGAATATTCAACTACATTTAATGACTTCATGGTGTATTGATGATACATTATTAACTATTTTTCATCCTAGTTTATCATGGGTTTACAAAAGCTGCAGACTAGTGTATAAATTTCATAAAGAACTACCGGTATTCATTAGTGTTTTGATTGAAAATCTATTATTTCTAATTTTCTTGTATTTTAAGTTTGCGAGATGCTTTGATTGGATATCAGGACTCCTGTCCCTTTGAAGGCAAACAGCAGATTGAAGAAACAACTATGAATGTCTTAGGTCAAATACCATCAGACATAGAAGATCCTAACAGGGTGCTGACCGCCCACTCTGTTGAATTTTGGATCCTTGCCAATAAAATATGCACAAGCAAACAGCAAAGGAGACATTGATGATACCATAAATAGAAACTGATTGGATTTATAAACTTTTAAAACTTATTAAGTAGATATAGAATATATTTATATGTATATATGATCAAGGAAAAAGGATTTGTGATAAGAATTAGGCTATATCTATGCATTCATATCGTTAAAATATCAGTGATGTCAAAAATGGTATGAATAATGTTTTTAGTTTTTTGTGAAGTAGTGATATTAGTTGTATTTGCTGAATTCGAGGACCACTGATAATTTTGTTTTATTTTGTGTAATTCTGATTATATATAACGAATCTCATGATTACACAGTAAATCTAAATCCCTGAAACTTCACAGGTAAATAACACACATTGAAGTTTGAAGATTGTTTTCCCATTTTTCCATACTTGGAAACTGAGTAATTGTTCTGTAAAATTTTCAAAAGATGGTGCAATTTTTTGTTTTCTACCCAAATCTTTGGAACTTCATAGAAAGTTTTCTAGCATATAGAGGTTGTGCAATTTCTATTATTGAGTTGTTTAAAGTTTTAAGTTATCCAATTTTATATTTACATATAATTTCCATTGTTTAAGAAACATTCTACGCAAACCCAGACATGTTAAATTTAAATTACATGTAGTTCTGTAAGCTGGACATACAGAAAGGTTTAGTAAGTATCTGAAAGATAGTTGACAGCTCTAAAAACACTGTGATTTCTGAATTTAAGGGTAAAAAAAGTGTCCATTTCATATTTGACTCAAGTTGTGATAATTTTTCAGCATTACATTTTAAAAATTTTATATTTACCTGTGTATACCTTGTTGGTTAAGTTTTGATAACCTTATTTTTGATGATTTTTTGAATGAAGAAATATAGGTATTGTTGAATTATGATACATGTATTAAGCTTTAATTACTGTTAAATTATTATATGAGTTTTATGAAAAGATTTGGGGACCAGTCATTGTTTGTAATGATAGATCTTTTTGTTGTTGCTGTGACTCATTATTCCTATTGGACATTTTATAAGTAAATGAACAATATCTTCTTGTTCTTACTTCACAAACACAAATTTTTGGTGAATTCTTTTGTTGGCAGTGTAATTGAAAAAAAGATAGTTACTGGTATATGAAAATTAGTGGAAATAACATTAATTTTTTTTAATTTAAAATATTATTATTTTCAGCTAATAACAAAATCATGACCAATTTGTTTCAGTTTACATATATATTGAAATTAGAAAATTATGTTTAAATTTGAATCAGTGAGTACATTATTTTTTATTTTGAAGATTATTTTGTCTAGACAATGTTAATAATAAATACAAAAATATATTTTTGAAATTGCAATGAAATTTACATTTTGAATGTGGGAAGTGAAATGGATTCTTTTATATAAGCTTATTGTTTGAAATAAAAAACGAGATCATGCATTTCTTCTTATTATTAAATTCTCAAGAAATCAGATATGTCAGTAAGTGGTATGCATAGTCTTCCAAACATATACTTTAATACATGAATGCCCCATGTGACCATAATTGTCAGATTTTCAAGTATATAGCCTGAGAACAGTTTTTGTCTCGCCTGCGAGACATAGGGATTGCTTTTCCGGTGACGGCTGAGGCGTTGGCGTCAACAATTGTTACGTTTTCTGCTTAAGTTAATTTGATAGGAACTACTTGTGATAGATCATTGATATATAATATAAAGTTGCATTACTATCAGCACATATCAGTTTGATGACTATTTTGAGGCACTAACCCCTAGGTCATGGTCAAGTGACTTTGAATGAATTAGCAATTTTCAATGTTAAGTTTTCTGCTCAAGTCAGTTTGATAGGAACTACTTGTGATAGATCAATGATATTTTGTATGAAGTCACATTACTATCAGTATATATCAGTTTGACAAATATTTTGAGGCACCGCCCCCTTGGACATGGTCTAGTGACTGAAATATTTCCCATACAATTTGATTTACCTTTAATAGGCAAAAAAACATTTACCATGCAAGTATTTTTATACAATGAATTTGTTTTGAACTATTGTTAATTGCTAATTCGGTTTCTTTAATGTGGAGGTGTGAAAATGAAGAGACAATTCTCAATTCTAAACGTTTTTTCATTCTTCAATTTTAAAAATTAATATGTGTTATGTTTAAACATTATTTCCAACTTTTCCCAAACATTAATATTTGCTACTGTGATGCCTTCAAATTTTGCTATTATTACATGGTTTGAACCTATTAATCCTTTTCTTCAGGGAAAAAACACAATTCAGCCCAAATCTAAGTATCGATGAACCTTTAATGAACCTAGCATATAATGGCTCGAAAATCTAAAACTGTTCTTTATTTTTATAACTTCAACTTGTTTTGACAAGTGGGCTTTCTTCCAAAGTAAAAATGTGGTTGTATCTCTGGCAAAATGGTCAAAGTCAGCAACTTAGCATAAAGAAATCCAAACATCTTTGTCATTCTTAAAATTGTCTGCAGGTTAGTAACCAGTTGTGAAAATGAGCTTTCAAATAATGAGCCTGAAAATGTTTTTCTTGCAAACAATAGGCCAGAAATGACTAAATGAAAAGCACTGATGTATGTGCATTTTGATTTACACTTAGTCCTTGATATGATCGTTTACACTTTTGCTTGCAGACATCAAAGAAAATTTTTTTTATGAAATCATGGATGGCTATTAAATTTATTTCTCGTTTGGAATTGTTTTACATTTTGTCATTCAGGGTCTAGTGTGAGTTTTGCTCATTGATGAAGGCCGTATGGTGACCTTTAATTGCTTGCATACATGTACTTTGGTCTCTGGTAGGTAGTTGTCTAATTGGCAATCACACCATATATCCTTATTTTTATATAGGGTAAATAAAGGTAATAGGTAAAGATCTACCCATCTTGAATTTTTAACAGAAATCGTACAAAACTTATTTTAGGGTTATTGCTCCTGAAATATCAATTTTTTGCATATTTTGCAGTTTTGTCTATTATAAAAAATATAATAGAGAAAAATTAAATTGCAAAAATGATCAGCTACACAAGATTCACAAATAAGTCTACATATCAGAAATCATCAGTCGACTGCCAATAGGTTTTATTGCCCTAAAATGACACTTTTCACCTGTTTTTTGTGTTTTTGGCCATAATTTCAGAAACTACAATAGATAAAACTTTAAGCAGCAAAAATGATTGCTGATGATTTTGATGTTGCTTACCAATATTTTGCAAAAAGGATTCAGACTCCTTAAATTGGAGTATTCTCGTATTGAGGTCAATTGGATGGATAAATGAATGGTTCTTTAATGTCTACCACCAAATGTTTCATGCATATTCAGAATGAAAGCATGTTAGTTTGATATGAATGTATCCTGCTTAGTACTAGACCTAAATGCTAAGCCAGATATTTAATATGCTAGATCACAAGGTTACAGTCCTAAGGAAAACTTGTCAATCTTACTGGATACAATAATCTTACATTAAGCTGACCAGTGTTTGTTCTTACTAATAAACGTGTCATACTTAGCAGAGAAGCAGTCCATAGTAATTTTAAAGTCTGGTTTGAATGTCAATCGCTTAGTATTATTTGAAGAATATTCCTGCATATTGTGGATTCATTTATTTTCGTGGATTGATCTAAATTTGTATTTTTGAGGATATTTGATTTTGTGTTTTGCCAAAGTCTGTAAACAAGCCTATAGAAAATGTGTTTAGCCATTTCAATTGATATTTTATAGTGTCTTTTCATGTTGTAATGTTATACTACCGTCTCAGGTTAGGGTGAAAGTTGGCACCTGTTAAAACGTTTAAACCCGTTGCATTTGTATGTACCTGTTGGGAGCCTGTTGTTCAGTGGTTGTCATTTGTTGGTGTGGTTCATAAGTGTTTCTCGTTTTATATATAGATTAGACCTTTGGTTTTCCTGTTTGAATTGTTTTACACTAGTCATTTTGGGGCCCTTTATAGCTTGCTGTTCGGTGTGAGCCAAGGCTACATGTTGAAGGCTGTACTTTAACCTATAATTGTTTACTTTTTATGCATTGTGACTTGGATGGAGAGTTGTCTCATTGGCACTCATACCACATTTTCTTATATCTATTGGATGGAGAGTTGTCTCATTGGCACTCATACCACATTTTTTTATCTATATTTGTTGGTTATTTAAGGTTTACCTTTACCCATGAGTAATAATGAATCCAAAGAGGTTTTATTATATTTCACCACATCTTAAAATGTATCCTTTGGTTTTCCTTGTAAACATTTTGCCTCAGGCTGGCAACCATTTTGAATTATGGATTGGCACTCAAGTCACATGTTTTATCCTACTGAAATTTGACTTGGCTTTCATCACCTGGAAAACCTGCATTTTTTTTCCAAATCAGTACAAAGTGAGGTGTATATCTTCTATGTATATACAAACATCTAGAAAGTTTGAAGGCTCTAGGTGAACACTGAAGGAGGACTTGATTCAACAAAATTTGTACTCTATAAAGAATGCTGCCTAAATTGACCAAGTTTCATTATTTGAAAAATCTCCAAAATTTTCCAAAGTGAATTGCACATTTCAAAGAACATATAATCATTCAAGAAGTAGGTTATTACTCAAAAAAGAGTACATTTTATAATAGGTTAGAGAATGGAGGATATGGGTAGAAACTGTTGGTGGGATATATAGAATACACCAAACAGGTGCCCTCTTTCCCCTACCAAACATTTATCTTTTCAAATTCTGCGGAAAATAAACAAGGGGCTTAACTCCTTGTTGGCCAAGAAATCAACAAACAAATATCATGTATATAATATTTTGTTCAGGTTGTGCCATTCTCCCTCTCAAGGTGATAACATACTTCATTGTAACATCATACTTAACAGTGAGCAATGTTTACTTTAAAAAATAAAATTTACAAATTAAAAAAATGTACAAAATATTGTATATTATTATGTACTGACAACCTTACAAACACAGAAAGGTGTTTTACATATCTTCTTCAATAAATAAGCAATCTTTAAAACAGTATAATATTTCTGCATGAAAATCAAGGCAATACTTCAATTTGAACCCCCCTCATCTGTGTATTTTGCTTTCTCGTCAATCCGGGGTTTAGAATAGAAATATTCACAAAATCAATGAACTGGTTATACTGAAGATGAAAATATGATTGAATTAATAATAAGTATCATTTATTGTAAAAATAACATTGTTTATATCTTTATGATAATGGGAATGGAGATAAAGTTGTCAGTCTATGGGATGATCAAAGATACAGTAGACAATGCTAATACAGTTATCTTTGTTGTCTTTATCACATGAAAACTGTGTTGTTTAATTAAGGTAAAACTTTAAAATTATATATATTTTTACTATAAACAAAATACTTTATTTATAATATGTTTTTACCTTCTGGCAATCTTGACATCCACTTTTGAAAATTCATCAATTAAATAAGTATAAACAGTGTAGAAAATATTTAAATTTATTTTTAAGTTCATATTTTCAGCTTAATTGGAAATTCATAACCAATTATACTACAAAGTCTGTATTACTACTTGAATATGATAAACAACCGTTATGTATACAATCTTGGCATGAAATTCTGTTTGTCCTGAAAGTTCATTAATTTTATGTTGAGTCAACAAAATGCACAGACTACCTGAGGATGAACAGAATAATTGATTTGACCTTATATAATTTTTAAATTAATTTATAACATGTCAAATTTGTCCTCATTATTTCTATTAAAATGAATTACTTCCTGGTTAGCTAGTGAATGCACATTAGTCTTGTAGTTCGTGAAAACAAATGAATGTTTGAACATGTGAGCAAAACAAATATTGGAATGGTAAATTGGTGTTACACTTCTAAGACAAATTATAATGTAACAAATCATTGATAAATTACTTCATATTTTTATCATTTTGTTTTCTACTGAATTCAGTTAGACTTAAATGCTTTTGGGGATACAGTTTTCAAAATGCTTTTGGGGATACAGTTTTCAAAATCTATAAGTTATAAATGAATTATCCTATTCTTATGTTTACTTTTAATTAATCAAATTGATAAAAAAATAAAACATAGCATTTTGATATTATGTACAACAATGGCTGAAACCATAGTTCAGTGCTAATCTGTGGAAACTATTGGCTAAAACTAGTTTCCCAATAGGAAGTATATCAATGGGGATTTTGTATATGTGACAATGAAATTCATTCCAAATCAAACAAATTGTCATCGTTTTTGCATTTCTGCTGTTTGAACACTGGCTGTCAATAAAAATGAATTTAAAATGATAATTGAACAGTTTCACTTACACTGAAGTTTTAGAAATTGTCTTAAACAATATATATTTAAAGGGAGATAACTCAGCTATATTGTTGCAAGTGTTTACATGTTCTCTAAATAAAAAATAAATGTTTCCAGAACTAACTATCATCTGCTTCTTAAACAAATGAAACTGAATGACTTACTTTAAGATATACATGGACCATTGCACAATATATAGCAAAATTAATAAGTGTATGAGGTATACAAATCAGACCTAAATGAAAATCATGTAAAATTACACTGAACACACACCAACATACACATATCCACTCAAACTTATTTAAATCCTATTCTAATGCTATTCTCAGTAAGCATGGAATGTTTGTTTTAAATTTGACTGATTTATGTACATATTGCTGTTCAAAAGGACTTTCTTTTATTTTGGATTTTGATCGGAGATTTTACTGTAACTTATACCAAAACAGTAAGATACAATTGAAATTATCTGAATACTTCATTTGTTTTGTTTTTTTTAATCTGAACTATATTAGATCATAATTTTTAATAATTAATTTGTTAAGTTTAGTAAAAAAAAGTAGTATTAATTTTGCTCTCAACTATGACATTTTAAATTAAAGGTATGTCATATTTCATGCTTGTCAAAAACGGCATCTAAGAAACTCATGAGCATTTTAATTACTGACAAACTGTGGATTCATTATTATTCGTTGTTGATACTAATTTCCGTGGATTTCTTAAATACAGGTGAACCATGAATTACATGTTCAACGAATAACAAATTTTCTTTACGCTTGTATGCAGACTTTGGCAAAACCACGAAATCAAATATCCACAAAAATGTAAGTTTTTCTCAATCCATGAAAATTGTTATCCAAGAAAATAACTGAATCCACAGTAGTTAAAATTCCACACAGATAGCTGAAAAAATAGGTTTTTGAAGAGTTATCTTCAATTTAAAATATAGCTTGTGTTTTTTTAACAATTTACCAAAATTCGACATAAAAAAGTGGTCAGAATATTTACCATATGACAAACTTATGCCATGATATATGTGAACCAAAAGTGTGATCATATCTAATTACTTTAACGGTACAATTAAAAAATAATCTTTTTTATCATGTTGTGATTATTTTTATCAATGTAGACCTGCATTATAAACCAATTAGACTGATAACATTAAAGTAAGTACTGACAGTCTCAATAAGATATTGAAATAACACATCCTCCTCATGCACAAAATATAACAAGGCTTGACAAACAAATAGATTCAATTCTTATAAAAATGAGTGGGTATATAAAGAAGCACTGCAACTTAAATATATATGTTTATATGTGTTTATCTAACAAAAATCTAGTACAAAACAAACAAAAAATCTTGATGTAAATATATGAATACTAATGTACTATTAACCTAATCTTTAAGAAATGAAAACATTTGTATTAACAAGAAAACATAGATAGTGTTATTTATAAAATATAGAGTTCTTTTAATGATATTCAATGGATCAATTAAAGTTTACTAAATAGTTAAATATTGCATTTAGAATAAGTTTGCTTTAATATTTGAAAAAAAAAATCTTTATTAAAAAATGAGTGAATAGAAAGAAAAGAAGGAATACTTTTTTTGAAAATAAAAATACTTAAGGGAGATAATTTTCATACAATTAGGGGAGATAATCATATTTTACAGCTGTTGCTATCTTCAAACAGTAAAGACTGTTTTTACCTAGGAATCTTGATAGATACATGACAGAATTAACAAAACTAGCCCTCATGAATAAAACCTAATCTTTAGCCAATATATTTGTAATTCTATTTAATTCTTTTCACTACATTTAAAAGGTTCCAAAAACAAACCCTTTCTAGAGTATAAAGTTAGCGTATAAAAAGCTTTATATTTCTATATTAGTTACAGAATATCTCTCAATTTTCAAATCATATACACTATACTGCTATGTTTACTTGAAAAATAAAACTAAATCCAGAAATAATACATATATGTACACCAATAGATTTTTTTTATTCGAAGACATGATTTTAATTATCATAAAATACAAAATATTGGCATTTATCTAAAGGGAAACTGTAATTATATAACTTATATTCGCAGAAATTAATACTTATATAGTCCTCCCAATAAAGTTCTACATTTATAAAATTCAACTCCAAGTAACTATTACACATCTTTATCATATTAGGAACCATGTTAAATAAAATATACTTAGCACTTTTAATATGTTATTTAATTTTTAAATGTGACATTCAAAGAATCATATCATACATCAACCTATAAACAAAAGACTGCATAAAGTTATATCCATTTTTCATGGTTATATGTTTTTAAAGTACATTGTTTCAACCTTTTATATGAAAAAGTAAACAAAAATTATAATTTGCCATGTACATTCATCCTTTAAAAAAAAACTGAGTAAGGACAATTTTCTTTTTGGGTCTAATACTCCATACATTATAGAAATTTAAGTTTATATAAAATGTTTAAAAATTAATACCCTAAAATATCAGAATTATATCACAGGATACTACAACATCCATCTTTTTCTTCTCCTCCTACGACAGGAGCACTACTTGGAGCTTTGAATTTCTTCATACTTTCATTTTGAAAGTATGGCGTATTATTATTATGTCCGTTATTTTTGGAATGTTGATGTTGATCTTTACTTTGTGAAGGTGATGAACTGTATTTATTTCCTTTCATCTGAAGAGAAATTAAAAACATGTCCTGTACAGCACTGTCAACAGCTGTCACGCTATTTTCTCGGCTTCGACTCTCAGACCTATGTTTTTTGAGTTCAGACAAATTCAATGATGGGGTCCCTGAAGGATATCTATTTGATGTCAGTGAGGAAGATGAACCAGAGTTTACATTTGGTAAGTTTGTTGATGAATTTTCATGATCATAGTTCTGAGACCGCTGAGAATCATCATGATTGAGTTCATAAGGTTTGTCTGGCACTGACTGGTCCCTGTTTTGTGGAATGTCAGGTTTTTGATTTCGTTTGTTGAAGGAGCTCCGTCGTGAGACATCTTTTCCTCCAACACTCCGTGAGCTTCTTTCGCTGTCTTCCCTCCTGATTTCCTGTCGTATGATGTTCGGTTTTTCTTGTTGATGTTTTTCTTGTTGATGTTTTTCTTGTTGATGTCTTTCTTGTTGATGATCACTCCTTGGACGATTTTTGTCAACTTCATCATCAATAATCAACTCGACATCATCGATATTTGTGGTCTGTGCGTTCTCTTTATCCTCCTCCTAAAGAAAATATAAGATTATATACCACATAAATTAATTGTAGTACAATCATGGTACAGGAATATATAAAAATGTGGAAATTGTGTAAAATCAGGATTAAACAAGGAATTATTTGAATCAGGAATAATTTTGAATTCTGGAGAATTTATAAGAAATGTATGAAGAACAAGAATGTGTCCATAGTACACGGATGCACCACTCGCACTATCATTTTCTATGTTCAGTGGACCATGAAATTGGGGTCAAAACTCTAATTTGGCATTAAAATTAGAAAGATCGTATCATAGGGAACATGTTTACTAAGTTTCAAGTTGATTGGACTTCAACTTCATCAAAAACTACCTTGACCAAAAACTTTAACCTGCCCACTCGCATTATCATTTTCTATGTTCAGTGGACCGTGAAATTGGGGTCAAAACTCTAATTTGGCATTAACATTAGAAAGATCATATCATAGGGAACATGTGTACTAAGTTTCAAGTTGATTGTACTTCAACTTCATCAAAAACTACCTTGACCAAAAACTTTAACCTGAAGCGGGACAGACAGACGGACGAACGGACAAACGAATGGACACACAGACCGAAAAACATAATGCCCCTAGGTGGGGCATAAAAATAACCAAACTAAAGAAAGAGGGTTATCCATGGCGCATGGCTAAAGTTATTTTACTTTCACTGATATTTCAGTACGTATGAACTAACCTAATTGGGTTAGTTTTCATCATTCATTTCTTATCAATTTTCCATAATTCAATAAATGTGGAAAGTGTCCACATGTGGACACAGATGATGCCCCCGCTTGCATATCATATATTTTTAAAGGGACATAACTGAAGAACGGAAAAAGTGACACTACCCAAATTTGAACTTGATCTGAGTTTTGTGGTAATAAGCATTGTGTGTAAGTCTCATAACATTTGGTTGAGGCTAACTTAAGTAGAGAACAGAAACTAAAAATTCAGCAATTTTTCGATTTATAAACACACATAAATCTAGAAGGGTTTTGTATAAGTTTTATAACATTTGGTTGAGACAAACTATATTAGAGAACGGAAACGAAAAATTCAGCAATTTTTCTGTTTATAAAGGGACATAACTCAAGAATGGTAAAAGTGTCACCACCAAATTTCGTACTTACTCTGTATTATGTAGTAAAAAGCATTGTGTATAAGTTTCATAACATTTGGTTGAGGCAAACTCAAGTTAGAAAACGGAAACAAAAATTTTGTACTTGATCTTAGTTTTGTGGTAATGAATATTGTGTATAGGTTTCATAATGTTTGGTTGGGGCAAACTTAAGTTACAGAATGGAAACTAAAAATTTTGCAATCTTTCAATTTATAAAGGGGCATAACTCAATAATGGTTAAAGTGACACTACCCAAATTCAACTTGATCTGTGTTTTATCAGTGGAAGTCAAAATTAAACATTGCATTGTATAAAGCATTGATTGTAGTTGATTCAACTATAATCATGGACAAAGGAAGATAACTCCAATTTTTTGTAAAAATTACTTGATATTTATTAGAAAATAAAAATTTAGCAATTTTTCCATTTATAAAGGGCATAACTCTAGAACTGTTAAAGTGACGCCACCAAAATTCAAACTTGATCTGTGTTTTGTGGTAATAAGCATTGTGTATAAGTTTCATATCATTTAATTGAGGCAAACTTAAGTTAGAGAACGGAAACTAAAAATTTTGCAATTTTTCCATTTATAAAGGGGCATAACTCTAGAACAGTTAAAGGTTGCACTTTGTAAATAGAGCTGTTTCTCAAACCACGCCTCTTTTGGGGAGATATAGAATATTAATAGATAATTAATTTTGTTTACATACTGGTTCCCAGTTATGATCTCTATGTTTCATCTCATAGTGACATAACTTGGGAATGTTACCAGTAAATCTACATATGCATATTGTTTATATTGAAATCTGTGGTAATCCTACAGTCAAGGTAGGGATAGTTAAGAAATTTAGTGTTAGTTTAAACTCTTAGAAGTTCGGGGCATATAAACGTTGAAAATATGCCGCACAGCCCTATATTTTGACCTTCGAAAAAAATTGTACTGCATATGAAATTTCCATTCTAGGATATGATTTTTTTCAAAACTTCATAGTAAAAGTGGTACAGTTTTAGCCGTAAAAGGAGTTCCTATGGGAAATTGCATTGTCAATATTTACAGAAATGCAACCTATATTGGGTGAAAAAAAAAGAACATACAGAATTTAACCAAATTTGGTTTAACTCACAGATTTGAAAGAAATTAACTCAAATATGAAGTTTTATAAATATTTCATGAAGATTGAGAAAATCCTGGGCCTTAACTATGATGACTCAGCATAAATTCACAGTTTACACTATGCATAGTTTACTTAAAGCCCTGAATGCAAAATAAATTCATAATATATGCATATTGGTAAGTTAAATTGTTTAGAAGATGCTTATATTTACTCTTCACAGTCATTGAAACTCATAGATCCTTCCTGAATATTATTGGTGGGGTGTTTTTGTCCTGTCGATAACCCAAAAGTAAGCCGTAACGCCTAAATCTGCTTTTTTGTCACCGCGGTATAAAAAATACAAGCTAGAAATACAAAAATATCTCAACAAAACTTACAATAGTGTGTGTTCTATCCTGAATATGTACTAAATATTCCATATTGCTAGAAACAGCAGAATAATTTAGAAAATTTGAGGCCCCAGGGGCAAAAAACAGAGAAAATTGCCTACCCCCTGGGTCATAAAACAAATTATTTAACTTGTAAATGCTATGATTTTATGATTTTAAAGGTCTTTATACAGAAAACAATAACTGTGCTTGGAAGTTATGCAAATATCAAATGTTAGCAGTCATTCCTATAAAATTTTAAGTGAATTTATACATCAGACGGGTTATTCCCGATTGTCCCACTTTTTAAAATTTTAGAGTTCTGATTGTCCCACATGAAAAGTTCTGATTGTCCCACATTATTTTATGAAGTAAAATGTTCTTAGATAAACAATGTAACTGTTGTTTGTTTTGCTAAATAAACAAGAATTAATTTATTGCACATTTATTATTAATTTTATAGAAGTATAAAAAAAATGTTTTTTAAATCATTAGATTAATGCACTTTTGATTAAAAAAAAATTATTTCTGATTTATGAAATATATCTACAATGTTACGTTATTTATAAAACAAATTTCAATACCGTAATTTTAATTATACATTTTCTCTAAAGTTTTTGAATAAATAATGCATGCAATTTAAAAAAAAAAAAGGTATAAACTCATTTACATTGTACACTTTACACGAACTTGTTGATGGAGAGATTTTTCCAGAAGACTTTACAATTTTACTAGGGAAGTCAGAGGACATTAATACAACATTCTCTGCACTATTGAAGACTACTAACACCCAACGTCAGATTCACCTGAACCCAACAACTTCCTTTTTTTGATAACGAAGCTGTTGTCTAGAATTCTGCCAGATCAGCCTTTCTAAGAATCAATATCAAAGGTTGTTTTTCCAATATTCCCAGTGTCTTTGCCATAAAGTGCAGTCAACAGGACTCGTCACCAACTATAAAGAAGAACCAGACTTCCATAAAAAAAAAGATGTGGTATGATTTCCAATGAGACAACTCTCCAAAAAAGACTAAATGACACAGAAATTAACAACTATAGGTCACAATACGGCCTTCAACAATGAGCAAAGCCCATACAGCAGAGTCAGCTTTAAAGGTCCCATATGAAAAATGTAAAAAAATTCAAACTAGAAAAACTAATGACCGAATTTATGTACAAAATAATGAACAAAAAACAAATGTGTTACACAGTAACAAACGACAACCACTGAATTACAGGCTCCTGACTTGGGACAGACACATACAGAACGTGGCGGGGTTATACTTATTTGAAGGCGCCAATCCTCCCACTAACCTGGGACAGTGATGTTACAGTACAACATAAGAATAAACTAAAAAAAATAAGTTGAAAAAGGCTTGTCTCATCAGATGGGTACAGACAGAAATACATTTAACAAATCACAGAGTGGACATGGACGTGGGCGGCTACTTATACATCCCCACAACAAAGACAGTAAGTACAGATCTTAGAGTATTCGCAGTTACTGACAGCTAGTTCAAAGCCAATAAAAACTAATTAAAAAAATCATGCATCTAAGACTAAAATTTTATGATTTCATATTATATTCCATGTTTGATTATACTTCAATTGTTCCTACTACATGTATGTGCAAAATATAATATGTTAGTATTATTATTTGTTCATGTTTTTTTTCATATTTTATAAGTTACAGTGATTAGTAACTTGTAATTAACTGACACAGACTATAAAAACAAATTAATCACTATCAAAACAATTCCCAATTGTCCCACATTTAAACTTCCCAATTGTCCCACAAACATATTCCCGATTGTCCCACAAAATTTCATTACTTTTTTACCTGTAATTTCAAAAAGTGGGACAATCGGGAAGACACCTTGGATACTTTATATAATCTTGAATGTTGGAATGATTGACTGCTAAACATTACATTTACAGTATTCTGAAATGCTTTCAATATGTTATCAGAACAGTTTTAAACAGGTTCTAGGCATTTCGTGTCAGAAAACATGCAAATAGGGTAAGCTGGCAATAATTAAAGTCTTGTTTTCAAATTCTTTAAAAAATTGAAACAGGGGAGGGGGTATAAAATGTACAGTAAAAGAAAACTTAAGGGAACAGAAACTAAAAATTTTGCAATTTTTCCATTTATAAAGGGGCATAACTCTAGAACGGTTAAAGTGATGCCACCAAAATTTAAACTTGATCTGTGTTTTGTGGTAATAAGCATTGTGTATAAGTTTCATAACATTTGGTTGAGGCAAACTCAAGTTAGAGAACGGAAACCAATTTCAGGACGTACGTTCGTACGTACGTACAGACGGACAAGGATAAAACTTAATGCCCCCACTGCTACGGCGGGGGCATAAAAACATTCCAGATTCATATAATTCCCTGTTTTTATCTGCTCACTAAGAAATTTTTCAAAAATCAAACCTTCAATATTTATTTGAAAGGTCTGGGCTTTGTAACTGAAGCAATTTTTTTTCAATTTAGAATAAAAGCAAAGATAAGAAAGCGCTGCTCACAACATTAATTATGTGCCTGTCCCAAGTTAGGAGTCTGTAGTTCAGTATTGTTATAAATTAGGCCTTTAGTTTTCTCAATTGAATTGTTTCATATTTTTCATGTCGGGGCCTTTAATAGTCGACTATAAGGTATGGGTTAATTGTTGAAGGCCGTACGGTTGCCTATAATTGCTTAAACCCACTTTATTTGAACTTTGGTGGATAGTTGTCTCATTGGCAATCATACCACATCTCCTTATTTTTATATAGAAACTCATCTCAAGGACATGTTATAAATATCATTTCACTAATTCTCTAAGTGACCCATTATGATAGTGAATCTAGAAATACATAGTCTGCTCTGGTGATTTGTGATGTTTCATCAGTACATTTTATTAATGTCTACACCATTTCCAATCATTTATTTACAGATATTTCAAGTTATCAATGCAGTGCTTAATTATATCAAAGACAGAGCTAAAATTCAAGACAAAAACATGTGAATTTCTTTTTGGTCTATTTTTTAATATTTGTTTAGTTCAGAAACATTGGTTAATTGCTCATCTGCAATGAATTTCTGTGATTATGCTTAACTTACCTATAAACATCTGTTTATTAGAATTTTTTTGTTGTTAGAAAAGGTATGCTTAAAAGAAGATGCTTTCATAAATTCTATAAAAATATCAAGTTTTGGTAATACATTGGTCCAGAAATCTTCCACTTGAAGGTTCAGATATGTTTTTCTAAAAATGCATGCATTAAAAATAATAAATGCCTGCATGCCGAAGTCAAATTGAACTGCTATCATTAGCTGTTTTTTAGCTGTTATTTACCAGTTCTTCATATTTTTAGCAGTCTTTCAGCAGTTCTTAGCAGTCTATCTAATAGCAGTTTGAAAAACCGCCTTATTTCACCATTTCTTAGCATTCGTCTTAGCAGTTTGGATACCTTCTAAAACTGCTGTCAATTTGTCAATTGGACAACAGTTATGACAGCAGTTCGATAGCAGTTTAGGTTTTAATCTTTGTTATAAAAATGCTTGGATCTGGCTGTGTTTTCAGCTTGATAGTAAACCTTTATTTGAAGATTATTTGATCATTTTCAAATGTGCATTTTGGCTCCAAACAGTGTGTAAATACTTGCTGGTGAAAAACTGTATTTTTGTCAAATACAGTTTAATTTAGGCTAAATGGAATACTTTCACACACCTGCAGTACAGTAAGTTGAAGTTACAGATAATGCATGTTTATTTTCTGGCATAACTTTGTAGGGGAAAACACAAATCATACAGAAAGCCCCAAAAAAGGGGGATAGTTGTTTATTCACATAGAATATCTGATGTTTACAGGATTGTAATAAAATACTAGCATATACTTACAGTGCAAGATGTTATTTGAAAATAAAAATATGAATATTTTAATATAATTTTGTAAAAAAAGAAAAACAAATCATATTGAAGAGTTGAAAAAAGGGGGAGGGAATATTAGGGGAAACCTAGGCCGCAAATAGCTGATCGGTTAATATTGACCAAACAATCAATTTAATGATACAATGAAGTTAATATATGTAACTAAGGTTTGTTTAAGAAATTGAAACATAATAATTATTGCATGTATTAAGAAATTTTTTTGTTTAAATCCAAAAGAGAAATTAAGAGGAGATAACTGTTGTCTTTTGGTTCACGTAAAATATATATAGAGAGAGAGAAATTAGTAATACATTTGGTATTTAAATATTAATTAAAAAGAAATAACTTTTAATCTGAAAATCACTTAGTCAAGGTAATAAATAGTCTCTAGTAACCACTCTTATTGAATAAGTTGCTTTTTATAAGCACTGATATTTAAAGTGCATTAATTCTTAACTGTTCCTATTATTTGGCCACTGACATAATTAATAAGGGGTCTAAGGCCAGGTACTCACAAAACATGTTTACACACCCCTTAACAAGTCTGTTATTGGATTAAAAAAGAGTCATTTGATTGCAGTTACTGCTCAAATCACAAATATAAGTTGGTACAACTTTTTAAAATTTCAACAAGAATTACAGTAAAATATTAGCATTTTATTTTTGCATTCATATCTTGTACACTGTATATTCATGTACCTTTGTATTCCAACTTTTGACAGATCTGATAGCATTCCATAGCAGTTATTAGCAGTTTAGAAAACCATATTAGGATGTACAACTTAGCAGTTTGTATGAATATTCATTATTGATAGCTGTTATTATAGCAGTTCTCATGAATATTCAGAGAAGATAACAGTTTTGGGGTATCTCATTTAAATTTTTCATCAAAAATAACTGCTAAATAACTGTGAAGGCTAAATAAACTGCCAAGAAACTTCTATGGAATGCTATTTGAATGCCTATATGCAAATTAACCATTGCCTTGAATTTGGCAACTGTGAATGCTAATGAACTGCTAAAGAACAGCTGTCAAGTAAGAACTGTGAATGCTAATAAACTGCTTAAGAACTGATGTCCTCTTTGACTTGGGTGGTGCAATATAACATACTTTGATTTTCCGAATCAATATATGACATTACTGGACATACTTCATTGATGGATTGGTCTGTCCAATCAGAATCAGTATATGACATAACCAGACATATTCCTTTGACAGATTGGTCTGTCCAGACTAACTTTACATTTACATTTTCGACTGCATTGTTGGTTCGCCTTTGAACATATTGAATTTTTTCAACCATAGAAATTCGAATAAATAATATGCTCAACTACATTGGTATTGCCTCCAAATATACCCTGATATACAATATTAGTAAAAATTCAATCCACCAATTGAATGTAAGGATTTTACAATTCAGTGCAGTTAATACTTACATCTAAATCATTTTTTCCCCAACCAAAATGCATAGCTTCTTCTTTAGCCTCTTTCATAAACAGCTGACTCTTCTCACCTCTCATGCTACTTCTTCTGATAGAGGCACTGAAAAGACAAAATATATATTATCTGATACTACTTCTTCTCATAGACAATTATAAATATGTCAATGCTTTTTTCCATCAATAATGCTGTCAATTTTGCATAATAATTATCCTGATAGATGTGCTGAAAGTAGAACAACAAAAGAAACTGAATTGCCTCACCTTATATATCATTAGATCATCTGTCTCATCAACAAAAACTCATTGAATAGTTCTAACTTAAATCGTTTTATTTTTTCATTCATATTTAAGTTTTCAAAGGTCTTCCAAGTTTATAATTTTAGCAGGTCCATAAACATCAATAAAAAGTGTTAATAACAATCATATTTTATAATTCTTAAAAAGATACACGCCTAAGTACAAATATGCCATTATTCAGTATATGGGTGAGATATACTTTCTAACAAAATATTATGGAGGTTCATGCATGTAGCTAATGTTATCTGAAAAGTCACAATGACACTGATAAAAGATGCCAAAACTTGTTAATTTTTTATTAATATGGTGATTCACATTTTTCATCAAATAATTTTAAATACTTCACTTAAACTTTTAGATACTACACGACCAAGATTGACCTTTTGTGTGAACTATACAAGGTATTGTAAAAGCAAAAAGAAAAATTCAATACTTTTATAATTGATAGTCATCCTAAATAAATGCTTCAGGCCGTTAGTTTTCTCATTTTAATGTTTTGCATTTGTTGTTTTAGGGCCTTTTATAACTTGCTGTGTGGTAAAGGTTTTGCTCATTGTTGAAGGCTGTACAGTGACCTATAGTTGCTCACCTTCTACATCATTTGGTCTTTAATCTTTAGCAATTTAAAGAAGGTTAAAGTTCTAAAGTTTATAACAGGACAAAATTTAAAACACTGGTTACTGTATTATCAAACTACAGTAAAACACTTACAGCAATATTTAATGTGTTTATAATTTGAAAAGTAACTAACTGTTTTCTCCATCTATAATATATATATCTTTATCACAAAATTACAAAAATAAATTTACCTTTTAAGCCACAAGATTAGTGATTTGATGACTTGATGGAAGGTGATGACAAGAATAAAATCTACCGGTAATCAAATATGTTATACAGATATATATATACCCGGTATACTATTTTATGTTTTAATGTTTCTATGCAAATACAGCTTTTCAATATTGGTTTTAGGGACACTAATTTTACATCATGCTAAGTTGATTGTAGTTTTAACCATGCTGTGAGTTTGATACACAAGTTTTTTATATGTGAAATGAAGACTCAAATTTTAAACCAAAATCCGTTTGACTTCACCAAATGTTAATGTGCATGTCAATGGTCAGAAATCTTGTAAGTTATTGTCAGACTGACTGATTTTCTCATTAGATATTTGGCATCAGTCCTATGATTCACAGTGCATTTAGAGGTTGACCAAATATATGGACACTTTTATATCTTTCAGGAGTGTTTATGTCTTTTTATTTTGCATTACATGTATTGTTGGGTACCTGTCTTCTACAGTATACTTTTATTACTTATACCATTTATTTATTCCATTTATATATAATCAAAGCACTTGTCAGTACTGAGGGATAAAGATTGCATTCATTATGCATTACAAACTGCATTGTATTAAGCAATGGAACAAATTCAGGCAATATTTTGAGTAACTTTCCTTTGTCCATAATTGTAGCTTAGACAAATATATCAAAATGCTATGCGCTACTTTGTGCAACTTAAGTTATTTTTACTAAAATAGTTTTATTGGTCAAGAATGGTTATACATATAATTTTGTAACTGGAATATCTGAGTTTATATTACTGATAAATTAATTGACATGGGCATGTAAAACTCTGTAAAGAAAACTTTTACTGGTGTTTTAATGTTATGCCATGACTGAGTGTATATGACTGAGTGTATATTGACTGAGTGTATATGACTGAGTGTATCTATCACCAAATTGTAGTGTTATACCACAGTGTTTCTATCACCATGTTGTACATTTTATGCCACAGTGTTTCTATCACCATGTTGTACATTTTATGCCACAGTGTTTCTATCACCATGTTGTACATTTTATGCCACAGTGTTTCTATCACCATGTTGTACATTTTATGCCGCAGTGTTTATATCACAATGTTATATCTATCTTATGCCAGACATATTTTTTTTTATTTCTGACTTCATTTTGAATGTAGTATGATTCTTTTTGTGTTTACCCTGGGCTTGCAGAGGACATTATATTTTTTCAAAACAATGCTGACAAGGAATGACTGATGTCAAGTTATGGATGGACCTTTCAGTCATGTGATAAATGGAGTACTGTGAAAAAGAATAGTTAGTATAAACAATTATATAACATAAATACTACTAACCAACAAAATAATAAGTCAAAAGTTAGATAAACATAAAGCTCATTCCAAACGTATAACATAAAATGAAAGAATATAACAAAAAACACATTCCAACGAAAAAATATAGGGATACCTATGGGAATGATCCGAAGAATGCCTGAAAAGAAGGAACATTTATTACTACATTTAAAAAAAATCATGAATAAAGGCTTTCTAGATGATTGACCAATGTAACTGACTTGTGATGAATTACTCTATATCATAATTTAAAATACTAAAGCTATGACAAAGTATATACCATCTGTCTAATCATGATGACTGACAAATAACTATACAAAAACAACTGTAGTATTTTTGTCATCTAATAGTTTATTAGTCTATTGGTGATGCATTTGACTACAGTCATGAAAATGTGTGATTATTTTACCATCTATGTTATACTACTTTTACATATTCATGATTACATTTATTAAATGTGCATATTCATGATGATATTAACTAAATTTGCATATTCATGATGATATTTACTGATTTGCATATTCATGATGACATTGACTACAGGTATGACAATGCATGATTATATTTGCATCTAAGTGAAAATAAGTTTGTCCTTTCATGGATTTTGTATTTTAAATGATAATGTAGGACAGTTTTGGCAGTTTAAAAATTACTTGCAGAATTGCACACAATGTAAGAAGATTGGCACTTTAGAATGACTTGCAGAAATGCACACAATGTCATTAGATTTGCACTTTAGAATGACTTGCAGAATTGCACACAATGTCATAAGATTGGCACTTTAGAATAACTTGCAGAATTGCATACAATGTCATAAGATTGGCACTTTAGAATGACTTGAAGCATTGAACACAATGTCATAAGACTGGCACATAAGAATGACTTGCAGCATTGAACACAATGTCATAAAATTGGCACTTTAGAATAACTTGCAGCATTGTACACAATGTAATAAGACTGGCATAAAAGAAGGACTTGCAGCATTGAAAACAAAGTCATAAGATTAGCACTTTTGACTGATTTGCAGCATTGCACACAATGTCATAAGATAAGCACTTTTGATTGATTTGCAGCATTGCACACAATGTCATAAGATTAGCACTTTTGATTGATTTGCAGTATTGCACACAATGTCATAAGATTGGCACTTTTGAATGACTTGCAGCATTGTACACAATGTCATATGATTTGTACTTTAGAATGACTTGAAGCATTGAACACAATGTCATAAGACTGGCACATAAGAATGACTTGCAGCTTTGAACACAATGTCATAAAATTGGCACTTTAAATTAACTTGCAGCATTGCACACAATGTCAAATGATTGTCACATGAAAATGACTTGCAGCATTATATACAATGTCAAATGATTGGCACATTAGAATGACTTCCAGCATTGTATACAATGTCATATAATTTGTTCTTTGGAATGACTTGCAGCAATGCACACAATGTCATAAGATTGGCACTTTAGAATGACTTGCAGCATTGTACACAATGTCATATGATTTGTACTTTAGAATGACTTGCAGCAATGCACACAATGTCATAAGACTGGCACTTTAGAATGACTTGCAGCATTGTACACAATGTCATATGATTTGTACTTTAGAATGACTTGCAGCAATGCACACAATGTCATAAGACTGGCAATTTAGAATGACTTGCAGCAATGCACACAATGTCATAAGACTGGCATTTTAGAATGACTTGCAGTAATGCACACAATGTCATAAGACTGGCACTTTAGAATGACTTGCAGCATTGTACACAATGTCACCAGATATTGATAGGCACAGGAAATAAAAATTAAATATTCCAATAATTCCAAGATTTTTAAACTTTAATATATGTATAAGCCTGCCTTCAGGTTCAGGATTTTCTCGCTGTGTTGAAGACCCATTGGTGGCCTTGGGCTGTTTTCTGCTCTTTGGTCGGGTTGTTGTCTTTGAGGCATTCCCTGTTTCCATTCTCAATTTTATTGTTAAAAATACAAGGATTGACTTCAAGAATTTTAGAATCCATGTAAATTAAAATCTTAATGATAGCCTATTTGACAAGACCCTATCAAATGTAACTAAATAAATAAATGAACAAGCATCAACATTAAATCAAATAAATAAACAGTGAATCTAAATCAGCACTTCAGGTCTAAATGAACATGTACACATAGAACATAATCATAAATAAGTCAATACAACACATGTAGCAGATAGCAGCATTATGTAGATAGAAGTTCTCTGTGATTTCTTATTTATAAGGGTATAAAAGGAACTGATCTTGTAGTATTGCCACATATAGAAAATGATCAGTGATATGAAAACTGTTTTAAGAGTTATTTTATTTTGAAAAAGTTTGAAATTTTTTTTCCATGCGATTTCAAAGGAAAAAGAAATTTGAAACATGCCAATTAGAATCTAAAATTGCATCTTTATGACGATGACTTTTATCAATCAGAACTAACTACATAATTTTCATAAAACAATTACATGAATTATTCCTGTCAAGTTTATTTTAATTTGGCCAATCAATTACAGAAAAGATGAGTACAAAAGATAGTAGATGTTCAACTTGCTATTTGGACTGAAAATGAGGCAAGTAAATCAGTATATCTAAAACCAATATAAACAGAGAAAATCCACCTTTAGAAAGTTTACATAAATACAATTATTATATCATGCAGCTATTAGTTATATTGTCAACAAAAATAGAACAACTAAATCATTCAGTTAGATAAACAGTCCATGCCAAAATCATGCTGAAGAAATATGACATTCTACTTTAGGTTGTCAAATTTTGCCCTTGCTTTTAACTGGATGTGTCAATCATGCAAACTAATACAGGTGTTGAAAACAATATAACAGTATGAGAAAAAATTAAAGAGGTACTTAAGAGTATAATAATTTGTAATTAAGAGTAAGACCAAGGGAACTATAAAAATTCAGAGGTCCCGGGTACCGTCCATTTTGAAATCATTACAAAAAGTCATTTGCCTTTAGAAAACAAATAGAATTTGAATTTCCCATTATCCGCCGTTTATTTGGGTACTTAGAATCTTAATGAATGACGTTAAGCATGAGGATTACTGCAAATTTATTGGAATTCCCTAAAATCAGATGTGTATTTCTATAAATAAATTAGGATTCCCACTAGGACTGGCATGTGACGTACAACACTATTAATATCTTAGGGATACTCTTGATGTATATTTCTACAAGTATAATTAATTTCCCTGGGTTCAGATTATATGACTTTGATTAACTTAGGTATTCCCTTGATTCAGATGCATATCACAATATATAACACAGAATTCCCTTGACTTGTGTGTATAACTATAAATATATTAGGATTCCCTTGACTGCATGCTCCTAGTCGTCAAAACATCATGTGCAGCTATTGGAATTTTACATCTGAAAGAATGTTCAGTTCACTGATTTTACTGTTCTAATGGAAAGACAAAGAATATCTCCTTAATATGCAGGGTCCCCTTTCTATATCAAAGCCACACTTTTTTACAGTTGAAACACTGATTAAAAGATATGAAAATTAGTTAGCAGTTGAACTATAACCTTTAATATACAGGTAAAAAACAAGCAACCACATTAACCACACAGAATAGTTTACAAAGTAGATTTTTCCAATAATTTATCATTTGATTTTATGCACAGATAACCAAATGGTTAATACAGTAGAAGATCAATTTCTAGAACAAACAAGAATTCATTTCTGCAACTGTATATTTCAAATGTTTGAAAAATAAGAATGAAATGATTCTTTCCCAATATTTTTGACACAGCTGATGAGACTATGTTTTATTCTGAGTGGTGATAACTGCACATGACAGAATGACTTAGATGTTACGTTAGCCACAGTTAAATGAAGGTTACAGTGATGTCACCTGTGATGGAGACCATGAGACCGAGGCTCGTTCAATGAACTAGTGGAGCTATACATCGTGCTCGAACTACCTAAGCTGAAAAATTACAACACACATATAAAGATATTAGTCCCTTAATATGCTAAACTTTTATGTAAGGAGAAAATTACCAAGTAAGTGGCTGAATACAAATACCTGCATACGGATTGTATATAAATATGTAAGGGAGATAATTCCTACTTTCACTGGGAAAAATCCCATCCATAATCCTTATTGTTCCATAAAAGCTTAACTGTAATTTGCATGAATATGTAAAATATTCATGTTTCAATCTTGAAATATGTTTATCTTGTAAGTCAATTATGAAAATCCTGGGTCAAAACAGAAATCCCATAACAATTTAATTGTTAAAAATTCTGAGCACCCAATAAAATTTCAGCAAAATTTAAATCAGTCCTGTAAAAATAAGCTGAAATCTTCAGGGCGCAAGATTTACATTTATTTGACTACATCCAAACTCATAACGGTGCAAATTATATTTTCTTGCAATTGGTCAATCTTATCTAATTTTTAAAAAATACAATGTGTCGAAACTTTAATTCTGAGGTAGAACTCAGGTAAATCTAAGGTTAAGTTAATACAAACAATCTGGTTCACATTAGAAACATTGATACCAATTTCTAGGTAAAATTCAAACTGAACTGACCAGCTGTAAGTAATTGAGTTAACACCTTTATAAGTTTGGGTGTAAAATACATAAATAATAATAAGTGTACTACCCTTTATATGTATTAATTGATAAACAGTACACTGCAAAGTAACTTCATTCAAGGGAAACTAATTCTCAAGGATTCATTAATATTAATATCATTGGTGAGTCTATTAGTTAATTTAAACCAAAAATATAAATATTGAATCAAATTTTTCTACGGATTTGTTTAAACAGTCTGAAACTAAAACAGGCTTTTCCAGAATTAAAAATAAAAAACATGGTGATGACCAATCATCCAATTTTCGTTGAAGTGCTTACTGATTGTCCTAAATATGTATGAAGTATTTGCCACTTGACATTAAGCAACCAGCAATCAATCAATCAATTTAATCCTCCAATACAATTATGTCTGATTGCTTAATGTTGTTAGCTTAATGTCCAGTGGCAAATATTTCAAACAAATTCAGGACAACCAATTATTTCTGGAAAACCTAAATGATAAATCCCACAAAATATTACCCCTCCAATGAAAGTACTTTTAAAGTAAGAGAAGCATTAGTTTATGTTTATTTATGATCAGCTCAGTGTTAAGTCGTCAGTTAACGAGTAGCTATTGAAGATCTGAAAAGTAGGTGACATAAAACTGTGGAGAATTGTCCAATAACATCAAGACAACCATACTCACTTAGAAGACCCACTCCTAAAAAGACATATAAAAATGGATGGTGCAACAAAATGAGCTAATAAAGGAATTATTTTGTGGGGTAAAAACTTTCACAGATTTTTGTATTTGTGAACAATATCATCTTCGTATCCAAAATCATCTTCATATTAAAAAATTAGATGTATCTTTATTTTTTTCTTGCTATATGCTGCAATGTTATAAAACTTAATATTTTTCAAATATGCTTTTAAAAAGCATGAGAAATTAGTGCACAGATACTATTGATATCTTTCTCAGAGATAAAAAAAAAAAAAATAAATAACTTAAAAAATGTATGTAAAAAACAAAAACATATAAATATTTTTTTCTGAAAGTTGTTGCCTAAGCTTTGCTGTGAAAATTGATAACCCACATACAAAGGTACCCCTGGTTTGGTTCACCAGTACTACAAACATTGGTTAATTGTCAGTCTATACAGAGCCCAAATAACCATCATTAAAAAAGACTAATAATAAAAAAACAAACTTTTAATATAGATGTTAATAAATGATATGAAAGTGCTATCAAAATGGGCATGAAATGCTTGTTAATGATAACTACGATCCTCAAAATTATTTCCTAAGTTTGTTTATTATAATATGGTTATCAAGTTTACTTGATAAATTTTATGAAATCATATGCTTTTTCATGCAAAATAAATAATACGTTCTGAATAATATAAAGTTATTAATATTTCTTCTTGGCATATAAAAGCATGAATGAGCAAATTCTACAAAAACTGCATGCTAACAAATTTACATACTGTTACATAAAAGATTTCAAATACATTTTATGCTTTTAGCAGTAGAAGGACATGAAGTGCACATTTATAATAATAGATTATCTCCCCTTTTTTTAATATTTTCTAATTTTTCTATTGGCCTAAGATTATTTTGTGTGTTTATATTTTAATGCTGGTGGTTCCAAAAATAATTATGATGTCTTATTTTGTGTTATATCTTGTGCACTTGTTTGTTTTGAATAATAAATGTTATAGTCATTGCCCACCTTTGACTTTTAGTCCCCTTAAATATCTGATTCTATTTTGGTACAATTTCCTTTTCTTATTTTGAAGTTCTATCATTATCAATCATATTTCTTAACTTTCAAATTTCTATGGTTCCATTCAAAATAATGAAAAATGAATGAGCATGAGGAAAAATATATCCTTTATCCAAAACCACCCTAAATGAACTAATAAATACTAAAAACATGACAAGACACAATGAAACGTGTACTTGACACAAAACAAAACACTGATATGGTTATAATCTGCGGGTATAAACTTACGATCGTGAGGTTTGATGTTTTGCACGTTTGGTACTACCAGATGATCGACTGGCCTTTTTATTTTCTAGGTCATCTTTCAAGTCTAAAATCTTCTGTTTCATTTCAGGATCTTCACACAAATCTGAGAAAAATTATAAAATTTGAATTTGACTTCAATCAATTAATAGTTAATAAATTATGAATTAAAAAGTAACTAATATATCTTTATAGTATTTGTAATTATAATTGTCATGTCTATACAATGATAGAAAGGTTATTTTATCAACTGATTTCCCAAAATAAATTGTGAAAGGATAAGTCTTATTATATGTTATTTGGATACCAAATTTATTTTCCTATTCATATATTTGTTATCAATGCTTTAATCATATCAATACAAAACCTTGGTTATTCTTTTATTCATTTTGGTTTCCAAAGGAATAAGTTCGGTATGGGTCATATTTGGCCCAGATTATTATGTTCGATGTTTCAGGATAAAAAATGTTTTAAGTTGTTAAAAGACATGCGAGTAAGTTAAATAGAACTATTTTTGTCAAGTTTTATTCTGAAGCGTTGATGTTTTTACATCCAAAATAGGTCATCAATGGTGATTTTGCAAAATTTGACAAAATCATACTGATTTCAACCAAATTAAGGCCTAGGAAACATAGAGTGCAGGTGTCAACAAACTAAATATTTAAGTCAGATATGTAAAATTGTCGACACCAGTCCTGCGCTCTATATTTCCTGTCCAAGAAATCAATGGAAATTTGCCTGTTTTCATTGATTTTCTTGGAAAATCAAAAAGATTGCTATTTGTGACATCTTGAATAGAACATAAGTATGTTATCTTAATTTTAAATTTAAGCTAGAAATAGGGGCCAGTTTAGGGCCTTATCAAACCTACTCCTTTGTTTAAGTAAAATTTTGATATGATTTTCCTGTTTTTGAAAATTGTCTGCAGATCTTTTTTTCCCCAACCTATTTTTACAGATTCCATTTTATTTTTTTCTAAATTAGCCATATATCATCCTTGGAATTTGTCAATGCTTAAGACAGATTGATTAACTTTTTGTGTTTTGTTATCCATCAAAAAAAGAAAAAGTGAAACGATCTAACAATTTATTTTAGTGCATACATCTTTGGATATCTTCTTTTTTATCTATTGGTTACAAAACATTTAGATATCCAAACCATAACATTTCCTAATCAATAAAAATATTGCATGCTTTAAAACATTTATTTCGACTTTTTAAGGAAGTATTCAATCATCAGTAAACTTGGTCATATTGCAGTTCGTTACGTTTGTTTCTTTGATTGGGATTAACATTATTTTCTACAAATTGGTACAATTAAGTGGTGGTCAGCTTCATTGGTAGAGAAAACCAGAGTGGCCACAGTAAACAATTGACCATTGGTAAGAAAAATATATCATTGGTTAGTTAACATCTAGATCAATACAACATATCCCCATTAGGGTAAGGGTTCTAAACTTGTTTCACCATTTGCAATAGTAACATGGCCTACCTTACATATAAGTAGGTGGTTAATTTCTAAACTAGCGGAAGAGAGACGTATTACCAACATTTACACTGGTTTCTTTAACCAAAAAAACTTTCATGAAATTTAACAATCAAAAAAAAAAAAGAAAATGAATGTTTGATAAATACCAAAAGGTGTTTCTCCATTCCGTGTTTTGGCATCTATGTCTGCACCATTTTTAACTAAAAGTTCCAAAACATCTTGCTGAAAAGAAAAAATATTAATTATGAAATGTAAATTAGATGGAATTCTATATAACTGTCATACAAGTGAGAGGTTTAGCTAGCTATAAAACCAGGTTTAATCCACCATTTTCTACATAAGGAAATGCCTGTACCAAGTCAGAACTATGATAGTTGTTTTCCATTCGTTTGGTGTGTTTGAGCTTTTGATTTTGCAATTTGATAAAGAACTTTTCTGTTTTGAATTTTTCTTGGAGTTCGGTATTTTTATTATTTTACTTTTTAATTCATGCAAACTATCCTGGAAAGTTGAAGTTTTGTTTTCAAACAGTCATATACTGTAATATATAACAACTTTTTATTTGTCTTTCTAAAACTAGACATGTTTTTTCAGTTAGTTCTTTCCTTTCCACTCAATGATGATGATGCTGATGGATTTTAACATCCAGTGGTAAATATAACATGCAAATCATCGGGACAAGAAGAAGTTAATGTGAAATAAAAATGAACTCTGCATTGAACTTGATCGAGTTATGCGCCAAATTTTTAATATGCTTTTTCACAAGGAATAGACATGTCACCCTAGACCAACTAATCTATGTTAACCCTAAAAGCAGCATGCTCAGTGGTGAGGCAGCAAATACTATTTTTCAAGTCTTTGGTTTGACCTAAGCACTAAAGGCATTTCGGCTAAATATCCTCTGCTATTGTTAAGTAATCTCTTGTGTCAGAAGCTATCTCTTAAACTTTGTACTTTTTCACATACATTCAGTTACAGATATAAACATTGAATTGGCCACTTCACGGTTATTGCAGCTATATTGAATAGAGGGTAGATTTTTTTAATAGAGGTGGAAATAGTATGAAAGTACGGGAAATCCTATGCATATTTCTAAGCAACTGTTCCTTTTCAATGATGTTTTCCCATATTTTTCAAACCATTTTTACCTCCATTATGAAAATCTCCCCCCTTTTCAACATGGCTGCAATAACCGTGAAAGGGCCTATTAAAAGATAAAAATATATTAATTTAACCCTGACAATGCAAAGCCAAACGTAATCTATCAGATCTACTAAGTTCAAATTGTCTTCCTCTTATTTGAATTGAGAAACCATTACAAATTAACCAAAAATCAATTTCAAGTTGTCCAAGAGTAATCTCAACTTTCCATAAGTGGAAGCAAGCTTCTAAATCAATTATGATCTTAACCAAGATGGAATAAAAAGACTGAATTCATACAATAAATTGGGTTACTTCACAAACTGATAAATGACATACTGTCCTTATTTAAGATAGTTACAAAATGTCATGTACAGCATGTCCTGTTGTTTTCATGTGGCTGTCAAAACTTCTTTTGACTACAATTTTTTAGACAAAAATAACACAAAAAGCACTGTCCAAAAAGCATGCCAGCAATATTTTCAAGTCATTATTTGCTTTTAAGGGGAATATATGCAAGAGCTATTTCAGGAATCAAGATAGTATTATTCCAGCATTAGCAGGTGAAGGGGGAGGGATCATAAATAACATTTTCCTTCTTTTCACTAGGTATGAAATGAAAGTTTATTTTAGGACACAATGAACTTTCTCAATGTATTTTATTTGCTATAAATCCCCCTTTTTCATATTTTATGTGGTCCAAATAATAAATCTACTAACTTCTAACATTAGCTCTATATGGTTTACTGCTCCCAGTTTCCAAATAACACCATATGACTTTTCTCAATATCAATGAATTATTGTATATTGATGTAAAATAGACAAGTTGATAATTCAATTAAACAATGGTAACAGTAATACAACATGTCTGACCAATCAGAAATTCTCTTACGATTAATGAGAATTGACATGTAACAAATTGTGCGCCCAAGCGTTAAATAATTGGGGCTGGAGTTATTCTTAATAGGATTTGAGTACTGGTAATAATACTAAACTCCTACCACATAACACTTTATTTCAATCATTGGACCAGCATGGATGGCAGAAATTGACATTTTTTATGGTTATTTTACTTTTGTATTAAAACATAACCATGGTATTATTCTATCGCATCTGCCTTGGGAATATTTCTATGACAAAATGAATTATATGAATAAAATTCCTTAACCACTGAAGAACTGTACAGACATCTGCACGAAAAACTGATGACGTAAAACAGTATTTAGAAATCATGTGGATTCGTCATTATACGTGGTTTACTAACTGTGTAGATTGTGTGGGTATAGGTAAATGGACATCTTAATGTTCAACAAAATGAAAAATTACAAAAGGATTGCATGCGGAATTAAAAGGGGAAAAATTATGTTTCAGGAAACAATTTTTCTTAATCTACGAACAGACAGAAAGACGAAAAGACAGAAGTCAAGGGTAATACTTAATGCCCCAGTCACCTACTGTGGGGGCCCACACCCAAATTTGAACTTGGTCTGAGGTTTGTGTATACGTTTCATAACATTTGGTTGAGGTAAACTAAAGTTAGAGAAAGAAACCAATTTTGGGACGTACATACAGACAAGGGTAACACTTAATACTCCCACCGTTGTGGCATTAAAACATTTATTGATTAATGTCTGTATCCCATAACACCCCATCATCCTTCAAACTTTAAGTTTAACTGACCTGGCACCAAAAAGCTGCTGCATGAATTGGCTGATATGAATCGCTGTCTCTTTTATCAACAGAAACATGGTGGTCAAGTAAAAACTCCGCCACCTGCATGTAACCATTAGCAGCTGCTATATGAAGCTGAAAAGAAATATTATAAAACATTATATAATTTACAAATTAATAAAAACATGACCTAATTCTGTTAGTTGAATTTAAAGGGTATATGTACATATGAACAGCTATATCAGTTTTTTGCTTATACATATACACAAATAAATAAGATTTTCACAAACCAATTTTGATCATAAAAATGAACATGGAGTACTTCATATATCTTGGCTGATCATAAAACTGAACATGGAGTACCACATATATCTTGGTTGATCATAAAACTGAACATGGAGTACTTCATATATCTTGGCTGATCATAAAACTGATCATGGAGTACCAAATATATCTTGGTTGATCATAAAACTGAACATGGAGTACTTCATATATCTTGGCTGATCATAAAACTGAACATGGAATACCACATAAATCTTGGTTGATCATAAAACTGAACATGGAGTACTTCATATATCTTGGTTGATCATAAAACTGAACATGGAGTACAGCATAAATCTTGGTTGATCATAAAACTGAACATGGAGCACTTCATATATCTTGGTTGATCATAAAACTGAACAGGAAGTACCACATATATCTTGGTTGATCATATACCTAAACATGGAGTACTTCATATATCTTGGCTGATCATATAACTGAACAGGAAGTACCACATATATCTTGGTTGATCATATACCTGAACATGGAGTACCACATAAATCTTGGTTGATCATATGACTGAACAGGAAGTACCACATATATCTTGGTTGATCATAAAACTGAACATGGAGTACTTCATATATCTTGGTTGATCATAAAACTGAATGTGGAGTACTTCATATATCTTGGTTGATCATAAAACTGAACATGGAGTACCACATATATCATGGTTGATCATAAAACTGAACATGGAGTACTTCATATATCTTGGTTGATCATAAAACTGAACATGGAGTACCACATATATCTTGGTTGATCTTAAAACTGAACATGGAGTACTTCATATATCTTGGTTGATCATAAAACTGAACATGGAGTACCACATATATCTTGGTTGATCATAAAACTGAACATGGAGTACCACATATATCTTGGTTGATCATAAAACTGAATATGGAGTACTTCATATATCTTGGTTGATCATAAAACTGAATATGGAGTTCTACATATATCTTGGTTGATCATAAAACTGAATATGGAGTACCACATATATCTTGGTTGATCATAAAACTGAACATGGAGTACCAAATATATCTTGGTTGATCATAAAACTGAATATGGAGTACATCATATATCTTGGTTGATCATAAAACTGAATATGGAATTCTACATATATCTTGGTTGATCATAAAACTGAATATGGAGTTCTACATATATCTTGGTTGATCATAAAACTGAATATGGAGTTCTACATATATCTTGGTTGATCATAAAACTGAATATGGAGTTCTACATATATCTTGGTTGATCATAAAACTGAACATGGAGTACTTCATATATCTTAGTTGATCATAAAATTGAACATTAGGACAAAGACTTGAAATGAGGAAAACTTGAATCTAAATGCATATGCCAATGTTAACACTGAAGTACTCCATTAGTGACATCTCTTCTTCATTCAATCATAATTTGGATTAGCCCTAAAGCCCTGGTATTCAGAGACAGTGCCATGTTCTTTATATTTTTTTCTTCATCTGAACAGAAGGCATAAGAATGTTTACCTTTCCATTAGTTTGTACTTTTCTCTATCTACACAGTGTTATATATAAACCAAAGACTTATTCATGTCACATGACCTAAACTATAACATCAAGAAATGTTGTTTACAACTTTTAAGTCTTTCCTTACATTACTTAATCATTAGTTAATTTTCTTCATTCAAATGACCTTCTATCACGTAACATACAAAACCAATGGTCAACAAACTATGAAGGATAATCATTACAACCTCTCGACATCTGAGTCTGTTGAGAGTTTGTAGGAGTCAGCTAATTTCAGGAAATAATTATATACATCAATTACTGTGAATTTGTATTAAATTCTTTTGTGATTTGGCTAATCTAATCAATAAGATAGTTGATTTGTTGTTATATTGGTTTAGTAATTGCTTAACACTTTAGTCTAGTCTCAGGTGTGTCTATTCATTATATAAGTCAACTCCAGTTCAATTATTCACTAATAGTTTTAGTCACATGCAATATCTGGCTTTGAATTTGAAAGATAATTCTTCCTAACTGCTTTCAGGTACAGTTCTTAAAACATCCTGAATAAAGATGCTGTGAGTTATTCTAGGTGCATCGGACCCAGGTTTGATCAGAAAGGACATTTCCACCAGGCAGGATATATATACAGTATATAAAATAATCATACATGCAGATCTCTATCAAGAACCAAGATCACAATCAGAATATGTTTTTATTTGTTTATTCATATTTGAGTTTCTACCTTTGTTTGGTCATTCATCTTGCTAGCTTTTTATTATTTTATTTCTGGTTTGTTTACTTACTAAAGTAGCACCATCAGAGCCTCTCTCATCCAGGGGCCCACCTGTCTTGGCTAACCGAGACACATCATTTAACATATTTCTCTCTGGTATCAACCTTCTCTCGTCTATTTCTTCCTGAGTGATTCCTAAAATAATATTACAATCATAACAATTAAAGTGGGTTTAAATGATAATAAACTGCTTCGCTGAGCGCAGCTGGATACGCCCGCAGAGGTCCAACCCTGAACAGTTGGGGCAAAAATGGACACAATATTCAAGCTTGATACAGGTCTGAATTTGGATTGTAATTAAATATTTGATATATTGTAGGTTTCTGAATAAATGTAGTCAAAGAACTTGAAATTGGTTATATGAAAGATTTCTTGCTGTTGTGTAATACACTGTGCTGTTGCGCAGTACTTAGTAAATCTGTTGTCAGACTATAAACAAATAAAATCTTTTAACTCGGAAACGTAAAATCGAAAATTTATAGAAATCAAAAGGGAGCTTACAAAAATAGATATAAACAATTTACCAAAGTTTCATAAAAAGTGCTGAAAGCATTTTTGAGTTATTGTCCGAAAACTGGAAAATCCCTATTTTGTAATGAATAAAACCCAATAAATCGGAAACGTATAGTCTGAAATTTATAAAAATCAAAACGGAGCTCATGTCAATAGAAATAAACAAGTCACCAAAGTTTCATGTAAATTGGTGAAATTTTTTTTGAGTTATTGTCCGAAAACTGGAAAATCCCCCCTTTTTAATGAATAAAACCCCAAAACTTGGAAACGGTAAATCCGAAATTTATAAAAAAACGAAAGGGAGCTCATGTCAATAGATATGAACAATTCACAAAACGTTTCATGCAAATTGGTCAAATTGTTTTTGAGTTATTGTCCGAAAACTGGAAAATCCCCTTTTTTTTAATGAATAAAACCCCAAAACTCGGAAATGGTAAATCTAAAATTTATAAAAAACGAAAGGGAGCTCACGTCAATAGATATAAACAATTCACCAAAGTTTCATGCATATTGGTTAAAGTGTTTTTGAATTAATGTCCGACATGTTGACAACGGACGGACAGACGGACAACGGTATACCATAATACGTCCCGTAAACGGGCGTATAAAAAGTGGATTTGTTTTTAATTTATGGCTTCTAAAATCAAAGGAGAATTCTGATGTCATTTTTGGTACAACAGATATATATATCTTTTATAAGAAAAGGATACAATAAATTTGAGATTTCTATATCTATGATGTTTTTCACTTAATAATAATATGTCATTAACTAGTAAACGTTTTCTGCCTTTTTTTCAACTTTGGACAAGTCTACTTTCACTATACCTGGAAATGACAAATCAGCCAGCTAGATCTCTTACTATTTGGTACTGTGGATATATTATAATTCGTGGGATACCAATGTCCAAGGATTTCATGGTTATAGGTAAACCACAAATTTAAATGTTCCACGAAGTACAAATTTATTATAGGCTTGTCTGCAGAATTAGGTAGCACCACAAAATCAAATATCCAATAATTTTTCATCAATTCACGAAAATCGGTATCCACAACAATTAATGAATCCAGTAATATTTGTTTTGGTTTCTGTGTCTATTTAGGTTGAAAACATTCAAATAATAAGGATAAAGAGTGTTTTCAGAATAAGGTTTAACAGATCAAATAAAATGTTTGAGATATTTCATATTTTGTTTACAGAAAAATATCCACATATTCATTCTAAACTTTATTTTAAGTATAAAATACAAAATAAAAAAGTAATTAATAAATACAAGTTCTAAATGAACTTTGCATGGAAATCAAAACATTAATTAGCCTGAATGTATAATGTTTACATAACGAAAAACTAATGTTCATACCCTGTAATAGTACAAAGTAATCTTTTTTGTTGTGATCAATTGGTTTGGTATAAAACAGATACGTGTACAAAGAGATTGGAGCTATTATGGTATTTACCAATGAAATATTGCACTACCATTTCTAATGATTATTTCCTAATTGTGTAATACTATCAAAACCCATCTATAAATTACATGACCATTCTGGAATCAATTACAAAAATTATACATCTACGGTCCCTATGACGATCAAGTTTTTACTGAATTAATTGTTATGAATAAGAATATTATATATTGAGGCTTGTTTTTGTCATATTAATATTATTCCCTGGATCTGAAATATTAATGTTTTCGTGGCAATAAATTACATATGACAAAACAAAGATGAATGTTCATATCAATTTATACAATAAAACCATACTGAATTGTTTGTATTGACCACTATTTTGCTACTGAAGATATTATACATCCTTCCTTTTTCCTTGAATTTAATGGTTCCCTGACATTAAATTAACTCTCAACAGAATATATTCAAGTTAATTACTTTATTCAATTCATGGTCATTTTCCTGTTGGAAAGACCACTATTGACTGTAAGACACTGATGCTCCATACAACTGTACAATACTATTAAAGATACCTCTCCAGGGAAAAACATCACAATATTTTCTTTATCACAAAATAAGTAATCAAATTGAAATTTTCAGTAATACACTTTCACTTACAGACTTAATTACTGCACCTGCATACTTTTTGTTATTAATAAATTAGGACATTTTTTTACTACTGATGATTTGAATCTGTTGAAGAAATGTCATTTGTACCAAACATGTTGCTTTTTTTTTTTTAATCATACCAACTTAGGTCATGTATAGACTTGTATCAGCGTCTCAGTCATATCTACATTGATTAAAGATTGTTGCTTGCTCAATGTCCAGTGGCAAATATTTCAGGCATATTCAGAATGATCTGAGACATAGCTCAACTATTCTGATGATGATGACAAAAAGTTTGTACAGTCCAGTGGCAAATATTACATACACTAAAGGATAAGAAAGTGTTTATGTGAATATGAACTCTGTTTTGTACTGGACAGACATACCAATTTTTAACATGTTTGTTCACAGGAAGACATGTCACCCTACCTGGCTGACCAATCTTTGCTCTGACTCTTAAATGTTGGGTGCTTATCAGAGAAGCAGCAAATACTTCTTTTCAAATCTTTTTAGTTTGACCATTGCAGCAATTAAACCCATGTCCTCCAGAACTCAAGGAGAGCATGATGCTGTTTCACCATCCTGATTAAAATTGTAACTATCTTTAGTCGCCTATTGAATTAATCAATAATAATCTGAGAGGGTTCCTTCCATCAACAATGTCTCAATATCATCCAGAGTGACTCCAAACATGGCATCTTAATTTATTAGAAAGAGAAATACTTTCTCACTTTTCTATTCTGTTTTTATATCAAATCATGGTTAATAATTCTGAGATAAATGTCAAATTAACTTAGGGCATCTCTCTCAATCAAATCCAGTGACATTAAATTTTACAATCTTAATACATTTTCTTACCAACTTTGGCCATCTCTGTCTCAATATAGTCCAGAGTGACTTCATCTTCACAGATGTCATATGGCATGTTTCCATCAGCATTCACTGATAAAAGTTCTGCTCCCCTGAAAAAAAGTCAAAAATTAAATCAAGAAAGTACGAAAACCACTAATTCAGGTCTCATTTCACTCTATGTGAAATTCTGCAATTCACAGAATTTTTAGCTCAAAAAAACAGTCCATAGAATTTTCTTTAAAATAATTTATGTAGATTATTTATTCTATTGAATTGAGAAATGATGACTTTAAAAGAATTTTAAGAACATTTCTACATTATTTTTTTTTAAATCAGAGAATTTTCTAGAAAATAAAGTTGTAAAAGCATTATTTTTCTTTTTAGTTACAGTGCAGCTTGTCCAAATGGAATGCAAAATCTGTAGTCTTGTCCACTTTCTGTTACTTGACCTTAACAACTTGAAAGTTTAACAATCTGTATGCAAAACCATGTAATATTTACTACTATTTGGCCTTCTAAATGGGTCTTTCTGTAATTCAATTTTCGTTCATTCAACTTAGTGCTTACCATTTATCTGTTAAAGTGTAACCTCTGCATGATTATTCCTAGTTTTTCTGTGACCTTTACATGATTATTTTTAACTTGTATTATCTGGTTATTGCCTTATTGACATTAACATACATCCCATAATATTTATATTACATCTACAACAGTTGATCCATCATTCATAATGTTCTGCAGGTACTGTTGATGTAATTTACAACACACTTCTATGGCAACTTTTATTTAAACAATTTTACAATGCCAAAAGTAATAATTCCAGGAAAAAAATGTCAACCATATTTGTCCCATACTGCAGTAATTCTATTGAGCAACTAACTTTAAATTAATTAGTTTATTGTTAACTGATCACATATTTTCCATTAAAACAAAAATCACTTTATTTAAATACTTGTTAACGTCAATCAGTAATTTTATTGTTTTGAGATTTGTTTCTGGGTGCATGATACATTTGCTGAACCAGAAAATATACTTGTGAAAGTAAAATTTAAGATAATCATTGGTAATATGTAAACAATTTATAATGATAATACTATTACAATTCTGATGCAGAAGTTTATTTCTGTCTTACAAACTAATTTTATAATTACTGGAAATATCTACTAATGTTGCACCAGATGATGTATAATCAAGGTTGTCTCCCCCTTTTTTCATTACTACAAATTTGTTTTTCACCCTTTAAAGTTTTCACAAGAGTGGATACATGTATACACACATTACACCCAAATAACCAATCAATCATTCCGATAAAGCTTAAGGTTTAATCAAAATCTAATGCTCGACAAGATTCATATTCATAACAGAATAAAAACCTTATAAATTTATTTACCCTCTCTATGACATTATCAACTTAATGAAGTAGAAATCAATGTTCAATTTGGAAAAAATAATTGGACACATAATGTATAATCTTTATTAATGTATTCGGAATATGTTTTACCATACTGAAATCAAAATTATTGTTCACCAATTTATAAGCAAATCAGCTGGATCATTAAATGGATAGGAAGTTCAATGATCTGTGTCAGTAATGATCTTCCATCTTGAAGATGCTGGGTATAAACATGCTCTGTAATACATTTACCATTTAAAACAAGGCCTAACCACTCATCATAAACAAGTATTAGTTACACCTTGAGGGCGTTAGCCAGAATGGGTGTATTTAATTTACACCAAGATATTATTGTGAATGCAGAATGATAGTTTTCAATAATTTAGGAAGGGGTCTTGCAGCAATTTGACCTTATGTTAATAAAAAGCATGATAAATGCAGGGTATCCAATTTCATTTAACGACATCTTGGTGTAAATGAATAAAAGGATATATGACAGGGTATGGCAAAGAGAAAGCAAAGAGAAAGCAAACCCAACAACACAAAAAATAAAATGCTTTGCTGAGCGCAGCCTGATACGACCGCAGAGGTCGAACCCTGAACAGTTGGGGCAAATTTGGACACAATATTCAAGCCTGAATTTGGATTGTGATCAAATTTTTGACATAATATAGGTTTCTGATACAAAATAAATGTGGTCAAAGATCTTACAAATCTATTGCACAATACTGTGCAATTAAAGATTTCTTCTTGAAACTTTTCAAAATTCGCAATTTGAAAAATTTTGAAAAAAAAATATGAATTAATCCCTTAAAAAAATTGTAAACAAAAAATCCCGCCCCCTTTTCAACTTATTGAAACCCCCCCCCTTCGAGCAATAACCCCAAAACTCCATCCCAGCCTTTCCTTTGTAGTATGGAACCTTGTAGTACAATTTCAGAGAAATCCATACACTTAATCACAAGTTATTGTCTGGAAACTAGAAAAATGCTTCTTTTGGCCCTTTTTTGGCCCCTAATTCCTACATGTTTGGGGCAATTAACCCCAAACTCAATCCGAACCTTCCATTTGTTATATGGAACCTTGTGGTACAATGACAGAGAGATCCATACACTTACACACAAGTTATTGTCTGGAAACTAGAAAAATGCTTGTTTTTGGCCCCTTTTTGGCCCTTTATTCCTAAACTGTTGGCCCCATAACCCCTAAAATGAATCCCAACCTTCTACTTGTGGTATTAAACATTGTGGTACAATTTCAGAGCAATCGAAATACTTATACACAAGTTATTATCCTGAAACAGAAAAACTGTTGTTTTGGGCCCCTTTTGGGCCCCTTATTCCTAAACCGTTGGGACCATCATCCCCAAAATCAATCCCAACCTTCCTTTTGTGGTATTGAACCTTCTTAAAAAATTTCATAGAGATCCATTCACTTAAACTAAAGTTATTGTCCGGAAACCAATGTGTCTTCGGACGACGACGCAGACGACGACGACATCATACCATTAAACGATCCCAAAAAATTTTTTGCGGTCGTATAAAAACAGACAATATCTAGAGGTGCACACCCATGTAAATTTTATACTGGAAGATTATAAAAATTTTGAAAATATAAAGCATGTTGGTGAGTGATTCATATATCCTGTACAACAAATATGATTTTCTAAAAAACAACCAACAAAAAAAACAGCCTTCTATTGCCCTTCATTTGAACTTTGGTGGATAGTTGTCTCATTGGCAATCATACCACATCTGCATTTTTTTATATCAGATGGACTAAATAACACCAATTGATGCCGTCGCAGCTTAAAATACAATATCATTATCTCCATTCTAATGAAATTGACAGAAAACAACATCAAATCGTACATTTAAAATCTGTCATACGTCGTCTGCCCTTGCGCGTACGTTTTCATGGCATAAATTTACAATTGATGCCATGAAAATTGGTGACGTTATCCAATAAAAATGAACGTTAAAAAGGATGTTGCATTAGAATTATGAATTTAAACCATCTTAACTGTAAAAAAAACTCCTTAACAAAACTCAGTTTTGAAGATAGAGTTTTCGTTTGGGTTGGACCAAAGTTTGGTTTACAAAGGTTTTCAATAATCAATGAATATTCATTGTTCTCTACAGATACAAGAATTGTGTTTAGACAGTTAAGGTAAAGTTTGAACAAAAATTTATTAATCTTCATTTTTGTTATTTTATCTCTTATTGCTTACAAATTTTCCAGTTTATTAAACTTTACTTTTCCAATATTTTCGTCACTTTGTATTATAATATATTCTTAAAGACAAACTGTTTCCCTAGTGGCTGATTTAAAATGTTTAAAATGAGGATAAAAAAGTTGAAGCGAAAGTATTTAGTAAATAAAATATGCATATGTTCAATATAATCATGCAGAAAATACATGTACAACTAACTGGTTTTTAATTTGTTTCGTCATATATTGCTTTTCATTATGAATTTCATTTAATCTCAATAATTGATGACTATTTTGTTCTGTGTGAAGCTTTAAGTCGATATCTCTTTGTATGTTTTGTAGGTGATTTCTAACAATAACGGATGTTAAAGAGTCGTATGTTATCTGAGAATCCGACAACAAGGACATCGCTGAATGGCTTCTTCAACTAATGGTTAATCCACTTCATCAATCACACATAGAAAATGTTATCTTTCTTTCTTCCTACTCTTCAGTCACTTCAGCAAATTAAAATGGGCGTGAATTGAGAAGATACGTAGCCAGGATCACCCACATCAATCAAATCTCTCTTGAAAACATGTAAGGCTAAGCTTCAATTAAACAAAGTTTAATACATTTTATGTCAAAATGAAACACTCACGATTTAACATCGGTGAATGGATCAATCACCTTATCCCTAATACATAATCAGTAGTTGAACTGATGTAATACGGTAAACTTGATAGCTAAATGTCATTTTAACTGAACAATTTATGAAAAATGCTATGATTTTTCAAACAAGTGTATATCAAAGAACCATAATTTACATTTTAATTAAAAACTCCCTGTGCTATTTTGCTTAATCAAAAATGAAGGACAAAACACTATTTTTTTGGTATGTATAGTTCGAAGGTGTTATAGTATGTTTCATTGTAAGGGAGAACACAGCTGTTGGTTAAAACAGACAAATTTGTTACCATTACTGAAAATAATGCCAACAGTTTATTGAAATTTTATATTGGTGTCATCACTGGCAACTTTACTGGCAATTTGTTTTTAAATTTACTACAATGTCTTTTAAAATATATTACTACGTACCTTGTACTATGAAGATATCTAGATCTGTTATGACACTCTTTATTATTTTTGCTACAAGCCGATTGTGCTATTTGTCTATAGCATGAAATATAACAACAAATCATCACTGAATTTGCTACAGACTACTTATTTATTTCATAATATACATGTCTAATACAAATTTATTAGAATTAATTATCAAGTCATTGGTTATTGACCCACAAATCGACAGTGCCCGATATTTCTCAATCTGATATATACCAAAGTATGTCTAATGAAATGAAATGTCCATACCAGTTATTGACGATGAAGACAGATGAACTTTTTACTTTTCCTAACTTTTAAATCAAATTTCTTAGAAAAACCTTAATTTTGAAATTAAAAGCATTTAACCTATCCATGGAAACTGAATTAGATTTCTCACATGGATTTCACGGTAAATTTATCATGTTCTACTTTCAAATGAATGTTACGGGTCTGCAGACAGTCAAGTTGATTACCCCACAATGCTCTGACATCTAAATTAATGAAGTCATTCATAACTTCAATGGATTCATTCCAGCAGCTTTCTACATACTTTTTTATTCAATCTTTATATAAGTCGCTGATCAATCTCGGGATACAATTTACATTTATGCAACTCATCAACTTTATTGTCAGCAACAAACTGACAGTGTTAAAGCTCAAATGAAAAATCAAGACCATTTTGTCACCAATACTTAGATAAATGGATATCACAATTAAGAAAGTCAGCCGATTTTACTGCTTTATCGATTATTTAGTTTTAATATGTAATAAAATGAAGAGTTTATGGAACGTATTCACCAATATAATCACAGTATTAAGCAGAAGCACTAAACTTAATTGTTCCTTATAACTCTTCTCGGAAACCTTGATTGCCCTGAACATTTATTTTGAAGTGATGTGATGAGTTGTGGTGAAATCAAACTTTTTGTTAAACCTTTGTTCATTCCAATTAAACTTCCAACCGATAAAGATAAATCATTCAACAAAAAATATTGGTAAAATGTTTGCACATCTGACATGGGACTGCATGGATACTTATACAGTTATTATTTTCAAATAATCAATTTTCTGAGGTTGGTAGATCATAATTAAAAACAACTTTTTCATTCAGATAAAAGACTATTACAAGACAAGGTTTGAGTGGGTATTTTAGTTTAGTAGCATTGATTAAACAATACCTGTTTCTTATAAAATAAAGAGTTTTTGCAGTCAACAAAGATAAGAAACTGTCATAGGAGTTTGCATACATTTAATAAGAGTAGACCTCTCACCAGTTGGAAGCTTGTATTAATTTGTAGCAATCTAGTCCAAATATTGTTTGAAGGACCATCAGGGGCTCAAAATGGTAACATAATGATTTGTGCCAAAATTTGAAAATATAGAGCAATGATTTGTGAACTATAGGACATATCATTCTTTTGACAATTATCTTTACAGCTCACATTTTTACACATATATCAATTCATCAAATTAAAGTACTTAATTTATCTCTTGTAACAAAAACTTAATAATAATCACTAAACCATGAAATATAGGCTCCGTAGGTGGGGTCTATGGATCAGCCTCTGCTGACATTATCATTTTCACCAACTTTAACTATTGGCTGATGATAAGACATTGTATCAAGCACTAGGCAGACCTGGGTAAAAGTTTAATACAATCATATTCTGACAAAGATATCTGTCAAATCTGTTTTCATTTCTTCTTTATTTCAGAAAAGGTTATCATGTTTATGACAAACAACAGATGGATACCATATGATGACAACAGATCTAATAGTCATACTTAAAGTGCAGATTCTTCATAAAACCATGCAGAACAAATGGCCAAGTTATAATAAATCAAATGCACAATAAATCCTGGATTAGGAAATCATATTAGATCAATATATTGTCATGTAATCGACAATTCTCTCGTGACCTTTTTCGGTCTTATATTTATGCATTAAATTGGCAATATTTTGTTGATCACATAATACGCTGACAGTTACGATATTCCCAACGGATATTTCAAGTCTAGTGATCATTTATGTTAAAAACCCACTTAACCAAGTACTTGAGTTACAACAAAAATAACACATAGGAGCTGTCAATCAGATATATATGTCAAATACATTCCCCTTCCACAGCCGATTCTGTCAAATATATTCCCCTACCAGTCAAATCTGTATATTTTTATTCTCGTTACAGTCTGATCTGCTAAAACCTTCTGTCTTTATTAGGCTATTAAGTCTGATAATCAATAACTACACTCTTATGATACTGAACGTTAGGGCACAGAAAAAACAGGACAAACTTGTTCATCTGAGTTTCAAGAATGCGGTTCGATAATTTTGAAAAATCGCTTTGTATTCATGAATATACATCCAGCTAAAATTATATAATACTTAAGTAACAGACAGACAGACAGACAGACAGAAATGGTGAAAACTAAATATTGCCCACTGGAAGCAGCACCATGAAGGCAGTACTTACTTAGTAATGAGATGTTTACATAGGTGGGAATGTCCACAAGTAGCAGCAGCGTGGAGAGGAGTCCAAAGTTCACTGTCCCTGGCATTAACATTGGCACCATATTCCAGTAAAAGTTTTAACATTTCTTCATTGTCATCAATACAAGCCTATATTATAAAATACAAATGTCATTTCTTCATTTTCATTCATATACACTTATATAATAATATCAACAAAATTGTTGGTGCTGTGAGGCAGCTTATCTCATTTCTTAAGAACTATTTTATACAAAGCAGTTACTGGAATAGAACACAAAGGATATTGTGTATCAATCTGTGACAAAAAAATCAGTACACACACATGAAAAAACCCAAAGGAGCAGTGCTTTCATTGCTATTCTTCATCTCAAAGGCACAGTTAGGCCTTCAACAGTGAGCAAAAACTCTCACCTCATTCCTAGTTAAAGAACGGGTTTGAGTGGAGTTCTTTGTTAGATGTCAATCAACCTATATCTGTACATTGAACAACGCAGCTGTGGTGTAATACCATAAAGTTATAAATCATATCAGGCAAAGAAAGAGCTCTTTTCAAGTACTACAAAGGATATACATTGCATACAACTGCAACTTTTATAGATATTCTAAAGAAATTCTGGTATCTAATACAACAGTAAAGTAAACTTTGATTGATATAGTTATTGGTTATTATTTTCATATATTTCATCACAAACTTTTGAAAATTATTTGGGTTTTAGTGCTTGACATCATTTTTGAGAGTTTAAATTTTCACAGAGTTCTTTCTGGTGAAATATATGGACAAATCATATAAAAGTCACCAAAATATTTCTGAATATGAATTATCCGAAGTATAAAATTATAAAAACATGTATTTAACATTAATATTTAAAGAGAAAATCTAAATCAGTGAGGTACATATTATAATCAGAAATCTAGAAATCTGACCAAACCATGTGACCATTGTATTCAATTATATCCTGGTTACCTGCTGACACCATACATATCAGTTTAAATTAGATATGTCAATAACAGCAGAAGTCAACATCTAATTCAATAAATCATTTTCATTTCACACAACTTTTTCTTGTGTTAATTGTCCTTCAATAGATTGCACATAATGTGCACATGTATATAAAACTAAAGAGATGTGGTATGATTGCTAAATGAGATATTAACTATCCACCAAAGTTCAAATGAAGAGGATGCATGAATATTCTTTTGTTTTATAGTCATCTAGTTTTCAGTAGCTGCAATTCAAGGATTTTGAAAAAGGGTCCCATTAAAGGTAACACTTTGTGTGAAACTTATAAAAAGTCCATGTATTAACCATATATGTAGCTCCATAAGTGTACCCCCCCCCCCTAAACCTCCTCTGTTCAGTGTTACTTAAGGATGTTTTTTTTGTACAGTACAGTCTCTCATACATTTGGCATGTTATCATTTTGCATTTTAATTTGCTATGTATGCCAGGTGACACATTTTTTAGAAGTGATGAATAATCATGCTAACTTTCTTTACTCCAAAGGAATTTAAGTTAAGTGAGCATAACTGCTTTTTTTACCTATGCATCTGTAAGGCTAGGTTGAATTCACTTTTTTTTGTAATCATTTTCACAGTAATTTTTTCCATCAGTTTGCAACACACCTTCTTGTAATGGTGTGAATAATCATACCAAGTTTAATCATGGACCTCCGAGGGGTTTTAAAGTCAGAGAGCAGAACAAAGTGACAGACACACAGAAGGACAATCTGATTACTTTAGATCTCAGTATATTAATTTTAAAGTTTACCTACTAATCAAAAACTTTTTTAATATTGAACATTAGTAGATTTTGAATGAACAACTTTTGAAAGCTGTGAAGACTTACCTGATGAAGAGCTGTTAAACCATCTTCATTAGTTACATCTGGATTAACACCCTGATTCAGTAATTTTCGTACTGAAAAAAATACATATATTTACATAAATTTATTTACACAATTTAAGTACTTAGCTAGTTTTGTAAATAATAATTTTTTTCTTGACATTAAATATTTCTCCATTCTAAAATAACAAACAAAATTCTTACATAAAAATAAGCCTAAGCCCCTTTAATAATGAGACAACTATCCACCAGAGGTTGAAGGATAAGAATGTATATAACTATAGGTCATTCTACAGCCTTAGCCCTTTAATAATGAGACAACTATCCACCAGAGGTTGAAGGATAAGACTGTATATATCTATAGGTCACTCTACAGCCTAAGCCCCTTTAATAATGAGACAACTATCTACCAGAGGTTGAAGGATAAGAATGTATATAACTATAGGTCATCCTACAGCCTAAGTCCCTTTAATAATGAGACAACTATCCACCAGAGGTTGAAGGATAAGAATGTATATAACTATAGGTCATTCTACAGCCTTAGCCCCTTTAATAATGAGACAACTATCCACCAGGGGTTGAAGGATAAGAATGTATATAACTATAGGTCATTCTACAGCCTAAGCCCCTTTAATAATGAGACAACTCTCCATCAGAGGTTGAAGGATAAGAATGTATATAACTATAGGTCATTCTACAGCCTAAGTCCCTTTAATAATGAGACAACTATCCACCAGAGGTTGAAGGATAAGAATGTATATAACTATAGGTCACTCTACAGACTAAGCCCCTTTAATAATGAGACAACTATCCACCAGAGGTTGAAGGATAAGAATGTATATAACTATAGGTCACTCTACAGACTAAGCCCCTTTAATAATGAGACAACTATCTACCAGAGGTTGAAGGATAAGAATGTATATAACTATAGGTCATTCTACAGCCTAAGTCCCTTTAATAATGAGATAACTATCCACCAGGGGTTGAAGGATAAGAATGTATATAATTATAGGTCATTCTACAGCCTTAGTCCCTTTAATAATGAGAAGGAGCTACATGTAATACCTTTAAGTATGATATAAAAGGTCTTAGGATAACAAATGGGATACAATTCAAAAAAAGAAAACCCAACAACCTGGATTAAGTAAATTACATTAAAAGAAAAACAACAACCAGAGACAACCACTGAACTACAGCTGCCTTTGGACTTCGTAAACAACAAAAGTTACTTATTAACAATCAAAAAGTCTTAGCAAAGTAATTACTCCAGATGAAAACTTTGGATATATTTTCACTATTTTGAGAGGTTGGAATAGCTGATTAATACTGCCCTGATCTTAACTTCTCAATCTGAGAGGATATTCAGTACATGTATTAGAAACTTTTGGGCAATAAATACCACAGGCTGATATCTGGTACAAGAGTTATAACAGATCCTGTAACACAATTAAAACCACAGGCTGATATCTAGTACAAGAGTTATAACAGATCCTGTAACACAATTAATACCACAGGCTGTATCTGATACAAGAGTTATAACAGATCATGTAACACAATCAATTAGTAATAGTATTACCATCTTCAATGTCCCCTCTTGCTGCTGATTCTAAAAGCATAATATTTCCACGAAACTTTACTCTCGGACGACGTTTTTTTCCTGTCCCCTTCTTGTTCTTTTTAGCAAATTCTTTATCCACCTGTTTTTCATAATTTGCAAATTTTTTCAGTTGCTGACTCCTTCTTTTCTTTGCATGTTTGAGTCGCTCCTGCGTACTCATTTTCTCCACCATTGCAATTTCCAGAACTAAATCGTTGTGGTCTGACATTTTGAAATTCTCTTTCTATTAAATCCTCAAAAGGTAACTTTGAAAAATTGTTCCTTATATTCCAAGATTATATTTAGGAATCATTATCCATATCTCTCCATATTACATAATGTTAGTTATTCTTATACGGTATAATAACATCCAATGTGTGCCGAAACATTCTATCCAAAGCTTAAAAAATAAAACTGTTCATCTTGCTACACTTTCCATTACTCAATGTTTCTGTATAATTTCTTTTAACATCTGAAAAATAAAAATGTTATCATGACTAAAACACATTTGAATTAATCATTCTGCATACATATCGAATAGAATGAAATGTGGGCTAAACATCAATGGAACAGTAACCGAACTATATTAGTTAAATAAAATTAATATAATGAGGTCAGCATACAGTACATAATTATTAATTATTTTATGCAAATTTGCTATGTAAGAAAATAGTCAATAAAGGATTCTCTTCATAGTACATACCGGTACAGTACAAGTGAACTAAAACATTCTTAAGTAAAACATAATTAACAAACTCATCTTTGTGAATTTAACAGTTTATTTAAACAGGAAATAAAACTTATTAAAATATCTTTTTTTGTGTTAAATTATAATGATACAAATTTGACTAAAAGCATGTATTTAATTCAGTTCCTGTGCAACAGTTATAGTCCATCTGCAAGTTTATATGGTTCTAGCTGCTACCGAAGACATAATGATGTCCTTAATGTCATTAAATGGATGCTCAATAGAACTAAATAACACATAATTCAATATGAAAGAGTGACACTTTATGGAGGATAGAGTATGGATGTAAGATCAATCTAAAATTGAATGCACTGTAAAATACAACAAATCAGCACATTCTGTTAAAACTCAGGATCTTCAACAAGTTGCTTGGATGCATTGCATATTGCAATTATTCTTAATTTCTGCTACATAAGCTAGGATTTTTTTCCAGCCAAGTCAGTAGATGTGAAAAGATACGTCCCATTTTTTTCAGAAAACTGTGAGCTTGAAACAAGCAAAAGATTTTAGTTGTCTCCTGCGAAATGACCATTGCCAGACTTCAGCGTCTCCTGAGTTAGATATAACTGACCATAACATGTGATTGTCAGTGACACTGGAGTTAAGAGAGGATTGACCATTGCCAGACTTCAGTGTCTCCTGAGTAAGATATAACTGACCATAACATGTGATTGTCAGTGACACTGGAGTAAGGAGAAGATTGACCATTGCCAGACTTCAGTGTCTCCTGAGTAAGATATAACTGACCATAACATGTGATTGTCAGTGACACTGGAGTAAGGAGAGGATTGACCATTGCCAGACTTCAGTGTCTCCTGAGTAAGATATAACTGACCATAACATGTGATTGTCAGTGACACTGGAGTAAGGAGAGGATTGACCATTGCCAGACTTCAGTGTCTCCTGAGTTAGATATAACTGACCATAACATGTGATTGTCAGTGACACTGGAGTAAGGAGAGGATTGACCATTGCCAGACTTCAGTGCCTCCTGAGTTAGATATAATTGACCATAACATGTGATTGTCAGTGACACAGGAGTTAAGAGAGGATTGACCATTGCCAGACTTCAGTGTCTCCTGAGTAAGATATAACTGACCATAACATGTGATTGTCAGTGACACTGGAGTAAGGAGAGGATTGACCATTGCCAGACTTCAGTGTCTCCTGAGTAAGATATAACTGACCATAACATGTGATTGTCAGTGACACTGGAGTTAAGAGAGGATTGACCATTGCCAGACTTCAGTGTCTCCTGAGTAAGATATAACTGACCATAACATGTGATTGTCAGTGACACAGGAGTTAAGAGAGGATTGACCATTGCCAGACTTCAGTGTCTCCAGAGTCAGACATAACTGACCATAACATGTGATTGTCAGTGACACTGGAGTAAGGAGAGGATTGACCATTGCCAGACTTCAGTGTCTCCTGAGTTAGATATAACTGACCATAACATGTGATTGTCAGTGACACTGGAGTAAGGAGAGGATTGACCATTGCCAGACTTCAGTGTCTCCTGAGTTAGATATAATTGACCATAACATGTGATTGTCAGTGACACAGGAGTTAAGAGAGGATTGGCCATTGGCAGACTTCAGTGTCTCCTGAGTTAGATATAACTGACCATAACATGTGATTGTCAGTGACACTGGAGTTAAGAGAGGATTGACCATTGCCAGACTTCAGTGTCTCCTGAGTTAGATATAACTGACCATAACATGTGATTGTCAGTGACACAGGAGTTAAGAGAGGATTGACCATTGCCAGACTTCAGTGTCTCCAGAGTCAGACATAACTGACCATAACATGTGATTGTCAGTGACACTGGAGTAAGGAGAGGATTGACCATTGCCAGACTTCAGTGTCTCCTGAGTTAGATATAACTGACCATAACATGTGATTGTCAGTGACACTGGAGTAAGGAGAGGATTGACCATTGCCAGACTTCAGTGTCTCCTGAGTTAGATATAATTGACCATAACATGTGATTGTCAGTGACACAGGAGTTAAGAGAGGATTGGCCATTGGCAGACTTCAGTGTCTCCTGAGTTAGATATAACTGACCATAACATGTGATTGTCAGTGACACTGGAGTTAAGAGAGGATTGACCATTGCCAGACTTCAGTGTCTCCTGAGTTAGATATAACTGACCATAACATGTGATTGTCAGTGACACAGGAGTTAAGAGAGGATTGACCATTGCCAGACTTCAGTGTCTCCTGAGTAAGATATAACTGACCATAACATGTGATTGTCAGTGACACTGGAGTTAAGAGAGGATTGACCATTGGCAGACTTCAGTGTCTCCTGAGTTAGATATAACTGACCATAACATGTGATTGTCAGTGACACAGGAGTTAAGAGAGGATTGACTATTGCCAGACTTCAGTGTCTCCTGAGTTAGATATAACTGACCATAACATGTGATTGTCAGTGACACAGGAGTTAAGAGAGGATTGACCATTGCCAGACTTCAGTGTCTCCAGAGTCAGACATAACTGACCATAACATGTGATTGTCAGTGACACTGGAGTAAGGAGAGGATTGACCATTGCCGTGTCTCCTGAGTTAGATATAACTGACCATAACATGTGATTGTCAGTGACACTGGAGTAAGGAGAGGATTGACCATTGCCAGACTTCAGTGTCTCCTGAGTTAGATATAATTGACCATAACATGTGATTGTCAGTGACACAGGAGTTAAGAGAGGATTGGCCATTGGCAGACTTCAGTGTCTCCTGAGTTAGATATAACTGACCATAACATGTGATTGTCAGTGACACTGGAGTTAAGAGAGGATTGACCATTGCCAGACTTCAGTGTCTCCTGAGTTAGATATAACTGACCATAACATGTGATTGTCAGTGACACAGGAGTTAAGAGAGGATTGACCATTGCCAGACTTCAGTGTCTCCAGAGTCAGACATAACTGACCATAACATGTGATTGTCAGTGACACTGGAGTAAGGAGAGGATTGACCATTGCCAGACTTCAGTGTCTCCTGAGTTAGATATAACTGACCATAACATGTGATTGTCAGTGACACTGGAGTTAAGAGAGGATTGACCATTGCCAGACTTCAGTGTCTCCAGAGTTAGATATAACTGACCATAACATGTGATTGTCAGTGACACTGGAGTTAAGAGAGGATTGACCATTGCCAGACCAGCGTCTCCTGAGTAAGATATAACTGACCATAACATGTGATTGTCAGTGACACTGGAGTTAAGAGAGGATTGACCATTGCCAGACTTCAGTGTCTCCAGAGTTAGACATAACAGATTGTCAGTGATACTGGAGTTGAGAAAGGACTGTACATTTCCTGACATTGAGTGTCACATATTTCATGTTTCATCTGTAATCAGGGTTGGCAAAGTATTACCCTCCCGGGAAAACCCAGGTCCGGGTTGGGCTGGGCAATACTCCCAGAAACGGGTAATACTGGGCAATACTGGGCAATATGACTTTTTAAGCTTATAACAACACAAAATAGTAAAGACTTGTTGTAGTTTCATAGTATTATAGCTAAATATATACATTTTATACAGATAACCATTGAGAGTCATTTCTAGAAGATTGAAAATTCAATCACTAATTCTATGTAGGCAGAATACAAGATTTGCACATTTTAGGATATCTTGTTAATTTCCAAGCATTGTTTCAATAATCCAAACTTTGAAAAAAATGCATTTTATTGCAGTGTTTAAGTGAATTGTAAATTTAAATTGCTATGCAATCATATTGCTAAATAAACACCCTACAGGGTCATGTCATTAACACTCATAGAAATGAAAAGGCTGATTATTGTTATATAAACAAATCTGTGTTCTAATCTGAATAATTACTTATTAATTAGTGATGTACATATAAATTATTTAAAAGCAATTTTTCTTACATGTAATTGTTAATTCTTTATATTAGTTATATATATTTGAAAAAAATGAATTATTTTGCTTCATGTTAACAGTTTGACCAATCTAGAAAGAAGGGTGATTTAATAGATTTTTAGGAGAATTATTGAGAAAGGTTTTTTCCCTGAATATTTTCTAATGTGTCTTCATGTACACTTGTCTCAGAGTTGCTAGAATAATACTTTCTCAAATGCATACACTTGTATTATAAGACTCTCAAACAAGTAAACTTATTTATAAATCAAAATATGTTTATAAATATCTTAAATGTATTGCATTTGTGTTTGATCACTGAATCCTCTTTAAAATTCAGGCCAGTATTTTATATTACCCAGTATTGCCCAGTATTACCCAGTAAAACCCGGGTTTTCCCAGTATTTCCCACTGGGCTGGGCAATACTCATAAAACCCGGATTTTTGCCAACCCTGCATGATCTGTTCGACTCTGTTTGGGTTTAAATATCAGAAAATCACACAAAAATACTTGTGTGTTGACAGGTGGGATAAAAACATTAATTTTAAGGTAATGCAATGTTATGTTATCACTGTAAATCACAAAGCAACCCCCCCCCCCCCCCCCCCCCCTGTGGTTCACTCAACATAAGCAATGGAGATCTCACTGCACTGTCATACAAGTGGCAGGTTTAGCCAGCCATAAAACCAGGTCTAACCCACTATTTTCTTCAGAAAATGCCTGTACCAAGTCAGGAATATGGCAGTTGTGTTTCACTTGCTCCGTGGATTGATAGCCGTTGATTTCGTCAGTTTTTATGGACTTCCTAATTTGAATTTGCCTAGAGTTCAGTA